CACCCGACTCAAGAGCCGAATGGCTCACAGGGCTATACCAAAATAAATAAGTAACTGAAACTGAAAAAATATATAAAATAAATAAACGCGTGATGTTGATTCTAAATGTGGAGGGGAAAAACCGCAGGGACCCGGAGACAAATTGACGCGACCGCGCAAACTACAAATTTACAGGTGTCAGAGTCAGGATTAAACCCACGACCTCCTGTATACCAGGCGAGATTGTTAACATCTATTGAGTAACATTATAGAGAGGGACTTCCAAATCGAGAGCTGGTCGCAAGTTCGATCTCAGAGCAGCGCGGGAGTTGAAACCAGGGACTGCGGTCAGGCGAGGCAGGGGAAGCAGAGCCTCACCTGTCATACTCCAATAAAAATAGCTGTTACGAAAAGTAATAAAAAATAATAATAATCAAATGAAATAAATATTAAGATTTTTCCACTAATCTGTGTCATAAATGTCATTTCTGTACGATTCCAATCATTTTTAGAGTCAAAATCGCGAAATTTGCGGAGCTCCGCTGCAAATACAAGAAGAGATGAGAGGTGAGGCAGCGATGAGCTCAGCCTCCCCTCTGATTGCGCAACCCCTCAGTAACTGGATGGAGCGCGGGCAATAAGCGCGTGCCTGTTACTATCTCAGTATGTCAGCAATGTAATGTTTGTAGACCCCTTCATTTCATGTCCTCGCCTTCCATGCTTCAGGTAACTTATTTCACGTATGTGTATAAACATATTTAGAGCTCGCTGGTCTCGTCGTGAAACTGCAATGAAAAACACCGGGGGAGGCAGCTATCACATCTGCCTCACTGAGGGGGACGTGTTTAACACGCCCCCCTCAGCGAGGCCACGCCCCCTCCGTGAGGCCACGCCCCCTCCGTGAGGCCACGCCCTCCTCAGTGTGTGCATCTGGCTGTGACACTAGCCAGTGCCTCCCCAGCCATTGACCTCACCGCACGTCAATGGTTGAAACGTAGGACACGTTTCTGAAATCCTCCACCCCCCTCCCGTCCACCCTCTGTCTACCCAGCAGTATAAATAATGGGAACACGACGGCTGGTCCTCCCATTTGCAGGTTTGCGTGTATTAATAGCGCGGGTAAAAAGTGTGGGGAATTCCCAACTCTGCATCGACGCGACTGGCCAGAGTGAAAAGTGTAGGCCAGATATCCTATACGGTGGTAAGATTGTTTTTTTTGTATAGAGCTCCCTTTATTCGGAGGCCCGTTCCGCCAGCAGTGGCCTGGGCAAGCCATTGCAGGGCTGCGCCTTTACCCATTTACTGACGTAATCATTTACCCACCCTCTCGGCCAATTGAAATGTTGGCTTTGAGACAAATTGTCACGCGTGCACCCATACGTGGCAAAATTAAAACACAAATACTTTGTAAAGTATTTTTGTTGTTGTTGTTTAAATGCACCGTGAATCCATCAAGCTTCTGCGTGAGCAATTTGCACAGCCACAGACTGTGCACTTGTGATGTCTGAAATGTTCCTGGAATGCACTCCCCATACACCGACCCGCACTGACCAGCGTGCTACAGAGACACCGACAGAGAACCATAGAGATACATAGAGACCCATAGAGAACCATAGAGAAACACAGATACGTATGGAGACTCGCAGATTATACATATATACGCGTAGGGATAGGTAGATATATATTTAAGACAAGGCGCAGTAGTGCAATTGTGGCCATATGACCCAAAATATGGACCGTATAGTAAACCCATACAGACGCATAAGAGAATCATACAGATACAGAGACGCACAGATATACATAGGGACCCAATAAAATACATAGCCACTCGTAAGAAACACACAGACCCATGTAGATACATCAAGAACTTCTTTCGCACCGTACGTAGCCAACCGTGCTACACAAGTGCTGTTAGCGAGCACCTATGAAGGCCGGATCGGTACACGAGGGGGTGGGTGGCCAGCACCACGCCCGACCGCCTTTGTCTCGCTAGTGGCGATGTTTACACACCGCACCAGGTACTCATTTGAGGCTGAGTCGACCTAGGGGAGGCCCAGGACCGGTTCAGATAATCGTCACTGGTGTTGGCCGTGAGCGGGAATCTAACCCGGGTCGCCAGGTTCATAGCGCAGCGCGCTAACCGCTACACTATCGCTAGCCAAACACACAGACAGACACACACACACACTGACACACACACGTACTGACACACAGACTCACACACACGGACACACAGACACACTGACACACAGACACACTGACAGACAGACACACTGACACACAGACAGCGACACGCTGACACACAGACACACTGACACACAGACACACTTACAGACAGACACACTGACACACAGACACACTGATAGACAGACACACGGACACACAGACACACTGACACACAGACACACAGACACACCGACACACAGACACACAGACAGCGACACGCTGACACACAGACACACTGACACACAGACACACTTACAGACAGACACACTGACAGACAGACACACTGACACACTGACACACACACACACTGACACACTGACAGACAGACACACTGACACACAGACACACACTGACACACACAGACACACTGACACACACACACTGACAGACAGACACACACACTGACACACACACACACTGACACACTGACACACAGACACACTGACACACTGACAGACAGACACGCTGACACACTGACAGACAGACACACTGACACACTGACACACAGACACACTGACAGACACACTGACAGACAGACACGCTGACACACTGACAGACAGACACACTGATAGACAGACACACTGACACACAGACACACTGACACACAGACACACACTGACACACACACACACTGACACACTGACAGACAGACACACTGACACACAGACACACTGACACACACAGACACACACTGACACACACACACTGACAGACAGACACACACACTGACACACACACACACACTGACACACTGACACACTGACACACAGACACACTGACACACTGACAGACAGACACGCTGACACACTGACAGACAGACACACTGACACACTGACACACAGACACACTGACAGACACACTTTACAGACAGACACGCTGACACACTGACAGACAGACACACTGATAGACAGACACACTGACACACAGACACACTGACACACAGACACACACTGACACACACACACACACACTGACACACTGACAGACAGACACACTGACACACAGACACACTGACACACACAGACACACACTGACACACACACACTGACAGACAGACACACACACTGACACACAGACTCACAATCACACTGACACACAGACACACACTGACACACACACACACTGACACACTGACAGACAGACACACTGACACACACACACACACACTGACACACTGACACACAGACACACACTGACACACACACACACTGACACACACACACTGACACACAGACTCACAATCATACTGACACACTGACACACACAGACACACACTGACAGACAGACACACACACTGACACACAGACTCACAATCACACTGACACACAGACACACACTGACACACACACACACTGACACACTGACACACACACACACTGACACACACACACTGACACACAGACACACTGACACACTGACACACAGACACACACTGACACACACACACACTGACACACACACACTGACACACAGACTCACAATCATACTGACACACAGACACACACAGACACACACTGACACACAGACACACACTAACACACGCGGGTGAGTTCCCTACAGACGCCACCAAACCCCACCACCAAAGCTGTTCACTGCGGAACGTTATTCACGGATGACGGTTGGTGGTCGTTGGTGCTATTGGTTGTTGTTTGTGGTTGGTGGTTGTTGTTAGTGGTGGTTGTTGGTGATTGTTGTTGGTGGTCGTTGGTGCTGGTGGTTGTTGTTCGTGGTTGGTGGTTGTTGTTAGTGGTGGTTGTTGGTGATTGTTGTTGGTGGTCGTTGGTGCTGGTGGTTGTTGTTTGTGGTTGGTGGTTGTTGTTACTGGTGGTTGTTGGTGATTGTTGGTGGTTGTTGGTGCTGGTGGTTGTTGTTCGTGGTTGGTGGTTGTTGTTAGTGGTGGTTGTTGGTGATTGTTGTTGGTGGTTGTTGGTGCTGGTGGTTGTTGTTGATGGTTGTTGTTGGTGGTTGTTGTTAGTGGTGGTTGTTGGTGATTGTTGTTGGTGGTTGTTGGTGCTGGTGATTGTTGTTCGTGGTTGGTGGTTGTTGTCAGTGGTGGTTGTTGGTGATTGTTGTTGGTGGTCGTTGGTGCTGGTGGTTGTTGTTCGTGGTTGGTGGTTGTTGTTAGTGGTGGTTGTTGGTGATTGTTGTTGGTGGTCGTTGGTGCTGGTGGTTGTTGTTCGTGGTTGGTTGTTGTTAGTGGTGGTTGTTGGTGATTGTTGTTGGTGGTTGTTGGTGCTGGTGGTTGTTGTTGATGGTTGTTGTTGGTGGTTGTTGTTAGTGGTGGTTGTTGGTGATTGTTGTTGGTGGTTGTTGGTGCTGGTGATTGTTGTTCGTGGTTGGTGGTTGTTGTTAGTGGTGGTTGTTGGTGATTGTTGTTGGTGGTCGTTGGTGCTGGTGGTTGTTGTTCGTGGTTGGTGGTTGTTGTTAGTGGTGGTTGTTGGTGATTGTTGTTGGTTGTTGGTGCTGGTGGTTGTTGTTTGTGGTTGATGGTTGTTGTTTTTGGTGGTTGTTAGTGATTGTTGTTGGTGTTTATTAGTAGTGGTTGTTATTCGTGGTTGATGGTTGTTGTTGGTGGTTGTTGGTGATAGTTTGTGGTGGTTGTTGTAGTAAGTGGTGGTGGTGGTTATTGCTAGCGGTGGCTGTTGGTAGTGGTTGTTGGTAGTTGCTGGCGGTGGTTGTTAATTATCGGTGACTGTTGATGATTGGTGGAAGTTTGGAGGAGGTGGTGGTGGGTGGGTGGGAGGGAGGGGGAGGTGGTTGCCCGTTGCCATGGCGACTGCACCAAGGAGCGCGACTCGCCCGTGAACACAACCCCAGTCGCGTGCAACAACCCCCACCACGCACAACCCCCTCAGGCCGACCGCCTCTGCTGCCGTTACCTAGGCCACGGCTGATACAACAACGCTCACTCCAACAACCACCACCAACCACGGCTCCTGGGGAAGAAGTTCTTCAGGTGGGGAGAACAGCAGCAGTAGAAGGGGGCCATCTAAACTGTTACTGTGCTTGCTTACTTGCTGCTGGGCTGCCTTCATAGGTGCTGCTACTCGCTCACAGCACTTGCCCCCGACAGTCTGTTAAGGCTGTCTGGGGGATCTTTGTCTGTGTGTGTGTGTGCTGCTACTCGCTCACAGCACTTGCCACCGACAGTCTAAGACTGTAGGGGGATCTTTGTGTGTGTGTGCTGCTACTCGCTCACAGCACTTGCTCCCAACAGTCTGTTAAGGCTGTAGGGGGGATCTTTATCTTTGTGTGTGTGTGCTGCTACTCGCTCAAAGCACTTGCCCCCAACAGTCTGTTAAGGCCGTAGGGAGATATTCATCTTTGTCTGTGTGCTACTCGCTCACAGCACTTGCCCCCGACAGTCTGTTAAGGCTGTCTGGGGGATCTTTGTCTTTGTGTGTGTGCGTGCTACTCGCTCACAGCACTTGCCCCCAACAGTCTGTTAAGGCTGTAGGGGGGGTCTTTGTCTGTGTGTGTGCTGCTACTCGCTCACAGCACTTGCCCCCAACAGTCTAAGGCTCTCTGGGGATCTTTGTGTGTGTGTGCTACTCGCTCACAGCACTTGCCCCCGACAGTCTGTTAAGGCTGTCTGGGGGATCTTTGTCTGTCTGTGTGTGCTGCTACTCGCTCACAGCACTTGCCCCCAACAGTCTGTTAAGGTTGTCTGGGGGATATTTGTCTTTGTCTGTGTGTGTGTGGTGCTACTCGCTCACAGCACTTGCCCCCGACAGTTTGTTAAGGCTGTCGGGGGATCTTTGTCTTTGTGTGGTGCTCGCTCACAGCACTTGCCACCGACAGCCTAAGACTGTAGGGGGATCTTTATCTTTGTCTGTGTGCTACTCGCTCACAGCACTTGCCCCCGACAGTCTGTTAAGGCTGTCTGGGGATCTTTGCCTGTGTGTCTGTGTGTGTGTGCTACTCGCTCACAGCACTTGCCCCCAACAGTCTGTTAAGGCTGTCTGGGGATCTTTGTGTGTGTGTGTGCTGCTACTCGCTCACAGCACTTGCCCCCGACAGTCTGTTAAGGCTGTAGGGGGATCTTTGTCTTTGTGTGTTTGTGCTACTCGTTCACAGCACTTGCCCCCAACAGTCTGTTAAGGCTGTAGGAGGATCTTTGTCTTTGTCTGTGTGTGTGTGCTACTCGCTCACAGCACTTGCCCCCAACAGTCTGTTAAGGCTGTCGGGGGACCTTTGTCTTTGTGTGCTACTCGCTCACAGCACTTGTCCCCGACAGTCTGTTAAGGCTGTAGGGGGATCTTGGTCTTTGTGTGTGTGTGTGCTACTCGTTCACAGCACTTGCCCCCGACAGTCTGTTAAGGCTGTAGGGGGATCTTTGTCTTTGTCTGTGTGTGTGTGTGCTACTCGCTCACAGCACTTGTCACCGACAGTCTGTTAAGACTGTAGGGGGATCTTTATCTTTGTCTGTGTGTGTGTGCTACTCGTTCACAGCACTTGCCCCCAACAGTCTGTTAAGGCTGTCTGGGGGGGGGGGGGGGGGTGTTCGTCTTTGGTGGTGACTGCACGGGGTTTGTAAAGTTGCTTGTGCCGTGTTTACCTGTAATTAGCCCTAGCTAAGACCCTACATTAGCCCTAGCTAAGACTCTACATTAGCCCTGGCTAAGACTCTACATTAGCCCTAGCTAGGACTCGACATTAGCCCTAGCTAGGACTCTACATTAGCCCTAACTAAAACTCTACATTAGCCCTAGCTAAGACTCTACATTAGCCCTAGCTAACTCTACATTAGCCCTAGCTAAGACTCTACATTAGCCCTAGCTAAGACTCTACATGAGCCCTAGCTAGAACTCTACATTAGCCCTAGCTAAGACTCTACATTAGCCCTAGCTAAGACTCTACATTAGCCCTAGCTAGGACTCTACATTAGCCCTAACTAAAACTCTACATTAGCCCTAGCTAAGACTCTACATTAGCCCTAGCTAGGACTCTACATTAGCCCTAGCTAGGACTCTACATTAGCCCTAGCAAGGACTCTACATTAGTCCTAGCTAGGACTCTACATTAGCCCATACTAAGACTCTACATTAGCCCTAGCTAGGACTCTACATTATCCCTAGCTAAGACTCTACATTAGCCCTAGCTAAGACTCTACAATAGACCTAGCTAAGACTCTACAGTAGCCCTAGCTATGACTCTACATTAGCCCTAGCTAGGACTCTACATTAGCCCTAGCTAAGACTCTACATTAGCCCATACTAAGACTCTACATTAGCCCTAGCTAAGACTCTACATTAGCCCTAGCTAGGACTCTACATTAGCCCTAGCTAAAACTCTACATTAGCCCTAGCTAGGACTTTATATTAGCCCTAGCTAACACTCTACATTAGCCCTAGCTAAAACTCTACATTAGCCCTAGCTAGGACTCTACATTAGCCCTAGCTAAAACTCTACATTAGCCCTAGCTAGGACTCTACATTAGCCCTAGCTAAGACTCTACATTAGCCCTAGCTAGGACTCTACATTAGCCATAGATAAGACCCTAAATTAGCCCTAGCTAGGACTCTACATTAGCCCTAGCTAGGACTCTACATTAGCCATAGATAAGACCCTACATTAGCCCTAGCTAGGACTCTACATTAGCCCTAGCTAAGACTCTACATTAGCCCTAGCTAAGACTCTACATTAGCCCTAGCTAAGACTCTACATTAGCCCTAGCTAGGACTCTACATTAGCCCTAGCTAAGACTCTACATTAGCCCTACATAATTATCCATCCCTAACAGCGGCAAAGCGCCAAGCATCCATTCGCCAGCAGGCAGCCACTTCAGCGCGCGTGCCAGGCTAGGTGCACCTCGACGCCAAGCGCCCTGGAGCGCGTTCGTAAGTAGCACTTTGTTGTTGTTTGCAAATGTCATTGCCGTTCTGAAGACCGAACACGTAAGCGGAGAACGATGGAGGACAGCTCCGGAGACGCCCGCCTGGACTTCCTCGAGGCGTACACCCTCAAGACGTTCCGCGTCAAGGCGGACAGGTGGCACAAGTGCTTGGCCGTCGAAGACTGCCGACGGCTCCTCCTCGACTTCCTCGACAACCGAGGAGCCGACCACTCGCCCCTGTTGGTCATCTCCCTGACGCCCGCGGGGCTGCTGCAGCCTTCGCTGGGATTCCCAGCGCCGTCGTCGTCGGCAGCAGCCAAGACGGCGGGGGCGAGCAACGCGGCGAAGGCGGTCTTCTTTGCCAAGAAGTCCGCGGACACGTGCGGCGGCGGCGGCGTCTTCCCCCCCATCTCCGCCGAGACGATCCGCAAGGCGCTGCTGTGCGGAGACCTCAGCTACGCGCCGCTGGAGCAGTTTGCCGCCCTGGTGGAGGAGGTGAGGGGCGAAACGTCGCGCGGATCGTTCGTCGTCGATTGTGGGTTTTTTGTGTGTGTGCGCGCGTGTGTTACTTGCGGGCTCAGTGCGCACACACCTCACCCCCTCCTCCCTCCTACCCACCGATTCAGACCCTGTTGGTCCCCCCTCCACCACCACCCCCGTGCCCCTTTATACATCGCAACGTTCATCATGCAAAGTTCCCATCACGAGCGAGAATCACAAATAGACACTTTGTTTTTTTTGCCTGTGTTGAAACGGCTGGTGTACTCCGTATGGACCTCGAAACTGAATTTCCCTGTACAAGAATGCGTGTAAACCGTATGGCTTGACAGGTTTGAGTTCGACGGTTAAAGCCCCCCTCCCCATCTCTCCCCCCCCCCCCACCACCACCACGGCGTGACACCTCACCCTGTATTCTTATACAGGGAAATTGAGTGTTTCAGGTCCATACGGCGTACAGCCGTTTCATGATGGGACTTTGTAGGATGAACGTCGAGATTTATAGGGGACACGGGGCGACCAATAAGGTCTGAATTGGTCTGTAATAAGATAGGGCACTTATAAGGGGTTGACAGGTATGATATACACTACACTATACACTACACTACTATACACAATATACTACCATACCGTGTCAACCCACACGGTTTACCCCGTATTCTTGTACAGGGGAATTGAGCCATCAGTTCCATACGGCGTGTCTATTTGTTTGTGTTTCTCCCTTGTGATGGGACTTTGTAGGATGAACGTTGAGATTTATAAGGGGCACGGCGTGACCAATAAGGCCTGAATTGGTGTGGAATAAGGTAGGGGCACTGATAGGGGGCTTTACAGCTGTGCGTAACGTAACGAGGGTAAATAACAACAAAAAGTTAATGAGGTTGTCTGGGGTGTGATTATAACGCTCCGAGGGGCGGTCGGTGTTTTTTTTTTGTTCCACTGAAAGAAAGTTGGCGGAGTCCGCTTACTGGTTGCCTTGCCCCCCCCCCACTCACCGCCGTTTTGTGGCGGTGTTTGGGGAGAGGTCACTGGGTGAAGGTGGCAGCACCTTGCAGGTGCCTACCAGGCTCCAATGCCACTGTTGGCCGAAAGACGTCCGCGCCTCTGATTAGTGCGGTGCGAAATAAGTTCAGCGTGGTACTTACTGGAGAAGCCACCGTAGCTACTCGGAAAGCCAATGGAGCTATTAGGAAGCTAATGGAGTTATGCACTTTTTTTAATCAAGATTGAAAACTCGTTTCTTTAGAACTGCTTTTCGTGTTTCGTTTGTTATCCTGCCACCGCACGTCCGAGGAGCACGGTTGGCTACGTATGGTGGCCTCAGTGGGGTTTGTACTAATAGCCGTGTCGGAGACACTGAAAAAATGCGAGAATCTGGGTTTGATTCACCTGAGATTTAAACGTTTCTTAAGGGGAGTGAGGTGACAGTCTTAGCCGGTTCACCAATGTGAAGAAATAAGTGTTATAGGTAAACTATAAAAAACTATAAAACATTTTTATTTAAAACTTTTTTTTCACCAGGTAAAGCCCAATGAGCTAAATAACTTTTTTTCAGAAGCGACATGGCTTTAGTTAATTGATAGTTCAATGAAGTGGCTTATCGCGTGGACTTTTTATAGCAGCCAAATATTCTAAATGCACGCTGATTCTAAATGTGGAGGGAAAAACCGGAGGACCCGGAGAAAAATCGCCGTGACCATGGGAAGCGAGACACGCAAACTCCATATATGCCGGTGTCAGGGCCCGGGCTCGAAGCCATGACCTCCTGGATACGAGGCGAGGTAGTTAACATCTTGCCTGGATAGTTCAGTGGGATTCATAGTTGCCGTACCAGAGACAATCTTTGTTTCAGCTATGAGACGGGGTTCTCAAGTAAAGTGAGTTGATGGCTCTAGCTGGGTCATCAGTGCAAAACCATCCATCACATTAACATTGCTTTGCAACCTAATTAGGCTCACTCACACCTTAAATGTGTTTTATTGACACCTTACACCATCAGGATTGTAGATAAAACGTGTTGCTCTTCATTTTTAAATTCAGTTTTTTTACAATCTTTTGTCTGTCCCTTGAGTTAATCATATTGTTCCCGGCCAGCCTTCAATAACTGCCCTCGGTACACTCCGTTGTTGTACCTTACTTCTATGCTCCCATGTCTGTCTACGCTCCCCGCTGTCACCAACCCTCACCGACCAGCTTGGTGAAGTATGGTCACACGGCAAGAGAAGGCCCTCATCTGGCTGTGGATTTTACTAAAATGGCTGTACATGTGAAATTGGGAGAAATGTACAACAGCTTATGTAAAGAGATAAAATTGTGTAACCGTCAGTCCGATGTCTGCAGCTGTAGACATTAGCTGTGTGGGTGTCACATGTCATTAAAATAGTAATGCACATTTACATATTAATCAGCTCTATCAGCCCAATTGTTTCGTCTGCCACCAGTAACACTTTTGATGCATCGTATTAACTTACTGGCTACATTATTTGTGCAAATGGTCCCTTTGATGGACATACAGCCGTATTGAATGGCTAAAGTATTCAACTGGCACCCACATAAATGAATTCCTATTGCGGGGGTGGGGGGGGGGGGGGGGTGGTGGCGAAGAGGTTAGCACACTGAACTATGATTCCTTGCATCCCGAGTTTGATTTCCCTGGCTACGGCATGTGGCGAGCGGTGTCAGAACTGGTCCCTGGATCCACATACTTCAACAACCTGTGCTAAGCCAGTACGGTGAAGTATGGTCAAACAAACAACTCCTACGTCCGAAATGGCTGGGAGGCCTTCATTCAGCAGTGGCTTGACACGGGGAAAATGAAAACTAAATTTTGAATTGATTGTGCGTGGAAATATATCTGAGTTGTTTTCCATATACGGTAGTTTCATGCAGAGTTGCATTTAATTTTATATAATGTACTTAGGAAATGGTTGGCGTGCATTCGTTAAGTGCTTAATTTTAGAGATCTGGCCAGATGGGGCCCATTCGGGAGCGATATGATCACATTTGCACCTCCGGTTAGCACGGTTGGCTACGTACGGTGCGAAAGAAGTTCAACGTACGTACAGCCTATAGACTAACACTGCCCAGAGACTCCACACTGCACCTCCGGTTAGCATGGTTGGCTATGTACGGTGCGAAGGAAGTTCAACAAACGTACAGCCCATAGACTAACACTGCCCAGAGACTCAACACTGCACCTCCGATTAGCACGGTTGGCTATGTACGATGCGAAGGAACTTCAACATACATTGATTCATCCTAGTAGCGTGGGGGGGGAGGGGGTGGGGGTATGTTGGTACAATGTTTAACTCCAGTGGCAGTTTATCTTGAAAGTTTGCCAGTTTGACAAACGCACAGAACCGTATACTTTTTCCCCTGCGTGTCTCCATCCGTTCACCGAATTAACATCTTCCTATTGGCTCGACGATACATTTGTTAGAGTATACCCCCCCCACCACCCCCAAACCTGGATCCTCCGCCCTCGTGACTGTGACCGTGTTTTGTGGCGGCGAAGCGAGAGGCTAGCTTTCGGGTTGAGCTGCGCGTTGTTCGGGCACGGCGGTCCGGCGTTTCCCTCCGCGCGCTGGCGATCCTCTTCGGTTTCCAACGTCTTGCCGCACGCGCCGGGTTCTTTCCCCGCTCGATCTCCTGAAGCTCCCCAGCGCGTGGCAACGAAACGTTCGGACCTCGTGCCGGAGAGGCTCAACGGCGGCGGCACGACCGCGACAACCCCCACCCCCCGCCTCCGCAGGTGATCGTGCCGATCCTGGGCAACGAGAAGAACCACGGAGGGTGGCCGGCAGTGGTGGCGCAGGATCTGCGACGGCACCTGGGCAGCCTGCAGAGCAGCGTGTTCGTCGTGTCGGGGCAGGTCAAGGGCAAGACGCTGCTGCCCATCCCGGCCGGTGCCGAGCGAGTGGTTGACGCCGACCGTCCCCTCAAAGAGTGAGTTTCGGATAATGATAAAAAAAAACAGCAACGTGCAGCGGCACTCGCTTAAGCAATGCCCGAGCAACTCAAGAGTGGCTCGCGTCACGTCTCGTCTCAACACTTCCAGTGCCCTGCTTTTTGGTCTTTAGTTTGTCGTCCTTCCACGCACCTCCGATTGAGCACGGTTGGCTACGTACGGTGCGGAAAAAGTTCAACATACATACATGCGACGATACACTGCATTTCTATACACTACTGCAGACACCGATTAGTACGGTTGGTTACGTACGGTGCGAAAGAAGTTTAATGTACACACGTACATACGGGTGAGTCAGCGGTAGAGCAATCCTGGTTGGGGGTTTGTCTCAGCCAATCATCCTTCTGGGGTCGATAAAGTGAGTGCCACTTTGTGGGGAAGTCAAAAGTGATAATCTAATGGATGGACTCGCTCCCGCCATACGAATCTGCTCACAGGGCTGTGAGCACCAATGCCTCATTTGAGCAGGATATCACTTTGGCTTGACTAACTTGAGGCCCTTATAGCCTGTTCAGTTCCAGGTTCAACGCCTCCCTCCGTCGATCAGAGCGTTCAGGCAGAGATGCTAGGTTTGAACTCGGCGTTCAGCTGCCCGTGATTAAAGCGGCTTTTTCAAAGTGCAGCCGTGAATATTGGCTCGGCTCGGTCACCGATGATTACATAAAAAAGCCCTCATCATATTAAAGTGGTCTTTTTCACTTAATTACGTATATATATTTCACCACTGATAATTAAAACATATTCTGTTTGACGGCCGCAACGTTATTGGATAAATAGCAGGCCATATGTGTTGGCGTCATGATCCATATTTTTCCGACCATGAAATGTACTGCACTTGCAAATGTCCTATTGACATGATGCCAAATAGCAACATTACCTCCTTCCAGTGCCGGATTATCCTAGTAGCAAAAGCATCAAATGCTACGGGCCCCGCACCTTCAAGGGCCTCGCGCTAAATGCTTTCAAGCTATCAATTCCGGTTCAGTGATTCTGCACTTGCTCTATTACTATAGTACTATACCGCCTTCAACTTTGACGAACGACCAGGTGTTTAAGGTTAGCGATTTGTCGTATTATCTGGCTGTATAGAAAATGATAAAAAATCAAATTACTTTACTATGCAAGTTAGAAATGAGTGTTTTAATATTTGTGTTTTTTTTTTCTATGGCCCCTTTATATCATTATGCTACAGGCCCCGCACTAGCTTAATTCGGCACTGCCCCCTCATGTGAAAGGACCACGGTGAAACATAACGCCCTTTGGGATAGCCTTGCTCGCTGTTCCCCATTCATTCAATCCATTCATCATCATCGTCATCATTTACCGTCATCAATTTTGCTTTCACCGATTTCACGCATCGTCACAGATTCACCCATTGCTCTCTCTTGTCTATTTCATTCACGTCACCTCCACCATTACATTCATATGTTATTGTACTGCTTTTAATTCTTTGTGAAGCGCCTTGGTTAAGGCGCCATATTAATTCCGTTAAGATAAGATAAGAATGGCGCGAACACCAAGCGCGCTGAACGATTGCCATTTGTTGAGCCTTAGCCAGCCAAGTTTTGTAAAAATCACACGGCGAGCCATGGCCGGTGCCGCGTCCGCAGTGAGGACAGCGTGGACCGCTCGGTGGTGCACGCCATCGAGTCGGTGGTCATCGAGTGGAGCCACCAGATCCAGGAGGTGCTGAAGAAGGACTCGTCCAGGCCTCTGATGGAGGGACTCAACCCCAACCCCAGCGCCGAGCTGGAGTTTTGGCAAAGCAGGCGAGTCCAGCACGCACCGCATGATTGCTAGCGAATGTAAAGGGGTGAAGGAGCCACCCTGGAATTCCCTGCTTCCGCCACTGCTGCCGGAAGGGCTTCCACAACCGCAAAAAAACCTTCGCGGTAAAATGAACGTCCGCTTGCCGACTCCACTCCACCAGATACGCGGACCTGGAGTGCATCCACGAGCAGCTGCAGTCCCGGCGCGTCTGCTCCATGGGCGACCTCTTGGAGAGGACACAGAGCACCTACTTCCCGGCCTTCAAGGCCATGATACAGGACGTGGTCACAGGTGGGAGCCCTGGGTTACATGTAGCGGCCTAGGCGCCGCAGTGGCGAGATGTTAACTACCTCGCCTGTTATACAGGAGGTCGTGGGTTTGATCCCGACTTTGATGCCTGCTGTATATTTGAAGTTTGCCTGTCTCTATCCCCCCGTAGTCACGTGGATTTTTCTTGGGGTCCTCCGGTTTTCCTTCCATATTCAGAATCAATGTGTTTGGAGTATTTGGCTGCTATAAATGTCTACATGATGATAAGCCAATTCGTTGAGCTATAATTTGTTATGGCCAGGTCGCTGGGACCTTACCTGGTAAAAATAAAAAAAGATAGTATATCGTTTTGAAAGTTTTCCTCTCCTCCTGTCCGCAGCCCTGGAGGAGGCGCGCAACATCAACAGCAACCTGAAGCCACTGAAGCGCACGATGGAGGACGTGGAGGGTGCCGAGCTGAACGAGGCTGGGCCGCTGCTGGCGCCGCTGATGCGCGTCGTCGCCCTGGTGTGGCGCAACTCGCGTTTCTACCGCACGCCCGAGCGCATCGTGGTGCTGCTGCGGGAGATCTGCAACCTCCTGATCCAGCAGGTGGGGAGGCAACGGTTGTTTCCGCCGGCGAACGTTTGCTCCCCCCAGGCTTCATGGGTAGGGGTTGGTTTTGGGGCGCCACGGTGGCGAGATGTTAACTACCTCGCCTGGCATGCAAGGAGGTCGCGGGTTCCATCCAGACCTTGACGCCTGCTGTATATTTGAAGTTGGCGTGTCTCTCTCCCCGTGGTCGCGTGTGTTTCAAGTACTTGACTGCAATGACATTTCCACGCAAATAAGCCACTTCGTTGGCCTATCACTTGCGACAGGCAGATCGCTGCTGAATTAGAGCCATACGGCTCAGCAGGCCCTACCTGGGAAAATAAAAAAAGTAGTTTATAGTTTTAGTTTAGGCGGTGAACGGCGCGGAGGGTGACGTACCGGCAGGTGCCTTGCCTGGTGAAACGAAAAACAATAACAACAAAATATCACTGCGCGCAGGCCCGCTTGTTCATCAACGCTGAGGAGGTGCTGAAGGGCGAGGCGGAGGAGAACCTGGCTCGAGTGCGCGAGGCCCTCTCCATCCTGCGCCTCTTCCGCTCCGTCTACGAGGAGGAGAGGGCGGCCCTGCCCTCCCTGCGCAAGGGCATCGATGACGATGGCGGCGACGACGGCGGCGGCGGCGACGACGGCTGGGATTTCCCGCCCAACACCGTCTTCTCACGCCTCGACCGCTTCACGGAGAGAGTCACCGACGTGGAGGTCTGATTCCAACCTTTCCGTCCTCCCCACCGCCCCCCGAGCAGCGCCGAAATCCACGGCGCAAGTGAGCGGATGCCTGGGGTCCTGGCAGTCGCCATGTCGTTATTGTGGGGGTGGTTGGGGCTACAGGTGGCGGTGATGGTGGCAGTAGTTGGTAACGGGAAAAAATCTGTAGCTGCGGACTTGCCTCCTCCACAACGGATCGGCGTCTGTTGTGGAGGAGGCCCGTGAAGGACGCTACTGGGCAGCTGGATGCAATGGTGTGTGTATGTATGTTGAACCTCTTTCACGCCGAACGTAGCCAAACCGTGCTAATTGGAGGTGCGGGGGAAGGACAACCAGCAAAAAAACATAAAAAGCCGTTTGTGTGGTTGTGGCGGTCGTGTTGGTGAGAGTGGGCATGGTGGTATGGGTGGGGGAGCGGTAGTGTAACGGTTAGCGTGCTCTCTACGAACCCGGCAACCTGAGTACCATTCCCACTCACGGCCAACACCAAGTGACGATTATCTGAACCGGTCCTGGGCCTCCCCAAGGTCGGCTCAGCCTCAAAAGAGTACCTGGTGCGGAGTGTAAATATTTTCACTCGGGAGACAAAGGTGGTCGGGCGTGGAGCTGGCCACCCACCCTCTCGTGTGCCGTGCAGGCCTTCATAGGTGCTACTCGCGAACAGCACTTGTCTTTGTCTTGGTGGTATGCGTGCGGTCGTGTCGATGGTGCACCCACCCCGTCCATTTCCCCGCCACCCTGACAGGAGCTGCTGGTGACGGCCGTGGACATGTTCAAGCTGGAGAAGATTGAGATCGGGGGCCTCCGTGGCCGAGTGCTGAGCCAGCGCGTCTGCGACATCCACCAGCAGTTTCAGGAGCTCTTTGGGCAGTTTGCCGAGAAAACTTACGACTGCTTGGACGTGACAAACGAGGTTTGCGAATCCTTCACCGAGGGCGCCGTGGTGGCTAGGAGATGTTAACTACCTCGCCTGGTATGCAGGAGGTCGTGGGTTCGATCCTGACCCTGACACCTGCTGTATATTTGGAGTTTGCGTGTTCTTCTTGTGGTTATGTGGACTTTTCTCTGGGTCCTCCAGTCTTTCCCTATATATTTTAGAAAGAACACGCATTTTAGAGTTTTTGGCTGCTATTAATTTCCACGTGATAAGCCACTTCGTTGAGCTATCGTTTGTGGCCAGGCCGCTTCTGAAAGAGAGCTATATAGCTCAGTGGGCCTTACCTGGTGAAATGAAAAAAATGTATTTAGTTTAGTTCTGGTATTGTTTGTGACACTTAACGGCGAGCTGAAACATATGTATGTTGAAGTTCTTTCGCACTGTACATAGCCAACCGTGCTAATCTGAGGTGTGGGGTAAGGACAACAAACTAAACACAAAAAAGCAGTTCTCAGGAAATTAGTTTTCAATCTAGATAATTTAAAAGTGCACAGCTCCCAGTGGGTTCCCGATATCAAAAGGAAGGGTGTTCCAAACAGCCGCAGAAGTGCATATGAAATGATAGCAAATTGCGCGCTAAACAACGCCTGTGTACGTGACGATTTTATTATTTTGCCGTATCGAGGGTGGTGGAGGAGTCTTGACACAAACCTGGCCACACCCTTTGGCCGTGACAACCTACGTGTTTTCGGTTAGACCAGTGTTCTTCACTAACTTTCAGAGGGGGGGGGGCACTTTTACCAATAAGACATCATCGGTGTGTGCGGGCCGCCACACATTTATAACCATTGGGGGTTTGACAGCACGACGACGATGATGATAGGGGACGTTTTCACATTTGTGTATAGTTGGGGGTGTCGCACTAAAGGCCACCAGAGGGCCGCCATTGGCCCGCGGGCCTTGCAATGAAGAACACTGTGTTAGATGTTGTCTCTGACCGCCGTGTCCTTGCGCAGGAGTTTGAAAAGGACGTACGGAACTTCAAGATTCAGGTTGACGACAGCGACCGGCAGCTCGGAGCGATTTTCTGCCAAGCTTTTGCCGACGCGCTGAGCGTGGAGCACGCCTTCAAGGTATCTTGCGCACATGCAGCGCCCCGTCTCTCGATCCACTGCTGGATGACGAGGGCCTCTGCGCGCCGTGCGCCTGTGACGTCTCACCATGACCTTCAGGAGCTCGCTTTGGGCATTTCATTTCAAGTACTTTGAGCTTGGGAGTCACTGGGCCACCTCGAAGAGGAGGTTTCTTCTTCTTCTTCTTCTTTATTTAACAATAAAAATGCGCTCGCCCTCAAAGTCGCACGCGGCGTTGTTTTCCGCGCAGCTCATGGACATGTTCGGGTCTCTCCTGGAGAGGCCTCTGATTGCGGACGACGCCAACGTGCACCTGCCGCGCCTCGTGACCATGTTCGACCAGGACCTGGACAGCGCCAAGGTCATCTACAACCGACACATCGCCACGGAGAAGGACCTGGGTGCGTGCTCCTTGCTCGTGTACGGGCCTTGTGCGCCTCGCCGGCCTCAACGGGCGCCCGCTAGCAGCGCCCGTAACAAACAGGTGGATTGTTTACGTTGCGGGATCCTGAGAGACGGCAACAGCTTGGGGTCGTTCCATCCAGCAGTGGATTGATCATGGCTGTTGGAGGCGACAAAGAGCGCTTGCCCCGGTCGGTCTATAACAGCTGCGAGGGTGATATTTGTCTTTTGTTGCTCCCGTGCCCTCTGATGCACTGCAGTCTTTCTCTCGCTGCTGTTCAGTCACTGCCTTGTTTCTCTTTGAACGCTGCTACCATGGTCGTCGCTCTGGTAACCTTCGCTCCTTTATACCTCCCGTCCACACTGCGTTCAACCACCACGCTGTCGGACAAAACGCATCTCCTGCTGCCTCTTTTCTCTTAACTGCTCGAATTTGCAACTCCCTCCCGTCATCCCTTATACCCCAAGTGTCCCTAACCTTTCTGCGGTCAAGAAACGCGTTGGTTCTCGCCCGCTACGCAACAATTAGCGCTCTAAGTTGCTCGCCACTTTGCGTCTGCGACGAAGCACGCGCGGGCGTGCAGACGTAGCGGATGGCGTCCGTCGTGCAGTACGATCCATCTTGATTGTGCGCATCTGGGCTTTGGCCTTGTGGGTTGTATTTTTGTGTTTTCCTTCTATTAGAAATGAAATCAACACACCCATGAATAACAATGGCCCTTCCTCACAGCACATAGAGAGAGGGCTAGAGTGAATAGGAGTTGTTTAAAGTACTTAATATACCTCAAGACAAAGACAAAGATCCCCGTATAGCCTTGAACAGACGGTTGGGGCAAGTGCTGTTCGCGAGTAGCACCTATGAAAGCCGACACGGCACACGAGCGAGTCGGTGACCAGCACCACGCCCGGCCACCTTTGTCTCCGCGGTGGCGATGTTTACGCACTGCACCAGGTACTCATTTTAGGCTGGGTCGACCTAGGGAAGGCCCAGGACTGGTTCAGATAAACGTCACTTGGTGTTGGCCGTGAGCGGGAATGGAACTCGGATTCGTAGGGCAGCTCGCTTACCACTCGGGGCCTTTACATACCTCGGAACTGTATACGCACACACACACACTCAGATTTATATTAAAAAAAACGTTGTAGCGTGGCCCTCACGAAACGAAACGCGATCGAATGAACCCCTCCGACGTTGCGCACGCAGGCCGGCCGCCCGTCAGTAAGAACATGCCCTATGTGGCGGGAGGCCTGCGTTGGGCCCAGCTGCTGGAAGGGAGGATCGAGGTTCCCTACAGGAATTTCAAGCACTTCTCCCACCGGTACGTCACCCTCTGCTCCAGTTCACCGCCTAAACTAAAACTGTGAACTTTTATTTTTTTATTTTACCATGTAAGGACCGCTGAGACGTTATTGCTCTTCTTAAGAAGCGACCTGGCTATCACAAATGATAGCTCATCGAAGTGGCTTATCATCACGTGGAAAATTATAGCAGCCGAATAATCTAAACGCACGTTAATTCTAAATATAGAGGGAAAAACCAAGGGACCCAGTGAAAAACCCACGTGACCACAGGGAGAGAGAGAAGGAGACATGCGAACTCCAAATGTCACCGTGACGGTGACGCTGAGGCCCCGGCGGTTGGGCGTTCGCAGCCCACTGCGGAGGTTTCGCGGATACGAATCTGGAACGTCGCCTCGGTTAATGCGGCGGGTGCGTTGAGTGCGTCGGCCGTAAAATGCCACCCCTTGCTACCCGCTTCACACAGTGGTCGTCAGAGGTCCCGTGATGTAATTCGAAAGGACGAGGCCGTTGTGTGCCAATTCTGAAGAATGACCTGCGAATGACCCGATTGGGATTTCGCATACAGCCGCTGCGAACCAAATGCAGTGGCTTATCATCGTGTGGAAATGTATAGCAGTCAAATACTCTAAACGTATGTCAGTTCTAAATGTGGAGGGAAAAGCTGGAAGACTCTGAGAAAAATCCTCGCGACCACGGGGAGAACATGCAAACTCCAAATATCCAGTCGGCGTCAGGCTCGGGATCGATCCCACGACCTCCTGTATTCCAGGCGAGGTAGTTAACATCTCGCCACAGCAGCAGCAGCAGCAGCATCGATTGTGTGTGACGCACAGCGGCCTTCACGGTGGTAGCCTCGCGCTGAAAGATTGGAGTGAATACCAAAACCGCCACGAATAACGGGTGTTATAGGCCAGAGGGCGACGCGGTCGGCAGTGGTGTGCATAGATGTGGGAGCGTAGTACAGTATATTGCTGCACTTGCCCTATGCCTACCACGACGTATCCCTGCAGGAGCCTGCTTATGCGTGGTGGTTGCCGCTGTGCATTTCGCCCCACCAGACACGTTGCCTTCAAATCGGCTGACCGTGGGTGTACCCATTTTAGCGCCTCAAGTGCCTTGCAGAAATGCGCATCATAAGTCTTAGCTTGTTGTTTATTATTATTGTTATTAGCAGGAGATCATCAGGCCTGTGTCTAAAGGTAAAAGTGCAGCCCTGCAATTGCATGAGCACACCACTGCTGATGGACGGGCGTCCACTGCGATGGAACTCTCGAGGGTATGTGACCCACTGTTTCTGCTACGCTGGCCAAATGACTTCGAGGGAGGAGGGAGTTACCCACACTTTACCGCACCGCGCGTAACTTGCCAACTGGCTGACGGCGGTGAGCCCATTTCTACCGCTGGGTGGACAGAGGCAGCGCTGCGGTGGGGTTGGTGGGGGGGGTGGGATATAAGAAAGATGCTTCCACCCCCCCCCCCCCCCATCGTATCAAATGCCGCACTAGGATATGGAATCTACTGGACATCTGTGAAACTACCGGACGTCTTTTGAAAAAGAGCGTCATGGCTCACCGGATTCCTCCAGTATAAACGAATATTCTGAAAAAATATATATTTTAAAAAATTCTGGGATGGATTCGAACCGGTGGCACTCTGGACTGCAGGTCCGGCGCGCCGACCGTTTCACCCACCCCCTGTCGCTGGATGTAAGTCTGACTTGCCGTCCGCTGCATTGCGGCTCGCTGCCTTGTACCCCGTTACGCCGGTGCAGGTGCATGGAGACTGTTGAGGCGCACAGCATGATGCAGAAGTACGAGGAGATGATCGAGCTGCTCAAGAGGTGAGAGGTGAAATGGGCGTCAACGGCCGAGGTGGACCCTTTTTCTGCCTTTTCTTGGCAAACCGGGAGGAAGGGCCGTGTGTTCAGATTGCTCAACTATGAACTTATTATTTTTTTATTTGAGCAGGTGAGGCCCCACTGAGCTGTGTGGCTCTTTTGCAGAAGTGAAACTGGCCACAAATTATACAGCTCCATGAAGTGGCTTATCACTGTCGTTTTATTTGCATATATTTTTAGTGATTTACTTTCCTTCCCGATACTTGGCACTCCTATAGTGTTATTGTATTGTTTGCTATTGTAATGGTCTGACCCCGTGCCCCTACTGGACATCTGTAAAGCTCATCGGATTGCTCCAGGACAAATAAACATTCTGATTCTGAAGAAACTTGCAACATAGTTTTAACCGCTGCACAGTATTAAGTTGTGTCCATCACCAGGCAGTCAATGGCACATGTGGCATCACAATATCCAGCAGGTATTATTCTTATGCTTTACTTATGTAATTGTTGCCTATTTAACTCCTTTGCATACACAGATACACACATGTATGTAATAATACAGAGACCCAGGCTAAGGCACGTTTAGGGCTGATATGGTTTATTGTTATTATGGAGCCAGACTCCGAGGACCGTTCGGATTTTAGCATTCATTGTTATGATGTTGACAAGCAACCTATTCGCTTGCCAAAAACAAGAACACGCTCATTGATTCCTCCACGCATGCCGAAGACACTACCGGATTGACTGACCGTTTCACCTCGTCCACTCTGTGTTCAACCACCACCACCACGGCCGCCACCCTGTAGGTCACCCTGACTTCTCTTTCTGCGTCTTCCCTTGCACTTCTCCGCTGTTTGAATTCCCTCTCCTATCGTCACTGTTGCTCAGTCAAAACGATTTACACCTTTCACGGTGCTGTTTGTCGCCGGCCGCCTTCCGTTTTTTTTGTTCCCGCCTTCGGCAAAAACTGTGATCTCGAAACTGAGCGTGCTCGCTCGATTCCCGTTGCCTTCGCTTGCCCTTCCGATGTCGGCACGGTGCGCCCCCCGCCGTGCAGCTGTTGAGCCGAAGGAGTTCCGGGCCGATGGTGTCTGTCCGCGTGCGCGTGACTCAGGTACAAGGAGCGTCTCTTTGCCGAGTGGGCCCAGTCTGTGGGCGAGAGGTCGGAATTCAACCTGTCCCAGCCGCTCATCTGTCGGGACCCCGAGACTCGCCTCATATCGGTCAACTTCGACCCTCAGGCATGTGATCCCACACCAATATGATTGAATTTTTTTTTTTAGCAAACAAGCGATCGATCTGCCAAGCCAGGCCGTTAAGGGAGCCTCCGTTTTGTGGGGGGGGAACCCTCAGTGGCAGCCGTCCCTGCGCGGTACAAGGCGAACGCAGCTGCGGGAATTAATTGGCAAGTAGGGAGCAATGTTGCCATGTTGCTTTGCCCGATTAAGTCATCTTTTAAATAATAATTGATCACATTCGGCAAATTATGGCTCGTTCCGAGCTGGTGTCTTCCGCTTTCGAAGCCGGCGGTGCAGGGTACTTCGTCATTAACCAGGGCGGCCGCTTGGGCTCGAACCCGTGAGCTTCTACCGACAGGGCGGCAGGCACACGACCGCTGGGGTCCCATCGCCGCCCCTCGCAGAGTGTTGTCGAGGACCTGCCTCCATTCCGCCCGTTGTGTGCCCCCACAGCTGGTGGCCGTGCTGCGGGAGGTGCGGTACCTGGAGTTGTTGGCTCGTGGCGGTGGCGGCGGTGGCGGCGGCGGCTGCGCTGGCAGCGTCGGTGGTAGTTTGGCAGGGGAGCAAGATTTTGGCGGACTCAAGTCCGTGCCGGAGGAGGCGCAGAGACTCTACGCGGGGCGGGAGGATTTGCGGCGGTGAGTTGCGGCCCGATGCTTGTCCAGCGACAGCAACGAGAAGGATCCCCTGTCTAGCCTTATCAGACTGTTGGGGAAAGTGTTGTTCGCGAGCGGCACCTATGAAGGCCGGCACGGCACACAAGTTGAGGTGTGTGGCTAGCAGCATCATGCCCGGCCGCCTTTGTCTCCCGAGTGGCGATGTTTACGCACTGCACGAGGTACTCATTTGAGGCTGAGTCTACCTAACGGGAGACCCAGGAACGGTTCAGATGATCGTGACTTGTGGTGGCTGTGAGCTGGAAATTGAACCTGGTTCTTCCTGCAGCGCTTTAACTGCTTCACTACCGCTCCCTGCAACAACATCGAATAGTCAACAGAAAGTCAACGTGAGATCCTGTTCAAATGTGTATTGAGGCGGTGCCCGTCCCATTTTTACATCTCAGAACCAGTGGTGGCAATTCCACATTCCTGTGGTGGGGCGAGTCTACCCACAGGACAACCACTGTTCACCTCCCCACAGAGCGGGACGCATTTTGGAGGGACGATGAACTGGCGAGCTTACGACTATGAGCCGCTTGATATACGGCTGAGCGGCCAGGCTGGTTAGCTGTAGAGCGGTTGTGGTGATCGGTGGGCGCGTCGATTCGCGGATCAATTTGAAAATATTTGGGGCAGCGGTAGAGAATAAAGTGACCTCGAGGAAATAATGATGCCAATCATATTAACCTGGAAAAGCATCACCGGCGCACATGGTCCAGTTTACAGGAGGTTCTGCCACTTGCAATCCAGGGGTTTCCACTTTGATCTTTCGGTGTGAGAGTTGAAGAATTTAGCGAGTTCATGAACCAACCCCCACCTCTTTCCATCCATTAAGATACACGGATACACCGCAGTTAGCCGCGTGTGGTGGGGTAAAGTGTGGGTAACTGCCACATATTCTTCCGTTGGGATGTCTGGTCAACGTGGAAGAGGAGGCCAAAACCCCCTCCAGCGGGGGTCTCTAGTGGAGGCCCTTCCTCCAGCCGTGGTGCACGCGAGCACTTGCGGGGCCGCACCTTTACTCTGCCACGTTGGGACGCTCGGGGTGCAGGTGCGTGGCGAGCCTGGAGCTGACGGTCGGCTGGTACAACAAGGTGCTGCGCTCCGTGCTGGAGGTGGAGCTGCCCCTCGTGGCCGGGCAGCTCCAGGACATGGACGACAAGCTGGAGCTGGCAGAGGGCACGCTGTGCTGGAAGAGCCAAGGTGCGGCGCGGGTCGCGTTTGCGTTCGAGTCGCCGAGTAGGGTTGGCTGTGTGACGCAGGTGTTCATGGGCTCCAGCCGCACCTTGAAGAGCGGAGCGCCGCACGTCCGGGCATCTGCGCGACGGGCCGGCGAGTGGCAACGTTTACAAAAGTGTCTATCTGCCCCCTCCACGTGGTGATGCTACATCCTCGTGCAATATATTGGGCACCACGGTGGTGAGATGTTAACTACCTCGCCTGGTATGGAGGAGGACGTGGGTTCGATCCCAACCCTGACGCCTGCTCCATATTTGGAGTTTGCGTGTCTCTCTCCCCGTGGCCGTGTGGATTTTTCTCCGGTTCCTCTGGTTTTTCCCTCCACATTTGGAAAGGTACATTGAGAGTATTTGGCTGCTATTCAAGTTTCACGTGATAAACCACTTTATTGGGCCATCATTTGCGGCCAGGTGGCTTCTAAAAAAGAGCTACATAGCTCAGTGGGCCTTACCTTGTGAGACAAAAATAGTAAAAGCAAATTTTGTTTAGTTTAAATCACGGTTTCAGCCGCCCGTGATCAAACTGACGCCGCCGCCGCTCCCGCTGCTCGTATGCTGCGTGTCCACGCGCCGCCAGGCGTGTGGGAGTACATCCAGACGACGCGCGACCTCGTCAAGGACCTGGAGAGTCGCACGCAGAGGGCCAAGGAGAACGTGGAGGTGGCTTGCGGCCTCATGAAGGCCTGGGTGTCGCCCATCTTCGAGCGCAAGGACGGCAAGAGGGAGGCGCTCCTCAATCTGGACGACCGCAAGGAGCGGCTGGAGAAACGGTATCAGGTGCTGCGGGACTCGGGCCAGAAGATTCACGATCTTCTCAAGGTACGCGGGTTAACTGAAACTAAAATGCAGTTTTTAAAAAATATTTTACCATGTAAGGCCCCACTGAGCTGTACAGCAGAACCCCTGTTATCTACCACCCCTGTTAATGACTAATCGCTTAACGGCGGGCCTCCATAGAGCCCAATGTGTAGTGTATAGAGTCATGTATAGTAGCGTCGTGTATAGTAGTGGTGTATAGTAATGTAGTGTATAGTAGTGTAGTGTATAGTAGCGTCGTGTATAGTAGTGTAGTGTATAGTAGTGTGGTGTATAGTAGTGTAGTGTATAGTAATGTAGTGTATAGTAGTGTAGTGTATAGTAGTGTAGTATATAGTAGTGTAGTGTATAGTAATGCAGTGTATAGTAGTGTAATGTATAGTAGCGTAGTGTATCGTAGTGTAGTGTATAGTAGTGTAGTCTATAGTAGCGTAGTGTATCATAGTGTAGTGTATAGCAGTGTAGTGTATAGTAGCGTCGTGTATAGTAGTGTAGTGTATAGTAGTGTAGTGTATAACAGTGTAGTGTATAGTAGTGTAGTGTATAGTAATGTAGTGTATAGTAGTGTAGTGTATAGTAGCGTCGTGTATAGTAGTGTAGTGTATAGAAGTGTAGTGTATAGTTGCGTAGTGTATAGTAATGTAGTGTATAGTAGTGTAGTGTATAGTAGTGTAGTGTATAGTAATGTAGTGTATGGTAGCGTCGTGTATAGTAGTGTAGTGTATAGTAGTGTAGTGTATAGTAGCGTAGTGTATAGTAGCGTAGTGTATAGTAGCGTAGTTTATAGTAGCGTAGTGTATAGTAGCGTAGTGTGTAGTAATGTAGTGTAGAGTAGTGTAGTGTATAGTAGTGTAGTGTATAGTAATGTAGTGTATAGTAGTGTAGTAGTGTAGTGTATAGGAGCATAGTGTATAGTAGTGTAGTGTATAGTAGTGTATAGTAGTATAGTGTATAGTAGTGGATAGTGTATAGTAGTGTAGTGTATAATAGTGGATAGTGTATAGTAGTGTAGTGTATAGTAGTATAGTGTATAGTAGTGGATAGTGTATAGTAGTGGATAGTGTAGTGTATAGTAATGTAGTGTATAGTAGTGTAGTGTATAATAGTGTAGAGTAGAACCCCTCTTAACGACCACCCCTGTTAACGACTAATCGCTTAACGACGGGCCTCCATAGAGCCCAATGTTTATAGTAGTGTAGTGTATAGTGTAGTGTATAATGTAGTGTATAATGTAGTGTATAGTGGTGTCGTGCCTTCATAGAGACCAATGTCTTTGCTTACCGACCATTGCCCTGTTAATAACCGGCTGTTGTAGGTACAGTAAATATTAATTAATGCATTGATTAACTATATTTCTTTTAATGTCACGTGATAAAGTATCACTTTTGGTGCCTATACTTGCTTAACGACCAAATAACTAAACGACCGGCTTCATGGAACCAATTACTGTCATTAAGAGGGGTTCTATTCTATATATATAGCTCGTTTTCGGAAGCGTCCTGGCCATTACGAATGATAGTTCAACGAAGTGGCTTATCGCCGCGTGGAAATTTACAGCGGCAAAATACTCTTGAACGCACGTCGATTCTAAACGTGGAGGGAAAGACCTGGAGGACTTGGATTAAAATCCACGCGACCAAGAGGAGAAAGAGAGAGTACACACAAACTCCAAATATACAGGCGTCAGGGTTGGGTTCGAACCGATGACCTCCTGCACAACAGGCGAGGCAGATAACAATGCTCAACGCATTAATTCAGCGTTTCGCTACACGCGGTCATTTATTTGTGCTTGGAGAAAGTGATTCGAAAACTGGGAGGGTCGCGAATTCAAATCATGCCGTTCGTTCCACGGAGGCCGATAAAACGGATTCCTCCTTGGGCGAAGTCAACGGCGCTGTTCTCTCTGCCATGGGAATGTGGAATTTTCTCTGTGGGCTAAGCGCTGCGATCAAAGGCAGTGAATTAGGCCGGCGATTTCCCCCCCTCCCGTGGAGTCCTGCGGAGCGCGCCGGTAAAGCCGATGTAGAGCGAGCGACGCCCGCCACCGGGACACAAGGGTTTCACGGTGCCCTCCGGATGCCCGGCCGTCGTGCCCGCGGGGGCCGCTGTCTTTCAGGAGAACCTGGAGCTGCTGCAAGCGGACGCGAGCTCGGAGGAGTGGCAGGCGTACGTGGAGTACGTGGACGAGATGGTGGTGGATGGGTTCTTCACGGCCATCGAGTGCTCGCTCAAGTTCCTCGTCGAGAACATGGGTGAGAGAGACTAAAGCTTTTCAACTATTGTTTCAACTTACCAGTTAAGGCCCACAGAGCTGTATAGCTCTTCTTTAAGAAGCGACCTGGCCTCAAGCGATAGCTCAACGGAGTGGCTTATCACGTTGACATTTATAGCAGCCGGATGACCCGGAGAAAATCCACACGACCACGGGGGGAGAGAGAGAAAGACACGCAAACTCCAAATATACAGGAGGCGTCAGGGTCGGGATCAAACCCATGATCTCCTGTATACCAGGCGAGGTAGTTAACATCTCACCACCGTGGTGCCCAATATATTGCACGAGGACGTAGCATCACCACGTGGAGGGGGCAGATAGACACTTTTGTAAACGTTGCCACTCGCCGGCCCGTCGCGCAGATGCCCGGACGTGCGGCGCTCCGCTCTTCAAGGTGCGGCTGGAGCTGGTGGCGCCTGAGCTGGTGTTCAGCCCGTCGTTGGACGAGCAGGACAGCGGCGAAGGCCTCGCGGACCTGGTGGAGGCGCTGGTGAACGACGTGTACCGCGTGTCGTCGCTGGTGCCGCGCCTCGCCGTGCACAGCAGCTTCCCGCACTACCAGGTGCGACCGGCCACCAGGGGCTTGAGTGGGCAATTGCAGTGCTGTGCCTTCATCTGTTTGTTTCCTCTTGCTACGCTCAGCACAGTGTTGTTCGCTTGCTCTTGAAGAGAGAGAACGACGCAAAGGAACCGTATGCAAGCGAGAAGGCAGCCATGCAGTGAGCAGGTGCCAACGATTGCCCAAGCTCTGCTGTCCTGTATTATTAAGATGTTATCGGCAAATTAATGAGTGTTTACGCAAGCACCTCCGATTGGCTCGGGTGGCTACGTACCGTGCAAAATAAGTTCAACGTACGTACAGTACATACATGTGGGAGGAAACCGGCGAGGGGGAAACGCTCTGGACAAAAGTTGGGTGTCCACATTTTTGGCCGTACCGCCTTCTCCTGGCGAGCCGCGGCAAGGCGCCTCCTCGACGCCCACACGCGGGGAAGGGAGTTTCACAACCCTCGCGCGGCGATCCACCAACCCTCGCCGCTGCCACCACAGCCCTGGATCGCGGCAGCCGCGTGCAGCGGCGTAAGCCACCGCCGCCGGTGCCCCGGTTGACGATGGGGTGGGGGGCCTCCGCCTTTGTCGTTGACAGGCGGACATGGAGGACATGGTGGACCTGGCCGACATGCGGGACGAGCTGATGCGGCGCGTACGGACCGCCGCGGGCCGCTGCCTGGAATACCGCGCGACGCTGGCGACGTACGCGCACCTCTGGGCCGACGACCGGCACGAGTACCTGCGCCAGTTCCTGCTCTACGGCCACGCGCTCACCCCCGAGGAGGTGGAGATACTCGCCACGGCCCACACGTGAGTCGACGAGGGTTTGGCGGCGGGCGGGTAGGATCGTTTACGCGCCGGGGCGACCGTCGCTCGGCCAGGCGGGTGTCCGGGCGAGGGGATGGCTTCCGGGAAAAAGGCGCGACGGGAGCGACGATTCGCGCGCAGGTCCACGGACGGCGGTGCGTCCGCGATCTTGTCGTTGGGCCCAGCGGTGGCGAGATGTTAACTCCATCGCCTAGTTTACAGGAGGTCGTGAGTTCATTCCCGACGCATGCTGTATATTTGGAGTTTGCATGTCTCCCTCTCTCTCATCATTATGATTACAGTGGCTAGGAGATGTTAACTACCACGCCTGGTATGCAGGAGGTCGTGGGTTCCATGCCGACCCTGACTGCTCTATATTTGGAGTTTGCGTGTATCTCTCTCATCATCATCATCGTCACGGTGGCTAGGAGATGTTAACTACCTTGCCCGGTATGCAGGAGTTCGTGAGTTCGATTCCGACGCATGCTGTATATTTGGAGTTTGTTTGTCTCTCTCCCCGTGGTCGCGTGGATCTTTCTCCGGGTCCTCCGGGTTTTCACTCCACATTTAGAATACACTTGCATTTAGAGTATTTAGCTGCTTTACATTTCCACTTCATAAGCCACTTTGTTTAGCTATCATTTGCTGCCAGGTTGCTTCAGAAAATTATGCGACCTGGCAGCAGTGGGCCTTACCTGATAAAATAAAAATTAGATTCTTGTTGTCGGAGGTGTTTACATCTTGTGCCTCGCAGAGGCAGCTGCTACTGGGGGTCTCCCTCGGTTAGACTGACGCAGGGCACCTCGAGATGTATTTGCCGGCAGGCGGACTAAGTGGAACAACAATGCGTCACCTCTTGACGTTTAAACACTCTGCCCTCCGCTGTGTGTGGACCAACCAAAGGTCACTTGAAGGGACTTCGGCGGTAGCTCTGTGACTATCCGCTTCCGTGGGCCGCCGCCCTGCGAGAGATCCGGTTGGAACCCACGTCTTGAGACACCAGACTGACATCTTGCACGGGAGGCACGGTCGAAACACTGAAACACTACACGATGACGATGCCGAGGAATTGTTGCCGCCGTGGCTCAACCCCCCCCCCCCCCCGCCCCTCTTCCCCGGCCCCCGCCACTCGCGCGGCAGGGCGGATGACGACGAGGGCCACGTGGCGGGCGTGATGGAGCAGCCCCCGACGCTGGCGCAGTTCCGCGAGCAGGTGGACGGCTACGAGCGCCTGCACGAGGAGGCGTCGCGCCTCGAGCCGTCCACCACGGTGGAGGGGTGGCTGCGCGTGGACGCGCGCCCCTTCAAGGCGTCGCTGCTCAACGTCATCAAGCGCTGGAGCCTCATGTTCAAGCAGCACCTGGTCGACCACGTCACCAACAGGTGGGTGCAGACGTTGCTTGGCTGTGACCCCCGGTGGCCTGGAGTTTGGCGGCGGCGGTGGTGGTGGCGGGAGTGGCGATGCGTGTGTGTGTGTGTGTACGGGGATCGGTAGGGCAGCGGTTTCCCGCTCACAGGCCAACGCCGGTGGCGATTATCTGAACCGGTCCTGGGCCTCCCCTAGGTCGACTCAGCCTCAAATGATTACCTTGTGCGGTGTGTAAACATCGCCACAGGGGAGACAAAGGCGGCCGGGCGTGGTGTTGACCACCCACCCCCTCGTGTGCCGTGCCGGCCTCCATAGGTGCTCGCTAACATCACTCGCACCGTATGTAGCCAACCGTGCTAATCAGAAATGCGGAGGCGGGAGAACATGCGTTGGAATCCGGGGTTCGACCGGCCAACCGGAACGAGACTGGGTTCTCGAGCGTGGCGGGGCGCCCCGGTACCGGCCCGGTCGCGACCGTTACATGCCTCCCGTTATGCTCGCCGCCTACTCTCACCCCCCCCCCCTCGTCGCAGCCTCCTGGGCCTGGAGCAGTTTGTGCAGGAGAAGGAGGAGGGCCTGGGCCAGAAGATAAAGGAGGGCAACTACCACGGCTTAGTGGACGTCATGGGCCACCTGATGGCCGTCAAGGAGCGGCAGGCGAGCACGGACGCAATGTTCGAGCCGCTCAAGGAGACCATCGAGCTCCTCAAGTCGTACGACCAGGAGCTTCCGGACGACGTCTACAGGCAGCTCGAGGTATGGGAAGCGGAATATTTATTTAGACTGCACGAGGAATCCAATGAGCTCTGAAACTCTTTCTCACAGATGTCCAGTCGGGGCACGGGGTCGGAGCGTCACAACGGCAATATCAGTGCCGAGAGACCCGTGGCCGTGGTGTGTCGCACACTGAGCCGGCAAGTTGCGTCGCTTAACCCTTTCCGAGACTGTCCGCTGAATCTGGGAACGTGCGAGTGGTTCAGCGTTAATTTTATTGAGAGAAGCGTAGTGGCGCCGTTGTTTCTCTAGACATTATGCTCACCGCAGAGAACTGTAGCGACATGACCGCGCTCTATGATAGCTGGCGCAAATGTGTGCCCATGCGCCCTCACGCATGGCCTTGTGGGAGCCTCGGTACCAATAAAGTTATTGTACTTCCGTTCCGACGACTTACAAATTCGATGACGTACTTATATGATGACGTACGTGTATGTCATCGGAACGGAATCAGAATAAAAACTGATGACGTACGTCATCGGAATGGGAAAGGGTTAATTGTGCATTAATCGGTTTTCTGTTCCCGGTTATGGATGCGCATTGCGTTATATAGTTGTGCATCTGGAAGTTTTTGTTTTACGAGCTCCCAGAGGAGTCCGGAGTGCAGTCCTCGGCCACTGAGTAGATCAATTGGTAGGCGACAGAGGGGCGGCAGTTCGCAGCACATCAGCTGAGGTGCCCCAGGCTGCTCTGCAAGTTTCCGTAGCTTGCGCCCGAGCGCCGCCACTGCCAACGACCACTTCCCCACCGCTCTCTCTGTCTCCCTCCCTCCCTCCCCCTCCCTCCCCCTCTCTCTCCCTCTGCGTGCGTGTGCGCAACAACGTCGGCTGCAGGAGCTGCCGGAGAAGTGGACGAACCTGAAGAAGGGCGCGGTGGCCATGAAGCAGCAGGTGGCACCGCTGCAGGCCGCCGAGGTGGCCGTGCTACGCAGGAAGTGCGCCGCCTTTGACGTGGAGCAGCATCGCTTCCGCGAGCGCTTCCGGGCGAAGGCGCCGTTCTGGTGAGCGATGGAGGGGGGGGCGGGGGCCGCGGGGTGGAGGGGGGGGGGAGGCTCTTCGTACTAAAACTGAAACTAAACTTTTTATTTTACTGGGTAAGGCCCGCCGAGCCATGGAGCTCATTTTCAGAATGCGACCTGGCCGTCACAAATGATAGCTCAACTAAGCGGCTCGTCAGAGAATGGACATTTATATTGGCGGCGTTGATTGCAAATGTGGAGGGGAAAAACGGGAGGACCCAGAGGAAAAATCCACATGACCACGGGGAAAAACATGCAACCTCCAAATATACACGGCAGTCGTCTTGGTCAGGATCGAACCAACGACTTCTTGTATACCGGGCGAGGGAGTTAACATCTTGCCGCCGCGTTACTTCCGAGCCGGAGATTGAGCGCTGCCCGTCCACCCACAGCTATGACTGCGCCAAGCCCTACGCGCTGCTGGACACTTGGCACCACGACCTGTCCTCCATGGAGGCGTCGCTCGCCAGCCTGGCCGAGTCGGCCAGCCTCTTCGAGGTGGCCGTGCCGGACGCGCGGCAGCTGCGGCAGTGCCGGCGCGAGGCGCGCGCCCTCCGGGAGCTGTGGGATGTGACGGCGCTGGTGCGGTCCAGCGTGGGCGACTGGCGCGACACGAGGTGGCGGCAGCTGGACGTGGACGCGATGGACGCCGAGTGCAAGCGGTTCGCGCGCGACCTCCGCGCGCTCGACAAGGAGACGCGCGCCTGGGACGCCTTCGCGGGCCTCGACTCGGAGGTGAAGAACATGATGACGTCGCTGCGCGCCGTCGCCGAGCTGCAGAACCCGGCGATTCGCGAACGGCACTGGCAGCAGCTCATGCAGGTGGGTGCGTACACGCGCGTACGCGCGCTCGTAAGACGCACGCACGATCGTCGGGGGGGGGGTGGCAGAAATGTTGAGAACTACCGCACAATTCTAGATTTGAAGGTTTTTTTTTTTTCACTCCAGCGCAGTCTTCGAGACAGTCTGGTCCCTTCACTTGATGAAGGCCGCTCTTGTGTTGTGGGCGAAACGTCGTGATTTTTGTTGTTTTATTTGTTACCTACGTGACTTTACCGAATAGAACCAAAGAGTAACTACCGCACAGTTTGCTGGTACATTCATACCGTTAACTACCTCGCCTGGTATACAGGAGGTCGTGGGTTCAAATCCCGATGCTGACGCCTGCTGCATATTTGGTGTTTGCGCGTTCTCCCTCCCCGTGGTCCCATGGATTTTTCTACGGGTGCTCCGGTTTTTTTGTCTCCACATTCAGAATCAGCGTGTGCGTTGAGAGTATTTGGTTTCCGTAAATTTCCGCACGATGAGCCACTTCGTTGAGCTATCATTTGTGATAGCCGGGTCGCTTCTGAAAAAAGAGCTGCATAGCTCATTGGGCCTTGCCTGGTAAAATGTAAATATTTTTTGCTTACTTTAATTTGTCACGTGTTGTCACATCTCATTTGCCTCTTACCATCCCATCCGTATCGTTTCCCCGCGTGTAACTTCTGCGGAGTGCGGCCCGCAGGCGACGGGCGTGCGCTTCTCGATGGACGAAGACACCACGCTGGCCGACCTGCTGCAGCTGAACCTGCACTCGTTTGAGGACGAGGTGCGCTCCATCGTGGACAAGGCGGTGAAGGAGATGGGCATGGAGAAGGTGCTGCGCGAGCTGCGCTCCACCTGGGGCCAGATGAGCTTCGGCTACGAGCCGCACCCGCGCACCGCCGTGCCGCTGCTGCGCTCCGACGAGGAGCTCATCGAGACGCTGGAGGAGAACCAGGTGGGGGTGGGGGGGTGTTCGTGCAGTCGATCGCCCTTTTGATTTTTATCGACGACTTCGCGAATCGCCTTCTCTCGCACGGTCGCCGAAGAGCGATCGTCGGGACAGTGCGGGGTAAAAACGGGATGGGCAGTACAGACGGTAAACACGGGATGGGCAGTACAGATGGTAAACACGGGACGGGCAGTACAGATGGTAAACACGGGACGGGCAGTACAGACGGTAAACACAGGACGGGCAGTACAGATGGTAAACACGGGACGGGCAGTACAGATGGTAAACACGGGACGGGCAGTACAGATGGTAAACACGGGACGGGCAGTACAGACGGTAAACACGGGACGGGCAGTACAGACGGTAAACACGGGACGGGACGGGCAGTACAGACGGTAAAAACAGGACGGGCAGTACAGACGGTAAACACGGGACGGGCAGTACAGACGGTAAACACGGGACGGGACGGGCAGTACAGACGGTAAAAACAGGACGGGCAGTACAGACGGTAAGCACAGGACGGGCAGTACAAGACGAGCTATTATACACATGACGAGAGTCAGTTATCTTTATCAATCATGATCCAGAGTCGTAACATTCAATCCAATGTTTGTTTGGCGTGGCCTTGACCGCTTCTTGCCGACTCTGGACACGGAGCCCTCCATCACCACCCGACACAGCCGTGTACAAGCAATTAACGAGCAATTATCTATCAATGAACGAGCAATTAATGAGCAATTACAGAGCAATTAACGAGTAATTAGAGAGTAATTATGGACAAATTAACGAGCAATTAGGGAGTTATTATGGAACAATTAACCAGCAATTAACTTACCACTTATTGCTGTTTCAGCCTAGGGGGAACAATCCTTACAACGAATTGTAGTGGCTAGATACGCGACAATTCACTTGGAACTGCATCAAGCATCCTCAGGAAGTGAGAATTAAAATCCGGGCTGTCCACTTTGTCTGGGTGAAGCGTGGGACAGTCGCAAGTGAAACGTCACAGCCGATTGCTAAACGGAATCAGAGTCTTTATTTATACTGCAGGAGGAATCTGATGAGCTATAAAGCTCTTTTTTCACAGATGTTCAGTCGGGGCACAGGGTCAGAAGGTTACAAGGAACAATAGAAAACACGATAGGAGTGGAAAGTGTAGGAAAGGTGAGCAAATTATGAAAAAATTAAAGATGATGTACATAAAAATAAAATTAAACATTTTTTTTATTTTTACCAGGTCAGGCTTACTGAGCTATTAACTTCTTTCTCAGAAACGGCGTGGCCACAAATGATAGCTCAACGAAGTGGCTTATCGTCGTGTTGACATTTATAGCACTCCTATCGCGTTTTTGTACCGTTGGTTGTTCTGACGTTCTTACCCACCCCTACTGGGCATGTGTGATGAAGAGTGTTATAGGTCGTCGGATTCCTGCAGTATAATAAATATTTTGATTGTGTGACGTTGATCCTAAATGTGGGGGGAGGATTTGGTTGTGAGGGCCATCCATCGAGGATTTGGTTGTGAGGGTCATCCATAAACTTAGCGCTGAGCTGAATCTGAAATAATTCGGTTTGTCGGGTGGTGGAGGGTTCATAATGACACAGATTTGGTCCGACCATTACGTGGCCTCACCCAAAAAAAAGCCAAATCAGTTACGGCTGCGAAAGCTCACGCGTCGACGTTTTGAGTTTTTTCCGCCTTATCGCCGACGTCAACTTTCCAAACGGAGAAGTGTCGAGTTTCTCAAAGCTCAGGAAGCCACCGCTCGGACCGATACGAAGGCCGCGGCGCGACCGCCCACCCGCCTCCTCCTCCGCCGCCTGCCGCCGCCGTTCCTTGCTGGCCCCGCAGGTGCAGCTGCAGAACCTGATGACATCCAAGTATGTGGCGTTCTTCCTGGAGGAGGTGTCGAGCTGGCAGCGGCGCCTCTCCACGGCAGACTCGGTCATCTCCATCTGGCTGGAGGTGCAGCGCACGTGGTCCCACCTGGAGAGCATCTTCATCGGCTCCGAGGACATCCGCTCGCAGCTGCCCGAGGTGTGCGTGGTGGGGTTTGGTGGCGTCTGTAGGGAACTCGCCCGCGTGTGCGTCTGTCCCTCTGTGTGTCTGTGTGTCAGTGTGTCAGTGTGTCTGTGTGTCTGTGTGTCAGTGTGTCTGTGTGTCAGTGTGTCAGTGTGTCTATGTGTCAGTGTGTCTGTGTGTCGGTGTGTCTGTGTGTCAGTGTGTCAGTGTGTCTGTGTGTCAGTGTGTCTGTGTGTCTGTGTGTCTGTGTGTCTGTGTGTCAGTGTGTCAGTGTGTCTGTGTGTCAGTGTGTCTGTGTGTCGGTGTGTCGGTGTGTCTGTGTGTCAGTGTGTCAGTGTGTCTGTGTGTCAGTGTGTCTGTGTGTCTGTGTGTCTGTGTGTCAGTGTGTCTGTGTGTCTGTGTTTCAGTGTGTCAGTGTGTCGGTGTGTCTGTCCCTCTGTGTGTCTGTGTGTCAGTGTGTCTGTGTGTCTGTGTGTCAGTGTGTCTGTGTGTCAGTGTGTCTGTGTGTCAGTGTGTCGGTGTCTGTCCCTCTGTGTGTTTGTGTGTCAGTGTGTCTGTGTGTCAGTGTGTCTGTGCCTCTGTGTGTCTGTGTGTCAGTGTGTCTGTATGTCAGTGTGTCTGTGTGTCTGTGTTTCAGTGTGTCTGTGTGTCTGTGTGTCAGTGTGTCGGTGTCTGTCCCTCTGTGTGTCTGTGTGTCAGTGTGTCTGTGTCAGTGTGTCTGTGTGTCTGTGTTTCAGTGTGTCTGTGTGTCTGTGTGTCAGTGTGTCGGTGTCTGTCCCTCTGTGTGTCTGTGTGTCAGTGTGTCTGTGTCAGTGTGTCTGTGTGTCTGTGTTTCAGTGTGTCTGTGTTTCAGTGTGTCTGTGTGTCTGTGTGTCTGTGTGTCAGTGTTTCTTAGTGTCTGTGTGTCAGTGTGTCTTAGTGTCTGTGTGTCAGTGTGTCTTAGTGTCTGTGTGTCAGTGTGTCTGTGTGTCAGTGTGTCTGTGTTTCAGTGTGTCTGTGTGTCTGTGTGTCAGTGTGTCTTTGTGTGATGGGGAGCGGTAGTGTAGCGATTAGCCCTATGCTGCGCTACGAACCTGGCGACCCGAGTTCGATTCCCACTCACGGCCAACACCAGTGACGAATATCTGAACCGGTCCTGGGCCTCCCTAGGTCGACTCAGTCTCAAATGAGTACCTGGTGCGACGTGTAAACATCGCCACTAGGTGAGACAAAGGCGGCCGGGCGTAGTGCTAACAGCACTTGCCCCAATGCGGGAGTTCAGAGCAGTCCCGGCTCCGGCTCCGGCTCCTCGTCTGTGGATCGCTGTGAATTCGTGCGACGCGGTTCCACTCAACCGAATCTCTCTCCGGCCCCCGATCGCAGGACAGCAAGCGCTTTGAGGGGATCGACGCGGACTTCCGTGAGCGGGCTTACGACACAGAGAAGACCCCCAACGTGGTGGAAGCCACCAACAAGCCGGGGCTGTATGAACAACTGGAGGACATTCAGGGCAGGTGCGTGCGTGCGTGTGTGTGATTGTGGAGGTGGTGTAGCGGTCAGCGCGTTGCGTTACGAACCCTGGCGACCCGAGTTCGATTCTCGCTCACTGGCAACACCATTGACGACCGGTCCTGGTGCGGTGTGTCATAAACATTGCCACTGGGGGGACAAAGGCGGTCGGGCGTGGTGCTGGTCACCCGCCCCCTCGTGTACTGGGCCGGCCTTTATAGGTGCTCGCGCACAGCACTTGTCCCAAGAGTCTGTTAAGGCTATACGGGGGATCTTTGCTTTTTGTGATGGTACATTTCACAATACTGAAGTTGCCGATTGTTCGGCACGTATTGAGGCGTGTATTGAAATTGCTTCACACGTTTACGATGCATTTGCTGAATTGTGTGTGTCTGTGAATGTGTATGTACGTATGTTGAATTTCCTTCGCACTGTACGTAGCCAACTGTGCTAATCGGAGGTGCATTGCTGAGTCTATGGGCAGTGTTAGTGTATGGGTAGTGTTAGTCTATGGGCAGTGTTGGTCTATTGGCTGTACGTATGTTAAACTTCTTTCGCACCGTACATAGCCAACCGTGCTAATCGGAGGTGCAGTGTTGAGTCTATGGGCAGTCTTCGTCTATGGGCAGTGTTAGTGTATGGGCAGTGTTGGCCTATGGGCTGTACATATGTTAAACTTCTTTCCCATCGCATGTAGCCAACCGTGCTAAACGATAATTTACAATGAACGCGAATGATGTACATGTATAGCCCTCAGAGAATCCACGTTGTGGACAAACACCAAAGAGACGAACAGCACAGACAACACAGCAAAAACGAGGCAGACGATACAACCTTATTCACTAGTCTAAACAATAATCGGTTATTTAAGCCAATAATTTAAAAAAAAATTCAAAACGTACGGTCTGTTGTCCTATAGCGCTGCGTGGATATAATGCGATTAATTTATTGGGGAACACTTTGTGTTTTTTATAACGCGGATGCGAATTGGATTTCACGCAAACAAGAGAACGAAACTACGTCGCTGCGCACGTAGGAATAAGTGGTCGTAACGGCTGCCTCGGCTTAGCATCATCGCGCAAGGCATTGGGATGTTGCTGGATGCTTCTAGATGCTACCCACACGTCCTCATTCTTTGTTCGGCCTGAGTACGCATCTCTCACGTTATCGCCGACTGTGCATTACCCCTACATTGTATATTATCCGTTACAGTGCGATTTTTCCACGACGCGGTGTTCTTCAGGAGCACAACCACTACCGCCGCTTTATAGGGGAACAGAACGTAACTTTGTCGCTGGGCCAGGCCCCGCAGCATCGTCGTTGGCTGCAGCGGCGTCACCCTCGGACCGCCGACGCTCAGCTCGGTTGGCGGGGGCGCGGCCTTTGACGTCGTCGTCCGTCCTCGCACCACGGCCACGGTCCGATCGCGAGGCTGACTTTTCGACGACGAATCGAGCGCGCTCGATCGTTTCGTTTGCCGTGGCTTTGACCGCAGGCTGGCGCTGTGCGAGAAGGCCCTGGCCGAGTACCTGGACACCAAGCGCCTCGCCTTTCCTCGCTTCTACTTCATCTCGTCGGCCGACCTCTTGGACATTCTCTCCAACGGCACCAACCCTCAGCTGGTGGGAGAACTTAGCAGACCTCTGTAGCCACTCCACGTATAAAATGCTAATAATAAATAAAATGCGATTTTAGTCCACCGTGCCGATATTGTTCAGCGGCGTTTGTTGAACGCAAGCAAACTCTGCGCCGGTTTTCAGGCCTCTGGGTCTCATCAGCAGGGCGAGGCTTGTTGAACGAACGCCGCTGCTTTACCAGATGTTGTTGGCAAGAGGCAATTTCGCCTGGAAGTTAGTTTGTCTCTACGCGAGTCAGTCTGTAGGTCACTGGAGTAGATTTAAAGTTCGTAAGGCCGACCGGCTGGAACCAGGGGCCTATGGTGTTGATGATTAATTTTGTACGACTTGTGACCTTGGCTAAAATGGTCCAACGGTGGCACGTTCACGGCTTGAGGTTCACGATTCGAATCCGGCAGGCCGCCCTGGTTATTGCTGCGGCGTGTGTATTAACCATGCGATACGCTCTGTCTGCTTCCCAGTGGACGTTAAATACCCCCCGGGATGTCCATTCGATAAAGAGCCAGGCCATATTCTGTGCCGGCCGTCACGCTCCAAATTTGAATAATATAATCACTCAAGTGGAATGACACCCAGCATCAACATTTCCCCGTACGGGTCCCCTTGACTTACAAATGAGTTCGGTTCCAGAGGTCTGTTCGTAACGCGATTTGTTTGTAAGTCCAACTTTACTCCCTTCGATTCGAAACATATTGTACGGCATGTACACTAAACACGGAGGAATGGCTTTAAAAGTTGTATAATCTCCTGTAGATGTCGACGCCACTGGTTCTTCATGTTCTGCAGTTTTTGAAACCACCACCGCCATATATTGTGAGGCGGTTGAACATACGACTCTCGGTCCGAACAGGCAACTGGACTTAGAGGACAGGTTTGTTTCTCTGAAAGTTCGTACGTCGAATATTCGTAAGTAGAGGGAGTCCCTGCGCTATGAAACCACCGCAGGACTGTATCTGTGAAAAAACCCCGGCACCTACCTTCGTGCCGATGGCGCCGGGCTTACGGGAACGAAAAGCGGGCAAATTCCAAAAGTTGCTTGGATCTATTGTCAATTGCGATCAACCCCGCGCGCACGCGTGCACCCACCGCCGCAGGTCCAGCGTCACCTGTCGAAGCTCTTTGACAACATGGCCAAGATGGAGTTTGAGAAGGGCCCAGGTGACGCCGAGACGAAGACCGGGCTCGGGATGTACAGCAAGGAGGGAGAGTACGTGGCCTTCAACGCGCCGTGCGACTGCAGCGGCCCGGTACGACACGCTCGCGCCTCACAGCGACAAGGGGCCTGGGTTCGATTCCCGGCTCGGCTGCCTTTCTGTTTTGTAGTTTGTTTGTTCTCCCCCTGCTCCACGTGGGTTTCCTCCGGCTTCTCCTATAGCTAAAATAAAAACCGCACAATTTAATTGTATGTGTCTACGTTGAACTTAGCCAACCTTGCTATTCCGAGTGTGCGGGTGAAAGACAACAAACTTAACACAAAAAGGCATTTTAAAGGAATTAGTTTTCAATCTAGATGATTTAAAAATGCACTTCCCCCTTGGCTTCCTAATATCGGAAGGAAGGGCGTTCCAGATGGCTGCAGAAGCGCCTCTCAGCGATCGTCTTTGTATGAATGTTGAACTTCTTTCGCACTGCACATAGCCAACTGCTAATCGGAGGTGCGGGGGATAGACAAATTACTAAACACAAAAAGCAGTTCTAAAGAAATGAGTTTTCATACTGGTGTTTGTTAAATATCCAAATGTAGGACCAGTATCTGCAAACGACCCGATTGGGATCAAACCGAGCAACATCATCGTTCCCTCCTGAGGCTTTCCTGGCTAAGCTAGCCTATTCATCTATTAAGCAGGCCTATTCAGCTAAGCAGGCCTATTCAGCTAAGCAGGCCTATTCAGCTAAGCAGGCCTATGCAGCTAAGCAGGCCTATTCAGGCAAGCAGGCATATTCAGGCAAGCAGGCCTATTCAGCTAAGCAGGCCTATTAAGATAGTGCCGTGGGACTCTCTTCTTGCAGGTGGAGGTCTGGCTGAACAGGCTGCTGGACAGCATGAGAGCCACGGTGCGACTCGAGATGATGGAGGCAGTGGTGGCTTACGAGGAGAAACCACGAGAACAGTGGCTCTTCGACTATCCGGCCCAGGTGAGACGCAGTGACTTTCTTCTGATCCAGGTGAGAAACAGTGACTTTCTTCTGATCCAGGTGAGATGCAGTCACTTCATTCTGATCAGGGTGAGATGCAGTCACTTCATTCTGATCCAGGTGAGACGCAGTGACTTTCTTCTGATCCAGGTGAGACGTCGTGAATTCATTCTGATCCAGGTGAGACGCAGTGACTTTCTTCTGATCCAGGTGAGAAACAGTGACTTTCTTCTGATCCAGGTGAGATGCAGTCACTTCATTCTGATCAGGGTGAGATGCAGTCACTTCATTCTGATCCAGGTGAGACGCAGTGACTTTCTTCTGATCTAGGTGAGACGCAGTGACTTCTGATGCGGGTGAGACGCGTTGGTTCCGACGCGTTGGTTCTGCCCGCGCGTTTGTCTCCGCTGGGCAGGTGGCCCTCACGTGCACGCAGATCTGGTGGACGACGGAGGTGGGCATCTCGTTTGCCCGCCTGGAGGAGGGCTACGAGGGCGCGCTCAAGGAGTACTTCAAGAAGCAGGTGGCGCAGCTCAACACTCTCATCTCCATGCTCATCGGGCAGCTGACGCCCGGCGACCGCCAGAAGATCATGACCATCTGCACCATCGATGTGCACGCGCGTGACGTCGTCACCAAGATGATCGCGCAGAAGGTCGGGGATGCCTTCCTCCTCCTCCCTCCTCCTCCCTCCTCCTCCCTCCTCCTCCTCCCCCCTCCTCCTCCCTCCCTCCCTCCCTCCCTCCCTCCTCCTCCTCCCTCCTCCTCCTCCTCCCCCCTCCTCCTCCCTCCCTCCCTCCCTCCCTCCTCCTCCTCCCTCCTCCTCCTCCCCCCTCCTCCTCCTCCCTCCCTCCCTCCCTCCTCCTTCCTCCTCCCTCCTCCTCCCTCCTCCTCCTCCCCCCTCCTCCTCCCTCCCTCCCTCCTCCTCCTCCCTCCTCCTCCCTCCTCCCCCTCCCTCCCCCCCTTCCTCCTACTTCCCCTCCTCCCTCCTCCTTTCTCCCCCTTCCTCCCTCTCATCCCTCCTCCCCCTTCTCCCCCCCCCCTTCCTCTGCTTCCTCCTCTTTTTCCTTTATTTCTTCCTCCTCCTCCCCCTCCCCTTTCCTCCCCCTCCCCCTTCCTCCCCCTCACCCTTCCTCCTCCCCCTCCTCCCCCCTTCCTTTTCTTCCTCCTCTTCTTCTTTTTCTTCTTCCTTCTCTTCTTCTTCCTCTTCCTCCTCCTCTTCATCTTCTTCTGCCCCCCCCCTCCCTCCCTTGTTGCCCAAGCTCTGATGTTTTGCAGACCCCGTGAGTGTTTGTGTAAACCCACTTGCTGTTCTGCCATTGTACCCTGACCATAAGCCAGGGTATGGCCACTTTGATGCCCATGATCACAAGTTTGATCCTCTGCAGCCGCTATGTAAGGAGAGGAATACATTCTTGATTAATTAAAGCTGAACGTTTTAAGCGATTGCGTTTATAATTTTTTATGCTAATTCCATGTGTGTGTGTGTGTGTGGCGTGTGGAGCGGTGGTGCGGAGGTTAGCGCGCTGCGCTATGAACCCGGCGACCCGAGTTCGATTCCCGCTCACGGCCAACACCAGTGACATTTATCTTAATCGGTCTTGGGCCTCCTCTAGGTCGACTGAGCCTCAAATGAGTGTCTGGTGCAGTGTGTGTAAACATCACCACTGGGGAGACAAAGGCGGCCGGGCGTGGTGCTGGCAACCCAACCCCCCCTTCGTGTGCCGTGCCGGCCTTTCATAGGTGCTCGCTAACAGCAGTTGTTACAGGCTACGCCGTGGCGGTGGGGGGGGTGGTCTTTGTGCGGTGTACGCAGGTGGAGAACTCGCAGGCGTTCGTGTGGCTGTCCCAGCTGCGTCACCGCTGGGACGACGAGAGGAAGCACTGCTTCGCCAACATCTGCGACGCGCAGTTCCTCTACTCCTACGAGTACCTGGGCAACACGCCGCGCCTAGTCATCACACCGCTCACCGACCGGTACGACTCGCCAGCGTCTAGTCATCACACCACTCACCGACCGGTACGACTCACCAGCGTCTAGTCATCACACCACTCACCGACCGGTACGACTCACCAGTGTCTAGTCATCACACCGCTCACTATGCAGTATGACTCGCCAGCGTCTAGTCATCACACCGCTCACCGACCGGTACGACTCGCCAGCGTCTAGACATCACACCGCTCACCGACCGGTACGACTCGCCAGCGTCTAGTCATCACACCGCTCACCATGCAGTATGACTCGCCAGCGTCTAGACATCACACCGCTCACCATGCGGTATGACTCGCCAGCGTCTAGACATCACACCGCTCACCATGCGGTATGACTCGCCAGCGTCTAGACATCACACCGCTCACCATGCGGTATGACTCACCAGCGTCTAGCCATCACACCGCTCACCATGCGGTATGACTCACCACTGTCTAGACATCACACCGCTCACCATGCGGTATGACTCGCCAGCGTCTAGCCATTACACCGCTCACCATGCGGTATGACTCACCAGTGTCTAGTCATCACACCGCTCACCATGCGGTATGACTCACCAGTGTCTAGCCATCACACCACTCACCATGCAGTATGACTCACCACTGTCTAGACATCACACCGCTCACCATGCAGTATGACTCACCACTGTCTAGACATCACACCGCTCACCATGCGGTATGACTCACCAGTGTCTAGCTATCACACCGCTCACCATGCAGTATGACTCACCACTGTCTAGACATCACACCGCTCGCCGACCCGTACGACTCGCCAGCACAAAAAAAAATACATTCAATGTTACCGGCGTTTGAAATAATACCTGCAAATGACTTGAAAAATCTTGGCAGGACCCACCTGACAAACGAGTCTTGAGACTCGGTGAGGTTTTCACCCGAGTCAACAAGCGTCGCCCTTTTGCCTCTGCGTGTGACCTCCATCCCCTCCCCCACCTCGCTGCCAAAGGTGCTACATCACGCTGACCCAGTCGCTACACTTGACCATGAGCGGAGCGCCAGCGGGGCCGGCCGGCACCGGCAAGACCGAGACCACCAAGGACCTGGGCCGGGCCCTGGGAATCATGGTCTACGTGTTCAACTGCTCCGAGCAGATGGACTACAAGGCGAGTGCACGCCCTCCCCCACCCCGCTTAACTTCCCGTCCCACCGTGCGTCTGATTTTTCGTCATGCTAAAGTCGACGAAGGGGTCACGCTGCTCGAAGAAAGAAGCTGGGGGGGGGGGTGGGGGGGCGTGGGGCGCCCCTTTTTGGTGTCTGGGATGAGCTTGGGGCCAGTGACGCGGCCAAGCGATAGCGTCCTTGCCGCCCGTCGTAAGGGGTTCTCGATTCAATCTTGGCGGCCGCCCTGGTTGTTATTATTATTATTGCTACTGTGGGTATTAACAACAAGGGGGTTGCGCTGTCTGTCTTAAACTTTTTACGACGATTTTTATTTTTCCAGGTAAGGCCCCACTGGGCTATGTAGCTCTTTTTCAGAAGCGACCTGGCCATCACAGATGATTGCTCAACGAAGTGGCTTATCGTTGTGTGGGAAATTATGGCAGCCATATACTCCAAACGCGTGATGTTGATTCTGAATGTGGAGGGAAAAAACCGGAGGACCTGGAGAAAAATCCACGTGACCACAGGGAGAGAAAGACATGCAAACACCAAATATACAGGGGTCAGGGTCAGGATCGAACTCACGCCCTCCTGGATACCAGGCGAGGTAGTTAGCATATTTGAGACACCGTGGCGCCCAGGTGGATGTCAAAGATCTCGTGAGGTCCACGTGTGCCGGCATCGCGGCACAAATTGCTCAAACCTACTCGCAGGTTCACTATTTTTCAAAAGCAGCGTGGCAACATCGCACGCTCCACTACCGGCCGACTCATGCCCACGTGCAGCCAGCTGCTGCGTTCACCTTGCGCCGCGTAGGGACAGCTGCCACCGGGCGTTTCCCCCTTGGCTAGGCTGCAGCGGGGCGTTGGAACGGTTGAGACGCGGTGGCAAGATTCTAACTACCTCGCCCGCTGTACAGGAGGTCGTGGGTTCGATCCTGACCCTGACGCCTGCTGCTGTATATTTGGAGTTTGCGTCTCTCTCCGTGGTGAGATGTTAACTACCTCGCCTGGTGTACAGGAGGTCGTGGGTTCGATCCCCACCCCTGACGCCTGCTGCTGCTGTATATTTGGAGTTTGCGTGTTATCCCCGTGGTCGCGTGGATTTTCCTCCGGCTCCTCTGGTTTTTCCCTCCACATTTAGAAACAACGTCACGCGTTCGGAATATTTCGCTGTTGCTGTAAATTTCTACGCGGTGATCGTGATGATGAGCCACTTTGTTGAGCGATCCTTTGCGATCGCCAGGTCACTTCTGCAAAAGAACTGTACAGCTCAGTGGGGCCTTACCTGGTTAAATAAAAAAATAGTTTAAAATAGTTTCATAGATGAGACGAGGAATCAAATGCAAATCCATTTTGATTCCTCGAATGTGTGTTTGTTGTCGTTGTCGTCGTTATTGTTGTTGTCGTCGTCATTGCCGGCATCGTTGTTTTCACTGACGTCGTTGTTGTTGTCGTTCGCGACAATTCCTTGCCCCGCGTGTTCCGCGTGCAGTCGTGTGGGAGCATTTACAAGGGGCTGGCTCAGACGGGAGCGTGGGGGTGCTTTGACGAGTTCAACCGCATCTCGGTGGAGGTGCTCTCTGTGGTGGCCGTGCAGGTGAGTGCTCCGGGTTCACGAACTCACTCTCTAACTAACTCACTAACTAACCATCATGCAAACTGCGGTCATCCTCGTAGCAGCGGCGGCGGCTTTCAGTCACCGCATCGCGCGCGCTTTGAGATGCGCTTCTGCGGCCGTCTGGAACGCTCTTCTTCCTTCTGATATCAGCAAGTCAAATGGGAGATACGCAACTTTTAAATCGTCATCTGGAGTGACAAACTCGTTTGTTTAGAACTGCTTTTTGTGTTTAGTTTGTTGTCCTTTCCCCAAACCTCTGATTAGCACGGTTGGCTACGTACAGTACGAAAGAAGTTCAACATGGGCTATTTCCTGTTTGTCCACAAATGGCAGCTCAACAAAGTGGCTTATCGCTTGGAAATGTATCGTAGCAAAATACTCTCAACGCACGTTTCTAAATGTGGAGGGACAAACCGGAGGTCCCGGGGGAAAAATCCACGCGACCACGGGGAGAGAGAGAGAACATTCAAACTCCAAATACAGTATTCCCTCATCATTCACAAACTTGCTATCCGTGATTTTGGCTATCCACGAATAGCATCTGGAACTCTATATGACTGTAATTAAAGATAGGGAGAAATAAAGTGATGGGATAAAGTGATGAGAGAGAATGTGATGAGATGAAGTGATGAGAGGAAGCTTATATATTTCTTTGTTTAAGGTGATTAATTTTGTTAATAGGATTTCCCCTTTTTTCTGGCAACAAAACAGGTGTTAAGATGTTGAAACACAAAACTGAAACCTTTTACGAGGAATCATGTCTGCGTTAACCACAATGCTTGTGGTCAGAATGCAAGTAAAAAACATACTCTGATAATAATACCTATTCTTATATTTTGGTACTGGCAAAGAAGGTCCCATGATGTAATTCATTTTGTTAGGTCAGTTTTGTTATCCGCGAAATTTGTGATTCCCGAGGGAGGGAATGTATCCCTCGCAAATAACGAGGGAATACTGTACCCAGCAGGCGTCAGGGTCGGGATCGAACGCACGACCTCCTGTACACCAGGCGAGGTGGTTAACATCTCATAGCCACCGTGGTTTCACAGCAAGAGACTCAACCCCCCCCGCCCACCGCCTGCCATGCTCACGGTCGATACGCTCACGCCGCTCTCGCTGCGGTCCATTCGCGTCTGCTGACACTGCGGGGAAGTGGCCTTGAGCACAGCCAAGTGGGGCTGGAGCACGACACGTTGATAGAACGGTCGAGGGCTGATGGTCAATATTTATAATAATAATAAAGTATTTTGATTTAAAGCTTTCGTGACTGCAGGGATTCATATTCTTGGTTCTTTCGGTAAAGTCACGTAGAAGGGAAACAATAAAATAATAAAAATATAAAACAATAAAATTCTCACGACGTTTCGACTGCAACCCAAGCAATCATCATCAGGTGTGAAAACCACAGCAAGACAATTTTTGCTGTGGTTTTCACACCTGATGATGCTTGCTTGTGTTGCAGTCGAAGAAAATTTTTGCTGTGGTTTTCACACCTGATGATGATTGCTTGTGCTGCAGTCGAAACGTCGTGAGAATTGTATTGTTTTATATTTTTATTATTGTATTGTTTCCCTTCTATGTGACTTTACCGAAAGAACCAAGAATAATAAAGTATTTTTTTAAACAATTTTTAATTTAATTTTTTACCAGGTAAAGCACACTGAGCTGGGCAGCTCTCTTTCAGAAGCGACCTGGCCATCACAAATTATAGCCCAACGAAGCGGCTTATCGCGTGGAAATTTATAGTGGCCCAATACTCCAAACGCATGACGTCGATTCTAAATGTGGGAGGAAACACCCGGAGGACCCGGAGAAAAATCCACATGACCACGGGGGGAGAGACATGCAAACTCCCAATATACAGCAGCAGGCGTCAAGGTAGGGATCGAACCCACAACCTTCTAGTATTAGAGAATGCCTCGCAGAAGTAGATATCACAGAGCTACCCTCAAGTGACACGAAGGTGCAGCCCTGCCATTGCTTGCTCACGCCAATGTTGACGGAAGGGCCCCCGTGTGAGCGAACTTCAGAGGGGGCATTGGGTCTATCCTTTCACGTTTGACGAGGCTTGTTAGAGATCGAATGCAGGGACCCACAGTTTACCCCACCACACGCAGCCCTGCCGATCGACTTAACTGTTGCCGTTATTTCGACTACTGCCAGGAGATGGTGTCCTCTGGATTGCGAGTCTAGTGCCCTGCTGAGCCGCTACACCACTGTGGCAGCTACTCGAGAATAACAGCAACAGAGTTATTGAACAAAAAAAAGATAGTTATCACAGAGTTTTCAATCTAGATTATTTAAAATTCGCAACGGCAGAGTTCAGCATAACAAAACAAAAAAATATAAATTACATTCCCTGCACAAATGTTTGTAACGAAATTGTTGGTTTTCCAATTTTCCAGATGCCTAATTTACAAGCATAGAATTGGCTAAATTTGTACCGAAGTTCAGCTCTCTAGCCCGTCTACAACATCGTTACGTTTTACAAGTCACTCTACATATGCCAGACAATCCATCACCAGTGTGGAGCCAAAGCAAAAGGGAAGAAAGACCGTCCGTCCGTTCGTTCGTTCGTTCGTTCGTTCATTTCGTGTCCATCAAAGCAACCGAGTGGGATCAGCGACGACCGTTCGTGCGCGTGCGGGGGCTCAGGTTCGCCCGCACGAGCACGACGGTCGGAGAGAAAGTAAAGTGAACTCAACAAGTGCACCCTGTCCCTTTGAGACCAGCACGAGCGGGTGCCAACTCAAGTGGCTTGCCAAGCGGGGCCTCTCCGTGCCTCCTTTGTTCGCTGTGGGGGAGCTTGGAGGAGGGCGGTTGTTGCTGCTGCTGCTGCGTAGGCAGGGCAAGTGCGAGGCAGGCTGTGGGGGGGGGGGTGGTGGGTGATGTTTGGAGAAGTGACGGAGAGCGGCAGGTCCGGGCAAGTCGAACGGCCCGGCAGCTGCCTGGTAACGGCGCTGAGGACATAGAATACATTCAGGTCTCTCGCCGAGCCGCACGGCCCTCGGGGGTGCCTGAGAAGGGCCCGCGGAAGTGGATGTAACCGAGCTACCTCTGAAAATCACGTCAAGTTGACCTCTGCAGAGGGCACAGGGACTGGTGTTTAAACACCGCTCCGGCTCCGCATATGAGAGGAATATTCTTCGCGTGACGGTCAAACTGATGTATTAATTCTCAGAGCTGGAATATAGCCAAATTAGCCAAACCAAGGTTAATGTTGTTTCGATACTGTTACTAGTGACCTGAGAGAGCCCATCACCTCGTATGTTGAACTTCTTTCGCACCGTACGTAGTCAACTGTGCTAATCGGGGATGCGGGGGAAGGACAACAACCTAAACACAGAAAGCAGTTCTGAAGGAATGAGTTTTCGATATAGATGATTTAAAAGTGCATAGCTCCAGTGGCTTCCTAATATTGGAAGGAAGAGCGTTCCAGACGGCTGCAGAAGCGCGTCTGAATGCGTGCGATGCAGTGACCTCACTACACTTGGGGGACCCACTTTAAGCAATGTTGGTTGAAACCCAGACTCGAACCCAGGTTTTTGGTGGTGCTGGTTCATTGCTCCGAGCCATGAGCCGCCCTGCCACCTCTCTCTTGAAGGCTGATGATGCCCTGTGCCCAAAACGTTCACTTGGACCTGGCTGGCAGCGACGGTGACAAGAATGACGCGATGGAAAATTACTTTCGTTGTCCCCCCCCCCCGTCCTTTTTAAGAGCAGCAATTTTTACGTCTCAGTAAGCATTCAAATAACTTTGATTGTCGTGAAAGATGATAATGCTTCTCCATTAAGCCGGGGTTTCTCAAGCGTAGCGAGCGAGCGAGTGGATGGTCTGAGGCAGGTGGCCAATGACTACATGAAAGAAAGTTCACGTTTCAGTGTTTAGTTTTCTTTAGCAGGCAGGACCGTATTAGTCAAGAGGCACAGTAGGCATTGTTTTGTAGGTCCTAGGCCCTTTACTTCGGCCCAAGGCCCTTTAGTTTTCATAGTTTTTGTAAACTAAAGGGCCAACGAAAAAAAGTGTTGACCATGTTCTTTTGTTTGTAGGAAAAAAAATGCAACCAAGATATCTTCTCGAATAAATACATTTATATAGCAAGGATAGGCACAGCGTTTTCAATGAAATCTGCTTATCCGCGGCACACGGCACGCTCCCATCGAATGAGGGCACAGACTAAACAATGGAGCGTATCAGCAGTAACGAAGTCTGTCTAGCGGCTGGACGAACTACCGTGGTGAAACAAGCGGAGTGACAGTGGCGGTAGTCTTGACATGGGGCAGCAGTACCAACTGTAGGAAGTTATTGCTAGAGGCCCACGGAACAGAAGTGCCTAGGGGCCTACAAGAACCTTAATCAGGCCCTGTTAGAGAACTTAAGCGACCAGGAGAGTATAATTTGGAGTAGCTACCTGGTGCATTAGTCTGCCATTCGAGGGCGGTGATTGAAGTGGGGCTTTACCTGGTCGGATGGGGATGGTTTCGATTTATTTGTGTGTTTAGGTGATTTGTTTACATCTCTTGTACTTTGCACTCCTATTGTGTTTGTGTATTGTTTGTTGTTGTAACGTTCTGACCCCGTGCCCCTACTGAACATCTGTGAAAAAAAGCTTTATTGCTCATCAGATTCCTCCAGTCTAAAGAAACATTCTTATTCTGTATAATCCCGATTAAATAATTTGCAGGTAATTTTTCAGAATTCGGATGTTTGGCTAATGCCAGTTACATTGTAGGTTTGTTTTATCTATGGGATGAATCCAGGGAAACCAGAGAAAACCCATGCAGAACAGGGGGAGAGAGAGAGAACGTACAAACTCCATACGGGAATGCGCCCGAGACAGGAATTGAACCCAGGACCTTCTTGCTACGAGGCGCGAGCCTTACTACTGCGCCACCGCCCTGGTGCCAGGGCCGGGTGCGTGACACATGCAGGGCACGGTGATGCCACGTTACGAGAGTATCCGTGCTTGTACGTACGCACGTACGTTGAACTTATTTTCGCGCCGTACGCAAGCCAGCCGCGCTAACCGGAGGTGCGGCTCGCAGGTGAAATGCATTCAAGACGCCATTCGGGACAAGAAGAAGAGGTTCAACTTCCAAGGCGAGGAGATCAACCTGGTGCCATCGGTCGGCATCTTCATCACCATGAACCCGGGCTACGCGGGTCGCACCGAGCTACCCGAGAACCTCAAGGCCCTCTTCAGGTGACCGTGGGAATGGCTGTTGCCCCCCCCCCCCCCCCACCTCGTGTGACCAGGAGAGTCCGCCGGTGTCTCAGTGGGCGAGGGCCAGGCCCCCCGGACTAGGCCATAGGACAAACAGACCGTAGGGCAAATGGCCGGCGGGGCCTGTCCATTCCGAGGGCCGGTAGGGGGGCCGGACTGTGTGGGGAAATTACTTTCCCAATATTTTGTCACCTTTAACGTGTGCGCTTCATTGCTTTTTGACGCTCTCAGCTGGCGTTAAGTCCCATCCACATATTCGTCAGCCCCCTTAAGAAGATTCCTCCTAACCGGCGACCCCATTTGTTTTTTCAAGTTTCAAGTTTTAAGTTTCATTTATTAGTATTAGCCCTGTGAGCCATGTGGCTCTTAAGTCGGGTGCAACCGCAACAAACAAAATTTGAACACAGAACATCCCAAAGCGACGATGCGCAAACAGAAACATCCTGGAATAAACCAGCAAATATTCCACACAGAAAAAAAAGTATTAAAACGCTGTGTGCAAAAAATCACAATGTGGTGCAAGCCAACAACAACAACCATAAGACAATTTAGATAAACCATGATTTCGAATCACCAAAATAAAGCTATAAAACAATGTAACAACAGTAACCATAGGAACTGTGATTTTAAATTTAACAATAAACGATATACATAACACGTACGACAAAACCTGCAGCCATAGCTGGCAGCACAACACTCCCAGTGTATGATGTGTGAGTGAGTCAGCAGCAGCGTGAGAGTGTATGATGTGCGAGTCAGCGTATGATGTGCGAGTCAGCGTATTATGAGTGAGTCAGTAGTAGCTTGAGTGAGTGTATGATGTGTGAGTCAGCGCACGATGTGTTAGTCAGCGCATGATGAGTGAGTCAGTGTATGTTGTGTGAGTGAGTCAGCAGCAGCGTGAGTGTATGATGTGCGAGTGAGCCAGCACACGATGAGTGAACCTGTGTATGATGAGTGAATGGGTCAGTGGCTGTGCGAGTGTATGATTTGTGAGTGAGTAAGCGCATGATGAGCGAGTCAGTGCATCATGTGTGAGTGAGTCAGTGCATGGTGTGAGTGAGTCAGTGTATGATGTATGAGAAAGTCAGTGTCGGCTCCCTCTGCTCGCGCCGTCGGCCCCCCCCCCCCCGGCTCCGTCGCCCCCCCCCTGGCTCCGTCGGCCCCCCCCCCGGCTCTGTCGGCCCGGCTCCGTCAGGCCCCCCGGCTCCGTCGCCCCCCCCCCAGCTCCGTCGGCCCCCCTCCTGGCTCCGTCGCCCCCCCCCCCAGCTCCGTCGGCCCGGCTCCGTTGCCCCCCCCGGCCCCGTCGCCCCCCCCGGCTCCGTCAGTCCCCTCGGCTCCATCGGCTCCCTCCGTCGGCTCCCTCGGCCCCCGCACAAACGGCCTCGCCAGCCGCTGCTGGGAGCGCGGCCCGGGAGCACGTGCCTCAGGCGGCCATCTTGGGCCCAATGAGGATCGCGTGGCAAAATCACGCTAACACGTCGGTCACATCGCAACATCTAGCTCGTTTCCAGTTTGTCATCGCACAACCTATAAAATAAAATAAACAAAATCAGTCGTGGACAAAGAGACGGTGAAAAAACGAAAAGGGGAGGCCGAAAAATTAAAGAGAGACAAGGCACAAATATTTAGAGAATGATAATGTTGCAGAATTTGTGCCGGTGCGTTTACAAATGCCTCGGCCGATTTTGTTGTCCCAGCCCGTCACTGGTGGCGGCCTCATCGGCAGAGTGCGTCTGCTTCAGCGAACGCCGATGGATAATCTCGATCTCGGATGCGTAATCGGCGGACGGACTGAAGCACATCTCTGATATGTGCTTATATCTGGATCTTGAGTCTAGTGCTAACGAGTATGATGTTTTCCAGGTTATAAGATGCTCCGGAAATTAAAATTCACACCCATACCTGTAAACCCCTTGTCAGTGCCCCTACCTTATTAGAGACCAGTTCAGACCTTATTGGTCACCTCTACAAGGGAGAAACACAAACAAATGTATTGAAACGACCTGAAAACTCAATTTCCCTGTACAAGAATACAGGGTAAACCGTATGGGTTGACAGCTTTGCACACCACCCTTTGTGCCCCGTGTCAATAAAGTGATAGAAAATCATATCGCACACACATTACACGCATAACCGAATCATAAGACGCACACCCCTAACGTTTTCCCCAACGCAGAGGAACAAAGTGCGTTTTATAACTGCGGAGAATACGGCAGCATCCCCGGTTAAGCTGAGATGGCGGTGGGAATGGCTACATCAACGCCGGGCTCTGGTGGCGGTGGTGGCGCTGTGTGTGGGGAGCGGTAGTGCAGCGGTTAGCGCTACGATCCCAGCCACCCGAGTTCGATTCCCGCTCACGGCCAACACCGGTGACGGCTATTTGAACCGGTCCTGGGTCCCCCTAAGGTCGGCTCAGCCTCAAATGAGGCTGAGCCACGCGTCCGCCCTGTGTGCCATGCCGGCCTTCATAGGTGGCTACTCGCTAACAGCCCCGACAGTCCGTTAAAGGCTACACGGCGGGGGGGGGGATTTTTGTTCTTTGGGTGGTTGTGTGCAGGCCGTGCGCGATGGTGGTGCCGGACTTCGAGCTCATCTGTGAGATCATGCTGGTGGCCGAGGGCTTCATCGAGGCGCGACTGCTGGCTCGCAAGTTCATCACGCTCTACCAGCTGTGCAAGGAGCTGCTTTCCAAACAGGTGGGCTTCTCAGGCCACGGAACGCCATTCATGCTATGAAAACTATTGTTTATCCGCGCTAATGACGGAGCAAGTGCTCTGAGCGAAAGAAGTTTAACATACATTTTGATTTAAAGCTTTCGTGACTGCAGGGATTCATATTCTTGGTACTTTCGGTAAAGTCACGTAGAAGGGAAACAATAAAATAATAATGTTTTCTATTTTTATTATTTTATTGTTTCCCTTCTACGTGACTTTACCGAAAGAACCAAGAATAAGTTTAACATACATACACAACTGCAGCACAACCGCTCCCCACAAAAAAAGACAAAGATCCCAACGTATAGCCGTTACAGACTGTTGGGGCAAGTTTTGTTAGCGAGCAAAAAGACAAAGATCCCAACGTATAGTCGTCACATATTGTTGGGGCAAGTGGTGTTAGCGAGCACCCACACAAAACGCACGCACCTATTTCTCCATCTCCCGCTCGCCCTGTGCGCGTCTCTCAGGACCACTACGACTGGGGCCTGCGCGCGATCAAGTCCGTGCTGGTGGTGGCCGGCTCGCTCAAGCGCAGCGACCCGGACCGCCCCGAGGACCAGGTGCTCATGAGGGCCCTGCGCGACTTCAACGTCCCCAAGATCGTGACGGACGACCTGCCCGTCTTCATGGGCCTCATCGGCGACCTCTTCCCCGCGCTGGACGTCCCTCGCAAGCGCGACCCCGAGTTCGAGCGAGCCGTCAAGGAGTCTGTGCTCGACCTCAAACTTCAGGCGGAGGACAACTTTGTTCTCAAGGTAGCGTGCGGAGTTTATTGATTGGTGTTGTTGTTGTTGTTGTTCTTACTCTGCTTGTTTACCCAGTAAGGCCTCGCTGAATCTCAGTAGGGAGCTATATTAAGCGATTTTTATTTTACCAGGTAAGGCCCCACTGAGCTATGTAGCTCTCTTTTAGAAACCACCTGGCTATCACAAATGAAAGCCTAACGAAGTGGTTTATCATCACGTGGAAATTTATAGCAGCCAAATACTCTACAGAGTCTACACGCATGTCGATTCTAAATGTGGGGGGAAAAACTGGAGGACCTGGAGAAAAATATACCTGACCACAGGGAGAGAGAGAGAGACACACAATCTCCAAATATACAGCAGCAGGCATCATGGTCGGGATCGAACTGACGATCTTCTGCATACCAGGCGAGGTAGTTAACATCTCGCCACCGTGGCGAAAAGTTAACTCCAAATATTCAGGTGTCAAGGTCGGGATCGAACCCACGACCTCCTGTATACCAGGCGAGGTAGCTAATGATAATAATTATAATTGACAATGCGCATTCCATCCTAGGATCCCAATGTGCAAAGCACGAAAAGCAGGGAACAAAAATCAGAACCAGGGGGAACAACCGACCAAACTAGAGAGAGGGAAGGCCACTTTAAAGAGATGGGTTTTCAAAGCAGACTTGAATATCATCGGCTTCCTTCTCGCCACCGCGGCACCCCCCGGATTAAACCGCGACCGCCTCCCTGCGTGCGCGCGCCCGTAGGTGGTGCAGCTGGAGGAGCTGCTGGCAGTGCGGCATTCCGTGTTCGTGGTGGGCGGCGCCGGCACGGGCAAGTCGCAGGTGCTGCGCTCGCTGTACCGCACCTACCAGTTGGCGCGGCGCCGTCCCGTCTGGGCCGACCTCAACCCCAAGGCGGTCACCAACGACGAGCTGTTTGGCATCATCAACCCCGCGACGCGCGAGTGGAAAGACGGTACGGTGGGCGAGCCGGATTGTTTACGTGCTGATGTCGAAGGTCAAAAAATGATCTCGTCGCTTCTGAGTAACCTCTTTGTAACATCAGCGGTCGAACACGCAATCTTACCTGGCACCTCCGATGAGCACGTTTGGTTACGTGCGGTGCGAAAGGAGCTCAACATACGTCCGCCTTTGCTCGTGAGCTGAACCAATGTTTTGACAATGTGTCGAGGGTCTTAGGCTGTGACTTTATTCACTTGTCGCTTGCGCGCCAAAAATAACGTGGCACGCGATTCTAGGCGTGCGTCGCGTACATGAGAACCGATTTGCACGCCGGGGCCCTGACGTGAAACCCCCCTGTCTTTTGTCGCGCGTAGCCAAACAGGCTCAGTGGCCGTGATGCCGCGGGGTTCCGGGAGACGGAGGCACGGCAATGGGCGGTGCGGTCCACAGATAGATTCGATCCACTCACCGGACTGAGCCTTTGGATGACATCTATCTGTGTGGAGCTTTTCGGCGTTGTCCCCTCGCCTACGTGGAGTTTTCTTTGGGTGCTCCTGGTGTTTCTCGCACGTGGAGCCAAACGCTCAAGGAATCGAATTGGTCAAACACGGGAAGGCAGCAGGACTCTCCTGAATAAGGATGGCACGGTGGCGAGATGTTAACTTCCTCGCCGGGTATACAGGAGGTCGTGGGTTCGATCCCGACCCTGACACCTGTATATTTGGAGTTTGCATGTTCTCTCTCTTCGTGGTCGTCTGGGTTTTTTCTCTGGGTCCTTCGGTTTTTCCCACCACATTTAGAATCATGTTTTTAAGAGTGTTTGGCTGATGATAAGCCACTTAGTTGAGCTATCATTTGTGGCCAGGTCGCTTCTGAAAAAGAGCTATTACGGCTCAGTGGGCCTTACCTGATAAAATATACAGCAGACGTCAGGGTCGGGATCGAACTCACGACCTCCTGTATACTAGGTGAGGTAGTTAACATCTCCTAGCCACCGTGGTGCATTCTTGGCTGCCACCCCCGCCTCCCTCCCCCAGGTCTCTTCTCAACGATCATGCGCGACCTGGCCAACATCTCGCACGACGGGCCCAAGTGGATCGTCCTGGATGGAGACATCGACCCCATGTGGATCGAGTCCCTCAACACGGTGATGGATGACAACAAGGTGAGGCGAGGCCGGACGTGGCTCCGATCGGCTCGGTTTATTTGCACGTATGTACGAATGCACGTCGAACCTTTTTTTGCACGGTACATAGGAATAAGTTTTCAATCTAGATGATTTAAAAGTGTATCGGAAGGAAGAGCATTCCAGACGGCCGCAGAAGTGCGTTGCGGTGACCGTCTTTGTTGAATGGCTAGCCAACAGCCGCTGTGAAGATGACCGGAGTTTGCGTGATGGTTTATGCTCCTTGATGAGAGATCAGCAAGGTATTGTGGTTCATTTGCGGGAAGCACTTTGTGTTTAATGAGTGCGAGCTTGTAATTTATTCGTTCGGCAACCTGAAGTCAATGCAGTTCGGCGAGCATCGGACGGACACGGTCGGATCTTGCTGTCTCCGTCACGACACGTGCCAAATAATCTTGTGCACGCTGCAGCTTGCTAATGTTTATTGCCAGACGTCCCGTAGAGCAGTGAGTTGCAATAATCAACCATTGAGACTCGGTGAGCCTTTTACTGGGTAAACAACTGCAGTAGTAATACTAATAAAAATAATAAAAACACGGTGTGGACTAGTGGGACGCTTGCATCATCGGGATTGCTCCCTCCAGAGTGGCACTTCTCTTGCGGGCTCGATCATTGTAGACTCGTATACGGTCGGGTGAGAGTCTATTAGGAATGACCGTAGTGTTTGCCGAATGCCTGGGTGTCACCCTGGATGTTCCTGCTATATCCGCATTTAATTGTGAAGAATAGGAGGAATCGATGCGCATGCATTGGGATTGTCTACAAATCGATTTATATTCTTTGGGTCTTTCGGTAAAGTCACGTAGATAGGTTCAAAGAAAATAACAAAAAAAATAACAACAAAAAACTACGACGTTTCGATCGCAACTCAAGCGTTCGTCACGAAAGCTTTAAGTCAAGATTTAAATCGATTTATGTAACAGGAACAGCAGGTTGAGGGTAGTTAACCCTTTCCCGTTCGGAGATGCCTGCAGGTTGCAGGGTGTGGGTGTCCCGTTCACCGCTGAATCTCGGAACGAGCGAGTGGTTCGCGTTGATATTATTTAGAGAGGCGTAGTTTGCGCCATTGTTTTTAAAGACAATAGTCACCGCAGAGAACTGTAGCGACACGACCGCACGCTACGATAGCTGGCCACAAACTGTGCCTACACACCCTCCCGCATGGCCTTGTCAGAGCCTCGGTACGCCTGAAGGCGTACCGATGATGTAATTTTATTTTAGTTATCGGCCGATGAATGAGTGTGACGGCCACGTGTCCTCGCTTGACCGCCAGGTGCTGACGCTGGCCAGCAACGAGCGGATCCCTCTCAACCCCACGATGCGACTCCTGTTTGAGATCAGCCACCTCCGCACGGCGACGCCAGCCACCGTCTCCAGAGCCGGTGTGTGTGTGTGTGCGTGTGTATGTACGTGGGAGTGGTGGTGTAGCGGTAGCGTTACGTTGCGCTACGAACCTGGCGAGCTGAGTTCGGTTCCGGCTCACGGCCAACACCAGTGACGATTATCTGAATTGGTCCTGGGCCTCCCCTAGGTCGACTCAGCCTCAAATGAGTACCTGGTGCGGTGCGTAAAAACATTGCCACCGGGGAGACAAGGCGGCTGGGTGTGGTGCTAGCCACCCACCCCCTCGTGTACCGTTCTGGCCTTCATAGGTGCTCGCTAACAGCACTTGCCCCGACAGTCTGTCAGGGGTATACGGGGGATCTTTGTCTTGTATTTACGTGTGTATGTTGAACTTCTTTCGCACCATACGTAGCCAACCGTGCTGAACGGAGGTGCCACATGGGCTCTCACGCGGTCGTAACATCCAACCGCCCCTCCCCGTCCAGCGACTCTTTGTGGCCTAACCTCGCCTTGTGACCCTTGCAGGAATCCTCTACATTAACCAGGCGGACCTTGGATGGAACCCCCCGGTGAGCAGCTGGGTGGACGGGCGAGAGGTGCAATCTGAGCGGGCCAACCTAAGCATCCTCTTCGACAAATACCTGCCCATGTGCCTGGACACACTACGCACGCGGTAGGTAACAAACTAAACGAAGACTGAGATTCCCCACCCCCCCCCCCCCCCGTTTTGCCTCAGTAGAATTTTGGGGAGAGCGCTGTTAGCGAGTAGCACGTATGATGACGACGACGACGACGGGGATGAGGGCTGCGGTGGTGGATTTGTGCCCCGCGTGAGTTAGTGAGTGAGCGTCAGTCAACATGGGTTCCCGCAGGGTGAACAGGTCTCCTATCGGCACCTCTGGCTCCTCCGCGTCGACCGCTGGCTTGCGTGCGTGCGTGCGCGACCCCACCTATTTGCAGGTTCAAGAAGATTATTCCCATTCCGGAGCAAAGCATGGTGCAGATGCTCTGCCACCTGCTGGAGTGCCTGCTCACGCCCACCAACGCGCCGCCCGACAGCCCCAAGGAGCTCTACGAGCTCTACTTCGTCTTTGCCGCCGTGTGGGCCTTTGGCGGGGCAATGTTTCAGGACCAGGTGAGTTGGGCGTGCCGGGGGTGCGGGGGGGGGGGTGGTGGTGGGGGGGGGGGGGCAAGTGAAACGATTGCGCTAGCGTAGGCTGCTGGGGCAACGATCCGCGCCTCCGACTAGCGCGCTCGGCCACGTGCGGCGCGAAAGAACGTCGGCGTGCAGTTCACGACACGCGCCGCGGCGTCCCGGTACCTGCCGTGTCGCGGTAACCCGAGCTGGCGAACGATTCACGCGCGTAGCCGGGAAGAAGGGGTTAATCCGGAGGGCGTTGCGAGCTTACGGAGGGGGTTCACCCTGGGTCACAATGACGACAGCTGCCTACCCACCCACCCCCCCCACTCTGCGCCTCGCCGCCGATCAAAGGGACCTCGTGCTTGGCGCCGCTTGGCCGTCACCTTGACGGGCGCCGGCTCGCGTTTCACGTCGGACAAAAGCGACGGCGCCCGGGCGTGGACGGCCGTCCGCGCTCGGCGAAAGTGGGTCGAGAGCGGTGCTCGCTCCCCGGCACGGGAACGTTTCTTCCGGGTAACCGCCCGTCGGCGCGACGCTCGAAGGCGATTTCGGGGGCGACGCTCACTCACCCGTTGTGTCGCGACGAAACGGGGAGGGAGGGAGGTGTCGGGGCGCGGCGCCGAGGCTAGTGCCTCACAGCAGGAAGGTGGCCCCCCGGGTTCGGTTCCCGGCGCAGGCGCCGCCTTTGCGTTCGGAGTTTGTGCAGGGTTCAACGCGAAGGCTTTCGCGCTCGATATCGCGGACCGCAATAGATTTTTTTTTGGGTCAGATCGCCGTGTCAGAGGAGCGTGTGTCGTACACCCTGCACCAGCCGACGCAGCCACTTCCGCGCCGAACGCCGCCCGAAAGCATTCGTGATCCGCGATGGAGCAGAAACGCATGTCTTCGATTGCAGATGCTTCTTCCCTAGGCAGGGAGAATTAGCGATTTATCGATGCAACGGATGAAGTAGATTATTTAAAGGAGAATTTTTTTTTGGTCTTTTCCCCCCAATGTTATTTATTTTTCGTGACGTTGAACTTCTTTCGCACCGTATGCAGCCACCCACGCTAATCGGAGGTGCGGGGGAAGGACAGCGCAGTGGTAGTTAAAGATCCCAAGATGTTGTTCACGAAAGAGCGGCCCGTTGTGTGCCGGCGCCACGGTCCAAAATTTACCAATTAATAGAATGTCCTCGCAAATTATTCAATTGGGATCAGACAGAGACAAGGATCCCCACGTACAGCACCTATGTAGCACTTATATGAATGCTGGCACAGCACACAAGGGGGCGGGTGGCCAACACCACGCTCGGCCTCCTTTGTCTCCCCAGTGGTGATGTTTACTACACACCACACCAGGTACTCATTTAAGGCTGAGTCGACCTAGGGAAGGCCCGTGACCGGTTCAGACAATCGTCACCGGTGTTGGTGGCCATGAGCGGGAATCGAACTCGGGGCGCCGGGGTTCGTCGCGCAAGCGCGCCATTCGCCGCGCCACCTGCCCCTCTCCCACGCAGCAGCAGCAGCAGCAGCGGCAGCAACAACATTGCTCTCCCTCTCGTGTCGAACCGCGGTGTCCGTGAAACGTCGGCACCTCCCTCCGCGACGATCGCCCCTGGGCTGCGAGGAGTGACAGCGCCCAGTTCCCGCGCGTTGCCAAGCTGACCTCCCCGAACCCTGCCCCGCAGCTCGTTGACTACCGCACGGAGTTCAGCAAGTGGTGGGTGACCGAGTTCAAGACCATCAAGTTCCCGTCGCAGGGCACCGTCTTCGACTACTACATTGACCCCGAGAGCAAAAAGTTCGAGCAGTGGACAAAACTCATCCCCAAGTTCGAGCTGGATCCAGAGATTCCCCTTCAGGTGAGACACAACGGTTGGCCGGTCGGAAGGTCGTGTGTGGGTACTCCCGCTGCTTGCAAAATGTCTGGCCGCCGTGGGGAGTAGGACAAAGTTCCATATTTAGGGGGGGGGCCCTCGAGAGACCTCACATTCAATTATTTCAACTACCAACTACCTCGCCTGGTATGCAGGGGGTCGTGGGTTCAATCCCGACCCTAATGCCTGCTGCTGTATATTTGGAGTTTGCGTCTCTCTCCGTGGTGAGATGTTAACTACCTCGCCTGGTATGCAGGAGGTCGCGGGTTCGATCCCGACCCTGATGCCTGCTGCTGTATATTTGGAGTTTGCGTCTCTCTCCGTAGTGAGATGTTAACTACCTTGCCTGGTATGCAGGAGATCGTGGGTTCGATCCCGACCCTGACGCCTGTTGTATAGGTGGCGTTTATATGTTCTCACCGTCGTCGCGTGAATTTTTCCCCGGGTCCTCCGGTTTTTCCCCTCCACATTTGGAATCAACGTCAGGCGTTTCAAGTATTGGGCTGCCGCACATTTCCGCACGACGATAAGCCACTTCGTTGGGCTATCATTTGTGGTGGCCATGTGCGCTTCTACACAGCTCAGCGGGGCCTTACCTGTTAAAGTGACAAAAACGGTTGAGTGTGCTCGGCGGATAGCGAGAAATGGGTCGTTGTTGGTCGTCTCCAACGCGGCTCGCAGGCGTGCATGGTGCACACAATGGAGACGATGCGCGTGCGCTTCCTCATGGACCTGCTGATGGAGCGCCGGCGGCCCGTCATGCTGGTGGGCGGCGCCGGCACGGGCAAGTCGGTGCTGGTGGGCGACAAGCTGTCGGCGCTGGACGGAGACGCCTACGCGGTGAAGAACGTGCCCTTCAACTACTACACCACCTCCGCCATGCTGCAGGGTAAGGAGCCCGGGGCTGCTGCTCCTTTGTCCACCGGCACATCCGAGCCAAGCCAGCCCGGGGCCGGCGTGGCACGGGGGCGGGGGGTTTCCGCTGACCGGTTGCCGTGCCGAGCCGGAGCCAAACCACGAAACGCCGGCCGAATCTGGCTCGAGGCCAAGCAGGGCCAGGGGACGTGGCTAATGGATTGGCAGAAGGCTCTTACGTGCACATTTTTTGTCACCCTGAGATGTTGATGTGCGATGTCGTTCACCCACACTGTAAAATTGTAGTTGTTGCTCTGCATGTAAATCAGCCATAGGGAGGAAGGTTGAACTTCTTCTAATCGGAGGTACGAGGGAAGGACAACAAACTAAACACAAAAATCAGTTCTGAAGAAATGAGTTTTCAAAATAGATTATTTAAAAGTAAATAGCTCCAGTGGCTTCCTAATATCGGAAGGAAGAGCGTTCCAGATGGCCGGAGAAGCGCATCTGAAAACGCGCGGTGCGGTGACCACCATTTTTGTTCGAGGGGTAACCAAAAGCTGCTGCTGCCGCGAGGATGACCGGTGGCCGTAGGATGAATTATGCTTCTTGACCAGATCAGCGAGGTATTGCGGTTCGTTTGTGGCAAGCGCTTTGTGTGTAATGATCATATTTGTGTTTGGGCTGGGCTGCATGATAGCTTTATGTACATATGTATGTTGAAGTTCTTTCACACCGTACGCAGCCAACTGCGCGAATGTAAGTGCGTATGCTGAACTTCTTTCGCACCGTATGTAGCCAACCGCGCTAATGCATGTATGAGTGTTGAACTTCTTTCGCACCGTACGTAGCCAACCGGGCGAATCGGTAGGTGCGGTTCGGAAGGACAACGGACTTGTAGCGCTCTTGAGACGCCCCGGCGTAAAGGAGGGGCAGCCCTAGCAAACACAAACTCCCGATCGTTGTCATTGTTATTATCGTCGCCATTTCTCCACGGCGCACGAATGTGACGCGGCCGTGGCTGTCCGCTGTCTCCCAGCCGTGCTGGAGAAGCCGCTGGAGAAGAAAGCGGGGCGCAACTACGGCCCGCCGGGCACCAGGAGGCTCGTGTACTTTGTGGACGACATGAACATGCCCGAGGTGGACGCCTACGGCACGGTGCAACCGCACACGCTCATCCGCCAGCACCTGGACTACAACCACTGGTGAGAAGGGGGGAGGGGAAGGCGGTGGAGGTGGAGCAGCAGCAGCAGCAGCAGCGCTGCCGAACGGCCAGACCCCCGGCCCCTGCGGATTTGCTGGTTCTGTTCCCAGGTAGTCCTTTCGTGGAAGCAAATCTGTAAGTCATCCCGGGACATTAAAAGTTCTCTTTTCAAATAATAATAATAAAAAAAAGTTTTATTTAGTGAAATAATTCCTTATCATTATTATTATTATTCATCACCACCATCACGATCCATGGGGCAGATAGCACGTTGGGTGTCCGCTGCACTTTTCGTCATGTTTCCACTTTCCTCTGTCTTGCGCCGATATGCTGAAGTAGTGCACCACATCCTTCTGGCACCGGATGTCTCCGTCAAGCCATTCTCTGTTAGGTCTTCAACTCCTGCCGGTTCCTTCCATTTTCCCGAACAACGCGCTTTGCATTTTTCCTGTTGTTGTCCATCCGACATGTGTGTCCAAATAGTGCAAGTTTCCTTCGCATCACTGCCTGCATCATTACGTTGCTTTCTACTACTGCATGTACGTTGGTCACTCCTTGGGTCCAGCTTACATGCAGCACCCTTCTATAGCCATACATCATTACACTTAATTTTATTGTTATTTCTGACAACCCATTAACACGTCGTTCACCCCTCTTCCTGTATCTTCAGATATTATAATTCCCATGGATAATTCCCGATTTCTTTCGTAGCAGAAGAGATGGCGACCTTACCCGCCCCACCTCCCTCCCTTTCGTTTATTTCACCCGTCGCGCCGGGAGATCAAAAGTAACCGGTAGGACGGTGTGGGGGGGGGGGGTCATCTGCATCGCAAGTTCAGCGTTGCCGAACCGTTCCACCACCGTGGCGGCACCGCCCAAGCGCCGTGTTCCACGCGCGCCGCCGATCACCGCTGCGTCGCGAGCGTGAAGACGGCGCGTGACACGTGCGTCTGCCCCCCGTGCGCAGGTACGACCGTCAGAAGCTGAGCCTCAAGGAGATTCACAACGTGCAGTACGTGGCCTGCATGAATCCCACCGCCGGCAGCTTCACCATCAACTCGCGTCTCCAGGTGCAGTCCCCCCCCCCCTCCACCCCGGCACCCCCCGCCACCCCAACCCAATCCCCCCTTCCGATCGCAGACGCTTCTGCCTTAGGCAGGGAGAATTGACGTTTGATCGATGCGCCGAGTAAAGTATATTTTTGAAAGGAGATATTTTTTTACTTTTCCCCCCAGTGTTATTTATTTGTAGTGGCTTGTACGTATTTTGAACATCTTTTGCACCGTACTTAGCCAGCCGTGCTAATCGGGGGAAGGACAACAAGCTCAACACAAGAAGCAGTTAGAACGAAATTAGTTTTCAATCTGGATTTAATAGCGCATAGCCTCGGTGGCTTCCTAACGCTAATCTTTGCTGGACTTTGCACTCCTGTCGTTGTATAGTTTCCCGTGCAACGTTCTGAGCCCCGTGCCCCGACTGGACATTCGTGAAAAAGAGCTTTACAGCTCGTCGGATTCTTCCAGTCTAAACATTCCCGATTCCTGATTCTGTTATCCCCGATCGTGCAATCGGCGTCGCCGCGTGGTGAGGCGAGGGAAGCCGTGCGTAAGATCTCGCGGAGCGGCGCGGTGGCCCGTGGTGCTGGGGAGAGGGGCGGCACGCTGGACGCCGCGCTGCCGTCGCACGCCAGTTTTGCCTCGAGACGGTGCGGTTTAAAGTGGCACCGCTGTGGCTCGCCGAGTCTCGGGACCCTCTCTTGTCGCGAGAGTCCCGCTGCATTGGGATGTTTGGGCCACTCCCGCGAATGAGTGAGTGAGTGAGTGCGTGTGTGCCCGTGGGCGGCTTCATCAATCGCGGTGTTCTCCCTGTTCCTGGAGGAACCCCGAGAGGGGTTGGTTCATTCTAGCTCTGCCAGATGGAGTTTGGCCAGAAGGCGTCATAAACGCCTGTCCCTCTGGGGTCTCTAGAGGAGCGATGATCACAACAACGAGCGAAACCCCATTTGGCACAGTAGGGGGTACAGCTGGTGCATCTGCCAGTCATCTCAGTCAGCCAACCCACGGCACCTGGGTCTGTCCCGTAACCTCCTGTCGGCGAGCCTTCGACACTTCACGTGGCCTCAAGGTGCACTTTGCCTGGCACAGGCGCCATGGTGACGTCACCATCCCATAGTGGCGAATGGCGGTTGTTGGTATTGGCTTCATCAATGGGGGGGAGCGGTGGCACAGCGGTTAGCGCGCTGCCGCGCTACGAACCCGGCAGAGACCCGAGTTCGATTCCTGCTCAGGGCCACCGACACAGGTGACGATACATCTGAACCGGTCCTGGGCCTCCCCTCGGTTGACTCAGCCTCAAATGATGTCCTGGTGCAGTGGTGTGTAAACATCGATGGGATAAATGAGGGAACATCGCACGTCCTCCCGTCATTGTCCCCCCCCCACCTCCCGCCGACCTCCCGCAGCGCCACTTCTGCGTATTTGCGCTCTCCTTCCCGGGCTCCGAGGCTCTGTCCAGCATCTACAGCTCCATCCTGGGGCAGCACTTGCGCGGCAGCAGCTTCCCTGCGGCCTTGCAGAAGACGGTGCCGGCGTTGGTGGGCCTGGCGCTGGCGCTGCACCAGAAGGTGTCCTCAGCCTTCCTGCCGACGGCCGTCAAGTTCCACTACATCTTCAACCTGCGCGACCTCTCCAACATTTTTCAGGTGCGCCACGGTTGGCGAGGTGTTAACTTTCGATCTCGACCCCGCTGAGGCCTGCTGTATATTTCGCGTTTGTGCGCCTCTCTCCCCGTGGTCGCGTGGATTTTTCTCCGGATCCCTCCGGTTTTTTTTCCCTTCCACATTTAGAATCAACGTCACGCGTTCGGAGTTATTTGGTTGCTATAAATGTCCACGTGATGATGATAAGTCCACTTTGTTGGGTTATTATTCGTGATGGCCAGGTCGCATCTGAAAAAGAGAGCTACATAGCTCAGTGGTAAAAAAAAAATAGTTTAGTATTATGAGACCTCCTTTGCCAGTAACAAGATATAGGAATAGGTTTTACCCTTTTAGCTGGCACAAAAACTGAAACCTTTATTCAAGGCATCATGTTTGCAATAACCACAACACAAGCAGTCAAAATGCAAACAATAAAGACAACTCTGATAATAATATGCACTGTCTTCTGGTCCAACACCAATGGAGACTAGGCTCTAAGAAAAGCCGTCTCGGGTGTGGACCAATCAAATTCAAGGACAGTGCATATTATTATCAGAGTTGTCTTTATTGTTTGCATTTTGACTGCTTGTGTTGTGGTTATTGCAAACATGATGCCTTGAATAAAGGTGTCAGTTTTTGTGCCAGTTAAAAGGGTAAAACCTATTCCTATAATAGTTTAGTAGTTTTAGTATCGAATCCTGAGCCCCACCGGGTCACGTCTTGCATAATCGATCTCTTTGCCATGTCCGTGTCGCCAGGGCATCCTATTCTCCACACCCGAGTGCATCAAGGTGCCCCAGGACCTGATGAAGCTTTACCTGCACGAGTCGAACCGCGTCTACCGGGACAAGATGCTGGAGGAGAAGGACTTCCAGAACTTTGACAAGATCCAGGTCGACACCGTCAAGAGGTTCTACGACGTGAGTTTGCCGACTGGCGGCAGGCGCTCACCGTCGCGGCCATCGCGCGGCGGTCACTCCTTGCCGTAAACGTTTTGAGCTCTAGGTGTGCGAAATGTTGACGACCTCGTCTGGTATACAGTCATGGGTTCGATCCCGGCCATATTTGAAGTTGGCACGTCCTTTCTCACCATGGTCACATGGATTTTTCCCCAGGTCCTCCGGTTTTTCCCTCTACAATTAGAACCAATGTGCGTTTAGAGTATTTGGCCACTGTAAATTTCCACACGATAAGCCACTTTGTTGAGCTATTGCCTGTGGCCAGGTCGCTTCTGGGCCTTACCGATCGATACTTTTTTGCTCGTAGTTCATGAAAGTTGGTCAACGGTGAAGCGGGCACGCGTGCCCTACTTTAAATCGGCTCTTGAGCGCGTGCCTCGCTCGCAAACGCTACGAGACGACGGAGATCGGTGCGGCGGTAGGCTCCGCAAACGCCACCGTGCGTGCGTGCGCTCGCCGCCACCGCCACTCGCCCACCACTTGCTGTCGCGTGAAAATAAAAACGTAAATTTTTTTATCAAAAGATACGACGCCGTTTTCAATCCCCCCTCTGCCCCCCAGGACATCGACGAGACCCTGGCGCAGGCGCAGCAGATGAACGTCTTCTGCCACTTTGCGAGCGGCGTGGGCGAGCCCAAGTACCTGCCGGCGGCCAGCTGGGAGTACCTGAACCGCATCCTCGTGGAGGCCCTGGACAACTACAACGAAACCAACGCCGTCATGAGCCTGGTGCTCTTCGAGGACGCCATGGCCCACATGTGCGTGCGTGCGTGCGTGCGAGTACGCGTGTCTTTGTGAGCGTGGCCGCATGTGCGTGCGCACGTGTGTGTGTTTGCATGCGCGTGTGTATCTTTGCGTGCGTGCGTGTGAGTGCGCGTGCCTTTGCGAGCGTGCTTGTGTACGCGTGCGCCCGTGTGTTTGCTATGTGGGGAGCGGTGGTTTAGTAGAGGCTTGCGCGGTGTGCTGCGAACCCGGCGACCCGAGTTTGATTCCAGCTCACGGCCAGCAACACCAGTGACGATTATCTAAACCGGTCCAGTGTGTAAACATCGTCACTAGGGAGAACAAAGGCGGTCAGGGGTCGTGCTGGCCACCCACCCCCTCGTGTGCCGTGCCGGCCTTCATAGGTGCTACTCATTAACAGCACTTGCCCAACAGTTTGTTAAGCCTATACGGGGTGATCTTCGGACACGCGGTTCAGTCTGTTTTCCACAATAAAGGTATTTCTTTTTATTTTTTTAGTTCGATCGTGCAAATTTAAGTGTGTCGTTCAACCCGCGACCACCCGGCGCAGCCAATTAGTCAGGTTTTGTCACGTAAACAAAACGTGCCAGTTACTAGTTCAGCCACACTAGCGTGTTGGAGAGTAAACCCTCAGCATTTACAATTCGGGCCTGTTTTGGTTTACCACCCCCTGTCCCCCGCCTGCCTGTTGGGCGACGTACCCGGTCCACCCAAATCCTCCCCACACCACTGTACGACTCGCCGTGGACGCGAAGAGCCATCGCCACCGGATTAATGGGCCCTGCGCATTGATGGTGAACCGTTCAGAATTCAGGGCTTTGTGATGGCGCCGTGATTAGACCACGAGGACCCTCGAGTTTTAATTTGTGTTGATTGTCCGGCCACCACCGACTTGCGTCGTAAAAAAAATAATTCACACCGTGCTAAGTTTGGGATTCTTTCACTTTGACCAAATTCCAGATCAGTTTGACTCGGGGCAGGTGGGCAGTTCTGGCCCGTTACTGTGTAAACGAGACGTCACTTGAAGGGATCTCGAAAGTAGTTCCATGACATCCGCTTCCGCGGGCCCTTTTCGCGCACAGTGGGTTGCGCTGCTGCGCAAGAGTTTCCGAATGGATCCTTGGTCTCGTGACGCCGATCGCACGATCAGGATAAAACATTGGGGAAAACAAACCCCACCAACAATTCGAAGCTGTTTTTGTGCCCTCGTGTGGTGGACGGGGGGAGCAGCTGCCGCATAAACCGCATCCTGGAATCGCCGCGCGGCAACGCGCTGCTTGTCGGCGTCGGGGGCAGCGGGAAGCAGAGCCTCACCCGCCTGGCCGCGTTCATCAGCTCCATCGAGGTCTTCCAGATCACGCTGAAGAAGGGCTACGGCATCCCTGACCTCAAGGTGAGGCTTGCAACCATACCATGCGTTCATTGTGTTTTAACCGACCGTCTGTGTTGCTTTACATAGTTTCCAAATTTTGCTAAACCCTGTTTGATTTAGTGTGATGCTCCGTCTCTCTGTATCCCCTGGTATATCTGTGTTAATTCCCTCTACTTAAGGTCTGTATATATATCTGCGGTTATGTGTTTCCTCTGCCTGATGATGATTGCTTGTGTTGCAATCGAAACGTCGTATATTATGTAATTGTATTTATTCTTATTTCTACGTGACTTTACCGAAAAAAACAAAGATTAATTCCTGCAGTCACGAAAGCACCAAATCGAGTTTACGCATTTAGGGTGTTTGGCTGCGATAAATGTTCACGCGATAAGCCACTTCGTTGAGCTTTCATTTGTGGCCAGGTCGCTTCTGAAAAAAGAAGCTAATAGCTCAGTGGGCTTTACCTGGTAAGATACAATAAATAGTTAAATTGTATTTGCGTGTTTTTTATTGTGATTTGTTTACCTTTCCTATACTTTGCACTTCTATTGTGTCGTTGCATTGTTGTTGTAATGTTCAGACCCCGTGCTCCTACTTGACATCTCTAAAAATATATATTTATTATCTCTGGGACCTTTTCGCCAGTATGAAAATTATGAAACAAATAAGAATAGGCTTTTATCCTTTCTGGCAATAAAGCAGGTGTTAAGATGTTCAAACACCAAATCGATACTTTTTGCAAGGCATCAAGTCTGCATTAACCAGTTTCAAATACAATGCATATATTATCAGAGCATGCTTGTTTGCATGTTTTGCCACAAGTATGTGCGGTTAATGCAGACTTAATGCCTCGCACAAGGTATCTTATTTGGTGTGTGAACATCTTAACACAACTCATGGTTTTTTTTTTTCAAGAGCTTTATAGCTCATGGGATGCCCCCTTCCAATAAAAATGGATATTCAGATTCTCGTTTGCTGTGTGGGTCCTATCTCGTCCCCTGTAGGCCGACCTCGCGAACCTCTACATCAAGGCTGGCGTGAAGAACCTGAGCACCTTGCTACTGATGACGGACGCTCAGGTGGCCGATGAGAAGTTCCTGGTTCTGGTCAACGACCTCCTGGCCTCGGGTGAGCCTGGGTGACGAGGCCCGATGATTGCCACTAACAGCTCTACGGTACGCCTGGCAAAACACATGAGCAGGCTGCAGCGTGTGCAGCGTCCTCTGGCACGTGACGGTGATGGGGCACTGCAAGATCCGACGCCGTTAAAGAAACCACCCGACACAGCCACTTTGCGCAAGAGTGCAGAAGTGCGGTCACCGCATCCACGCCTCTATATAAGGAACGAAACAGGTGGACTTCTCCACAAATCTGGCTGTCGCCTGATGAAGCTGGTTGTAATTACTGGCGAAACGCCGTACTCAGGTTGTAAATGTTGTGGCGTGGCTCTCCAACACACCGGTGTGCTGTACTAGTATACTACACTATACACTACACTATACACTACACTATACAGTAGTGCTGTACTAGTGACGAATTGTCACATTCTGTTCACTTGACGAACCTCACTAATTGGCTATGTTGGGCGGTGGCGGGTTTAACGACACATTTATATATTTACGCGATCAAACCCCAAAAAAACCTCTATTATGGATGATATTGGTTGCGAAAGCCTACGTGTTTAACTGAATACGTGACAAGGTCGCACTCATTACACACAAAGTGCTTGCCACAAATGAACCGCAATTCCTTGCTGATGTCGTCAAGGAGCATGAACTCTCACGCAAACGCCGGTCATCCCCGCAGCGGCTTTAGGCTAACCATCGAGCAAAGACGGCCACCGCATCGCGTGCTTTCAGATGAGCTTCTGCAGCCGTCTGGAACGCTCTTGGTTCCGATATTAGGAAGCCACTGGAGCTATGCACTTTTCAATCATCGTCTAGATTGAAAACGAATTTCTTTAGTGCTGCTTTTTTGTGTTTAGTTTATCGTCCTTCCCCGCACCTCCGATTGGCACGGTTGGCTACGCACGGTGCGAAAGAGGTTCAACATACGTACATGCATTGGGCTTTAGGAAGGGATCGAGACACAGTGGGGCGATCGTAGGACAATCAAGATCAAGATGTCACCGTACAGAGCGTAGCCTCGAGTCTGCGGAAATATTAGCGCGTCGATGTGGCCTTGCGGCAGCGCGTTTTTGCCACTCGTCCCGTGGGTGTGTGGTTGGAATCGGGACGGGCCACCCCGGCAAGACGGGCGTAATTAACCGGACCAAAAGCACGCCGTCTGCTTCACTGTGGACGGCAAGGTTGCCGTGACGCTCGAGGCGAGGAGGCCACCGAGTGCCGGCGTCACGGACCAAATTTGGCAAATTATTTACGCGATCTAACCTAAAAACCTCTATTATGGATGATATTGGTCGCGAAAGCCGACGTGCTAAACTAGAAAAAAAATGTTGCCGCAACATCGTTGTGCCACGTACCAAATAGGCCTTCGTGATTGCTCGCCGTGTTCTGTAACAATTGCGAGTATACCAAATCTACAAAATTTATATTATGAGTATTATTAGGGAACGTACAGCAATATGGAGATTTTGTCAGGTGCTCTCAGTGTTGCCTTGTGGTGATGTGACGGTTGTTGTGGTGGTGGAAGTGATGATGTGATGCTTTTTGCAGTGGTGATGATGTGATGGTTATTGCAGTAGTGGTGATGATGTGACATTTGTTTTGGTGGTGATGTGACAGTTGTGGTGGTGGTGGAGGTAATAATTTGACGGTTGTTGCGGTGGTGGCGATGTGATGGCTGTTGTGGTGGTGTAGGCGATGATGTGGCGGTTGTTGCGGTGGCGATGACCTGACGGTTGTTGCGGTGGAGATGGTGATGTGACGGTTCGTTGTTGTTGTTGTTGCGGCGGTGGCGGTGGTGGTGGTGGGGCCTGCCTCGCGCGTACGCAGGCGAGATCCCGGACCTGTTCCCCGACGACGAGGTGGAGAACGTCATCGGCAGCGTGCGCAATGAGGTGAAGGCTGCCGGCCTCCTGGACACGCGCGAGACCTGTTGGAGATTCTTCATCGACCGCGTGCGCAGGAACCTCAAGGTGACGTGCCTCACAGCGAGAAGCGCCCAGGGTTCGACACCTGACCTGGGGCGCCTTTTCCTGCGCGGAGTTTGTTGGATATCTTCCCCTGTTTCTGCGTGGGTTTCCTCCGGGTTCTCCGCTTTGTATGCACGTACGTTCAACTGCTATCTCACCGTACGTAGCCAACCGCGCTATTTGGAGGTGCGGGATCGGAGGCGCTTTCCTTTCATAGCTCAAAGAAAACATAAAAACGTAACCGGTATTGGCCAAACGTCCCGCGATGCAGTGACCGTCTTTGTTCGACGGTTAGCCAAAAGCCGTTGCGAGGATGATTGTTTATGCTCCCTAACGGGATCTGCAAGGTATTGTGGTTAATTTGTGGTGAGCACTCTGTGTGTAATGAGTGCGACCTTACAATGTATTCGTTTGGCAACTGGAGGCCAATGCAGCTCAGCGAGCACCGGACGGACACGGCGTCGGATCTTGCAGTACCCCGTCACGTCACGTGCCGCCAGAGAACGCTGTACACATGGCTGATGCATCTACATCAGCCATGTTTCCCCACGACAGCCTCACTGGGGTGCCGCGGTAGAAACTATCTTGCCTGGTATACAGGAGGTCGTGCGTTCGATCCCGACCCTGACGCCAGCTGTATATTTGGAGTATTAATGTTTTCCCCGTGGTCGTGTGGATCTTTCTCCGGGACCTCTGGTTTTCTGCCCCACATTTAGAATAAACGTGCATTTTAGAATTTTTGTCTGATATACATTTCCACACGATGATGATAAGCCACTGCATTGGGCTGTCATTTCTGAAAAAGAGCTATATAGCTCAGTGGGGCCTTACTTTGTAAAATTAAAATAGTTTAGTTTATAGTTTTTTTATGAGTCTCAAGACCCCCCCCCCCTGCCGCTCCCCCCCCCTCCCCCCCCCCCCCCCTCCACAGGTGGCGCTGTGCTTCTCTCCCGTGGGGAACAAGCTGCGTGTGCGGGCCCGCAAGTTCCCGGCCGTGGTCAACTGCACGGCCATCGACTGGTTCCACGAGTGGCCGCAGGTGGCGCTGGAGTCGGTCAGCCTGCGATTCCTGCAGGAGACGGAGAGCATCGAGGTGAGCCCCGGCCGTGCCGCTGCGGAGGGTCCGCGCGGAAGCCCCCAGGGCTGTGGAGTGCCAGCGAGCGTCACGCACAAGGGCAGGACAAGGCCCCGCTACTTCATTTCGGTTCGGCCCCGCGGCGGCCGCAAATTCGGACTTTTTCTCCCGGGTCGGGGTGGGCGGCCTAATTTTTTTTTTGACGGAATATATTTCCCGGGTCGCTTGCGGACAAGGAGCAGGCACCGTGGTTTGTGCCGCGGTTGCTTTAACGGCTAAAATATAAACAAAAAGTACGCGCCGTCCGCTTCGCAGTGGACGTTAAGGGTCCAGAAAGAGTAGTAGGCCACGTCTGCCGGTGTCACCTTCCCATGATGCCTAATTTGATAAATTGCTCCCAAATCGATAAATTGCTCCCAAATCGGTAAAATGGGAAAGCCCACATAGCGACGGCACCCTCCTCCTTTCGGCTCGCTAATCCCCACTTTGTGGCCGGCGCTGCGTTCACCTTGTGCCACACGGTGACAGCGGCCACTGAGGGTCCCCTAGGCTGGCCGCGGTGATGAGATGGTAACTCCCGACCCTGATGTTTTTTGTATAATTTGGAGCTTGCATGTTTTCTCTCTCCCCGTGGTCGCGTGGATTTTTCACCAGGTCCTCCAGTTTTTCCGTCCACATTTCACATCGACGCGCGTTTGGTGTATTTGGCTACTGCTATGAATTTCCACGTGATGATGATGAGCCACTTCGTTGAGCTATCATTTGTGATAGAGCTACGTAGCTTAGTGAGGCCTTAACAGTCAAATAAAAAATAGTTTAGACCACAGCGGGGCATCGGAACGGTCTAAGATGAGACCCGATGCCAGCCGCTGTGATTCACTGAGGCATTTGAGCGAGCGCCCTCCAAATTCTTATCGTTGCCCTCTCGCCTTACTTCCTCCCTCTCCCTCTCCGTGTCTCTCTGCGCTTTTTCCCCCCGCCAGCCGAGCGTGCGGGAGTCGGTGAGCAAGTTCATGTCGTTCGTCCACACGAGCGTGAACGAGATGTCGCGGCAGTACCTGGCAAACGAGCGGCGGTACAACTACACGACGCCCAAGTCCTTCCTGGAGCAGATCAAGCTGTACCAGAGCCTGCTGGCGAGCAAGAGGACGGAGCTCACCGCCAAGATGGAGCGTCTGGAGAACGGCCTGCAGAAGCTGCAGAGCACCTCGGCACAGGTGCGGTGCCTCTCCGTGACGCTTGTGGACACACGGCCGGCTTCGTGAATCATTTTACCACCGGCTTCTTTTGACTCTCCAACACGACCACGGGGAGAGTGAGAGAGAGAGAGACAGACACACGCAAACTCCAAATATACAACAGGTGCCGTCAGGGTCAGGATGGAACTCGCGACCTCCGGCGCACCAGGCGAGGTAGTAAACAACGTACCTGCCCTTCTTGATGGTTTACCTGCCGAGCAGCGGCCCGAGCACGGGGTCCACCGACATCTCGCCACCGTGGCGCGAAGCGTATGGGGGAGGGGTGGGGGGAAACGGTCTCGCCTCTCTTCCCACGCTCGCCGCCCGCTCGCCGGAGTTGCGGAGCCGTCTCGCCGTCTGAACTTGGTCGACCGCCCCCCCCCCTCCCCCCCCCCCTCCCCTCTCCCTCCGCCTCGCCCGCGCACGCAGGTGGACGACCTGAAGGCCAAGCTGGCGTCGCAGGAGGTGGAGCTCAAGCAGAAGAACGAGGACGCCGACAAGCTGATCCAGGTGGTGGGCGTCGAGACGGAGAAGGTGTCCCGCGAGAAGGAGATCGCCGACGCCGAGGAGGCCAAGGTGGCCGTGTTCGCCGAGGAGGTGGGCAAGCAGCAGCGAGACTGCGCCGAGGACCTGGCCAAGGCCGAGCCGGCGCTCATCGCCGCGCAGGAGGCCCTCAACACCCTCAACAAGGTGCGGCGTCACCGGGGTTTGTTTTTCAGTGAGCGCTCCGGCGCGTTGACGGGCGCTCGGCTTAATCCCGGGGCGCCACGGTGGCGAAATGTTAACTAACTCGCCCGGTATGCAGTAGGTCGTGGGTTCGATCGCGACCCTTGACACCTGTATATTTGGAGTTTGCGTTTCCCTCTCTCTCTCCTCGTGGCCGCCTGGATTTTTCTCCAGGTCCTCCGATTTTTCCCTCCACATTTATAATCGACGTTCGTACTGCTATACATTTCCACATTATGATAAGCCACTTCGTTGGGCTATAATTTGTGATAGCCAGGTCACTTGGTAGGGCTCAGTAGGCCCTATCTGGTAAAATAAAAATAGCATATAGTTGTTAGTGTTTGTAATCGGCGGACGCTCGGACGAATGAACGAGTGATTTCAATGAGTGATTTGGCTGATGAACGAGTGATTTGGCTGATGGACAGTTGGAATCATCGAAGGGCAGTTGGGCATCATAGCACGGCATGTGCTATGGAGAAGCGCGCCATCGCCCGAAACGTCGCCTGTTATTTATATTTTTTTCCATTCAATGAAAAACGTGTGATTGACGAGCGCGCTGTTCCGCACGGTGCCCGAAACGCCGTTCCTTCGAGGGGCTCGCGAACCTCGCGCTGCGAGCGCCGGGCTCTCCCGCTAACGCCCACGCGGTAAGGTGCGGCGTGGAAACGCGGCCTCTTGACACCGGCCCGCGTCGTTCGCCGAGAGCGGCCACGGTGAACGTTGACCCTGTCGCTCGCCCCCCGCGCGCCGCCCCCCCCCCCCCCCCGGCCGTCACCCCCCCTTCCCCCGAATCTCACAGAACAACCTGACGGAGCTGAAGTCCTTCGGCTCCCCGCCCCCGGCCGTGACCAACGTGACGGCGGCCGTGATGGTGCTCATGGCTCCCGGTGGGCGCATCCCCAAGGACCGCAGCTGGAAGGCGGGGAAGATCATGATGGCGAAGGTGGACCAGTTCCTGGACTCGCTCATCCACTTCAACAAGGAGAACATTCATGAGAACTGCCTCAAGGCCATAAAGCCCTACCTGCAGGTGCCCCGTGCACACACGCCGTGACCTCCACCCTCCACCCCCGTGCACAGACACCGTGACCTCCACCCAACACCCCCATACACACGCACAACGCTTCGTAAAGTTGGAATCCCTCTCTCTGCCAGGATCCGGCGTTCAATCCCGAGATGATCCAGGCCAAGTCGCTGGCGGCCGGAGGCCTCTGCTCGTGGGTGGTGAACATCGTCCGCTTCTACGAGGTCTACTGCGAGGTGGAGCCCAAGCGGCAGGCACTCGGCAAGGCCAACTCTGACCTCGCCGCCGCCCAGGATAAGCTGATGAGCATCAAGGCGAAGATCACCGTGAGTGCCTCCTTCCGCTTTGCCGGCAGCGAAAGGGGCACAGAGGGAGCCCCGGTGTTGCGATGTTGTCTTGGGTGTCGGGGTCGGGGGGCGGGTGGTTAAATGATTAATACAGCAGAAGCCCTCTTAACGACCAATCCTGTGTATAGTAGTGTACTGTAGTGTAGTGTATAGTAGTGTACTGTAGTGTAGTGTATAGTAGTGTAGTGTATAGTCGTGTAATGTATAGTGTAGTGTATAGTGTAGTATACTAGTACAGCACTGGTGTATAGTGTAGTGTATAGTGTAGTGTATAGTGTAGTGTATAGTGTAGTGTATAGTGTAGTGTATAGTGTAGTAAACTAGTACAGCAACACCGGTTGTGTGTTGGAGAGCCACGCCACAACATTTACAATCCGAGTACGACGTTTCGCCAGCAATTACAAATAGCTTCATCAGGCGACAGCCAGATTTGTGGAGAAGTCCACCTGTTTCATTCTAGATTTGAAGTTTTCGTGACTGCAAGGATCCATATTCTTTGGTTCTTTCGGTAAAGTCACGTAGGTGAAAAAGATAATAAAAAATAAAATAAATTAAATCACGACGTTTCGATTGCAGCACAAGCAATCGAAACGTCGTGATTTAATTTAGTTTATTTAATATTATTTTTATTTTCACCTACGTGACTTCACCGAAAGAACCAAAGAATATCCGCCTGTTTCGTTCCTTATAGAGAGGCGTAGATGTGGTGACCACCCTTCTGCGCTCTTCTTGTGCAAAGTGGGGAAGGGGGGGGGGATTAATGAGTCAACGCACATGATGCATGATGCGCATTATGCGAGCCCTTTGATCTTGTCCTTCCTGTCCTGAAGCCTGAGCAAGTACATGAGGTCTCCGAAATTATGACGCTGATGGTATGGGTGGCTGATTATAGTGGTGGTGGTGGTGGTGATGATGATGATGTTGGATTGATGGAAAATATCAAATCCCTAATTTGAATTATCCCATACGCTGGTATTTGCAAAACGCTTAAAAAAACGCGGCTGCGGAACCGACAGCGATGCACACTCAGGATCGCCATCTGTGTTGAGGCTGAAGGAATCCGATGTGCCATGAAGCTTTTCCCCCCCCCCCCCCCCCCCCCGCACAGATGTCCCTTTAGCTCCGCTCTGTTCCCGAGTTCAGGGCCAACTCACCTTTTGAGCCACGTGAACGGGTTTCTGCACAGCACGAGATCCGAGCAGCATCGCGACTTTGCACTTTGGCAGTTCTGTTCGGATTACTCCGCTGTGTAACCAGCAGTTACTGCAGTGAACTTCACTCATTTACAGAGGAGGGGGCAGGGGAACTACTTTTGCCGATAACACTGGACCCGTAGACCAACACGGGACTCGTAGGCACCTTGAGACATGCGTGTAAGGGCGCCTTACAATTGCATGTAAATTATTATCATCAGCGTGAGGGCCGCCACATACGTGAAACCATTGGGGGTTTGACAGCAGCACGATGATGGGAGGGGGGGGGGGGATGTTGTCACAAGTTGATGGTCGGGGGTGGGGGTGCACGTGTATAGTCGTGTATAGTGTATTGTATAGTATAGTATTGTAGTGTATAATGTAGTGTATAGTAGTGTAGTGTATAGTAGTGTAGTGTATAGTAGTGTAGTGTATAGTAGTGGAGTATATAGTAGTGTAATGTATAGTAGTGGAGTGTATAGTAGTGTATAGTAGTGTGGTGTATAGTAGTGTATAGTAGTGTAGTGTATAGTAGTGTATAGTGTAGTATATAGTAGTGTAGTGTATAGTAGTGTAGTGTATAGTAGTGTAGTGTATAGTGGTGTAGTGTATAGTAGTGTATAGTGTAGTATATAGTAGTGTATAGTGTAGTGTATAGTAGTGTAGTGTATAGTAGTGTATAGTGTAGTGTATAGTAGTGTAGTGTATAGTGTAGTGTATAGTAGTGTATAGTGTAGTGTATAGTAGTGTATAGTAGTGTAGTGTATAGTAGTGTAGTGTATAGTGTAGTGTATAGTAGTGGATAGTGTATAGTAGTGTATAGTGTAGTGTATAGTAGTGTAGTGTATAGTCGTGTAGTGCCTCCATAAAGCCCAAAGTGTTCGCTTACCGACCATTCCCCTGTTAACGACGGGCTGTTGTAGGTACAGTAAATATTAATTAATGCATTGATTTAGCATGTTTATTTTAATATTATGTGTTTATAATGTTGTTAGTATCTTTACGTGTTAATATCCATTGTTTAAATATTATAGAGTATGTTATTTAGATGACAAAGTGTAACTTTCGATGCTCTCGTCACGAATTAAGCCTTTAACGTATTTCCCATACTCGCCTAACGACCCAATCGTGGAACTAATTACCATCGTTAAGAGGGGTCACGACTGTCTCTCTCTCCTGCATTTAGAGATCCATCGGTTTTTCAAGTTTCAAGGCGATGTTTTTTGAACCACCAGGTGGGAACTCGAGAGAGAGAGAGACCACTCTGGGAGTCTCGTTTGCGAGGGTGACCTGATTTGGCAAAATAACAATTCTGATAACAATAGCGATACAATAACAATGGCAAAACTACAATGGAGATGAAGAGAGATTAGTTTTGAAAACCATGCAGAGTCAAGTAGAGTCGCAGAACTCAAGACTCGAACTCAGGGCGCAGCTCTCCACCCGCATTTTCGCGTCACGCCCCCGGCGTTGTTCGGCCCGACGTCCGACGTTTCGCTGCACGTGCCGCTGGGAGGCTTCTTTGGATCCCCACGTGCGGAGCGGAAGGTGGCAGCTTGGCGAGGGTGGCTCATCGGTCAGAACCCTGGGCGACCGCGCCACCTCGGAGGCCCGGAATTGTTGTGCCTCACAACGCAACCCCTACGCTAAACAGAGCAACAGAGGGCCAACCGAGTTAAATGCTGTAGCCAACATCGTGGCAAGACGGGCTCCCACCTACGCGTTTGAGGTTTGCCGCAGAGCCGCCCGACGTTGTTTCGGGGCATGGCGCCCGACGCTTTCACGGCACGCGTGCCGGGGTGGGAGGGTCGTGAATTAACTTGCCTCAGGGTTGCTCCCAGCGCGCCGAGCGAAACGACGCCGGACGTCGTGCCGGGCTGGCGCGCGGCACGACCCGCACGTGCGCGTATGGAGAGGCCGCTGTCGCGAGCGGGCTGGCCGGCGGGCGTCGGGCGGGCGCCGGGCGGGTCCTAACCCGCGGCCGCCTCCCTCCGCAGGAGCTGAACGCGAACCTGGCCAAGCTCACGGCGCAGTTCGAGAAGGCGACGGACGAGAAGCTCAAGTGCCAGGCGGAGGCGGAGAGCACGGCGCTCACCATCTCGCTCGCCAACCGCCTTGTGAGCTGGCGGACGCGCACACGCACGCGCGCGCTCTCCGCTTTCCGCGTTCGGTTCGTCGCTCTCCCCCCCCGCCCCGCCCCCCCCCCCCCCCCCCCATCGAGGAACGCAACGAAACCCGTGGCCCCCGTGGGCCTGCTGGCGCGCAGGTTGGTGGCCTGGCCTCGGAGAACGTGCGCTGGGCCGAGGCCGTGGGCTCCTTCCGGCGCCAGGAGCACACGCTGTGCGGGGACGTGCTGCTCATCACCGCCTTCGTCTCCTACCTCGGCTACTTCACGCGCCGCTACCGCCACGAGCTGATGGAGGGCCAGTGGAAGCCCTTCCTCAGCCAGCTGAAGGTGACGGGGGCTGGAGAATCGGAATATTGATTTGGACTGCGGGAGGAATTACGATGAGCCTACGAAGCTCTTTTTGCACAGATGTCCAGAACGTTACAACAACAGAGAGGACAATAACAAGATATGAGTGGAAATAATTAAGCAAGGTAATCAAATCGCTTAAAAACATATGCAAATAAAACGAAGCTATTTTTTTAAATCTTACTTGGTAAGGCCCAGCCAGGGGCGGTGGGTTGCCACCTGTGCTGGTTTAACCGGGATAATTCCTCTTCATTGAGGTGGCTGACAGCATGTTTAGCTGTGGGGTAACCATAGATGGGCCATCTCCGGGTTTATAATTGATATTTTTGTCAGAACGACATGTAAGTTAAATGTACATATGTATGTTGAACTTCTTTCGCACCGTATATAGCCAGCCGTGTGAATCAGAGGTGCGGGGGAAGGACAACAAACTAAACACAAACAAGCAGTTCTAAAGAAATTAGTTTTCAACTTAGATTGAAAAGTGCATTGCTCCAGCGGCTTCCTAATATCGTAAAGGAAGAGCGTTCCAGACGGCCGCAGAAGCACATTTGAAAGCGTGCGAGCCAAAAGCCGCTGCTGCGAGGATGACCGGAGTGTGTGTTGGAAATGTGTTGTCCGCCCTCCACTACCTGACACAGCCAATTCATGAAGTTGCAACAGTTGCCAGCAATCTACCTGACGATGCTTGTTGTAACTACCGGCGAAACGTCGCACTACCAAATCGTAAAACGCCTGCCGATTGCTCTCAAACACCGGTAGTGCTGCAGCAGCAGTAATGCATTTGGCACATTTTTTCATCACTTGACACGTTTATTAATTGGCCCTGTTGGGTGGAGGACGTTGTACGACACACAAATTACTTACGCGGCGATCTGACCCCAAATTCAAATATGAATCATAACAGTTGTTGCGAACGCCTGCACCGTGTTAAAGGGGCGCCACGGTGGCTAGGAGATGTTAACTACCTCGCCTGGTATACAGGAGGTCGTGGCTTCCATCTCGACACTAATGCCTGTATATTTAGAGTTTGCATGTTCTCTCACCCCGTGGTCGCGTATATTTTTCTCCGGGTCCTCCGGCTTTCCCCCTCAACGTTTGAAGTATTTGGCTGCTATCAATTTCCACGCGATGATAAGCCACTTCGTTGGCCTATCATTTGTGATGGCCAGGTTGCTTCTGAAAAACAGCTACAGTATATATACAGTAAAACCTTGGATTGCGAGCATAATTCGTTCCGGAAACGTGTTTGTAATCCAAAGCACTCGTATATCAAAGCACTCGTATATCAGTTATGATCATATGACGCTCGGCAGACAAAGCGTATACGTGCTACTCGTATTGCAAGACCTCGCTCGTTTATCAAATTCATATTTAGTTAAACATTTTTGCTCGTCTTGCAAAACACTCGCAGGCCAAGTTACTCGCAATCCAAGGTTTTACTGTATGTAGTTCAGTGGGCCTCCTTGCCTGGGTGAATTGAAAAAAATAGTTTGATGGCAACGTAAAAAGCGATTTCCTTGCATCTGAGCCGCCAGGTTCCCATCCCGATCACGGAGGGGCTCGACCCGCTGTCGATGCTGACGGACGACGCCGACATCGCGGCGTGGCAGAACGAGGGCCTGCCGGCCGACCGCATGTCCACCGAGAACGCCACGGTGCTCACGGGCACACAGCGCTGGCCCCTCATGGTCGACCCGCAGCTGCAGGGCAGCAAGTGGATCCGCAACAAGTACGGCGACGGCCTGCAGATCGTCCGCATCGGCCAGAGGGGGTGAGTGACCGCTGCCCCAGTGGCGACCGCCGGACGACCGCCACGGTGGCGAGATGTCAACTACCTCGCCCGGTGTGCAGGAGGTTCATGGGTTCGATCCCGACCCTGACGATGCCTGCTGTATATTTGGACTTTGCGTGTCTCTCTCCCTCTCTCTCTCTCTCTCACCGTGGTCGCGTGGGTTTTTCCCCGGGTGTGCCGGGTTTTCCCTCCACATTTTATAATCAACGTAAGCCACTCCGATTAGCGCGGTTGGCTACGTGCGGCGCGAAAGAAGTTCAGCATACATGCATACACGCTTCATCGAGCAATCATTTGTGATGGCCAGGTCGCTTATGAGAAAACAGCTGTATAGCTCAGTGGGCCATACCTGGTAAATAACAAAAGTAGTTTAGTTTATAGTTTAGTTTAGACCACGGCCGCGCACGACCGTGGCTGCGAACACCGAATTGTGAACCACATAGCCACCACGTGCTGCCCCCGAATATATTTCACTTTGTGCGAGTTAGAGCCAAGCAGAGGCAGGGTTGGTGGATCTTGCGGGGATGAACACGACGGTGTGTTTTGGGATACGCGTAACAGCGGATTTTGGTCTCTTGATGCGGAAGAGAGATTGGTGGATTGGGTATAGGGCTGAACGGTTAATCGATTTCAAATCGAAATCGCAGTTTGAAACAATGCGATTAACAAATCGCAAAGGCTGCGATTTTTTGCGATTTTAAAAGTCCTATTACTTTATTTTTGGAATTGTTTTTTTTATTATAACTTTATTTATTTAACTTAACAATTGTTCTATGTTTGATTGTTCTATTTCAATTAAAACATTTTTATATATACATGTTGGAAGCAATTAATATCTTTTAAGTTCTCATTCTTGCATTATAATATATAGAGCAGTTCATATTTTGATGGTATCACATGGTAATGCTCCATCACGTGTTTATTACACAGTGATTATTGAACTGAAGCTTGACTTTAATTTTTTTTATCGCAAATCAAATCGCAATATCTGTCAGAAAATCGCAATCAGATATTTTCCCCAAATCGTTCAGTCCTAGAGAGCCACGGTGACGAATATCTGAACCGGTCCTGGGCCTCCCGTCGGTCGACTCAGCCTCAAATGAGTACCTGGTGCGACGTGTAAACATCGCCACTTGGGGGACAAAGGCTGCCGGGCATGGTGCTTGTTACCGACTCCCTCGTGTGCAATGCTGGCCTTCATCAGTGCTCGCTAGCAGCACTTGCCCCTACAGCCTGTTATAAAGGCTATACGGGGGATCTTTGTTTTTGTTAATCTCAAGAGGGCAGGCGTTAGCCTAGGGCAGTGTTTCTCAAACCTTTTTAGCCCGCGGACCACTCAGCAGATGCAAACATTTCCGCAGGCTACCCAGCCCCCCCACCACCCCTAGTGACAAAGCGAATTCACTTCCCTCTTTAAATACCACTCATGCACAACGATTCATGTTACCGGAACATACTTACGTTTTATTTTTAAAACGCAGCTGTAAGTTTTTTTCTTTCGGGGGAAGGGGGGGTGCGTAGGTAATTTAGATCTTAGCGTTAGGGTAGTTTAATCCTGGTAGTTTATCTAACTTCATTTTTGAAATTAAATTTCACGGGTAAAAAAATGTGGGTTCCAGACAAAAGGTACACCTTTTGTTGCACACCTACATTTTTTACTACCAGGATTAAGCTACCCATAACCCTAAGATTGCCATTATTGTCGTCCGGATCAACCCGCGTTTGCATCACAGCCCCGCGGGCCACCTGGACGACCGTCACGGGCCGACTGGTGGCCCCGGCGAACCGCACTCTTAAAGAATCACTAAGCTGGCGACGACATGGAAGAGGGGTTCACGGATCGTTCAGAGCGTCGCGTGCGCGCAGCCACGGCATTGTTCGAGCGATGCGGAATCGGGGTTGGCGGATCGCACGGACGACGAGCGCCGCGGTCGGCGTGCGTGCGTCGTCCACGCCGGCGGCGGTTTCGGCGCGGCCGTGACGCGGGCGACGTGCGGCGCCCGTTTCGCTGCCGCCGCTGCCGCAGGTACCTGGACGTGATCGAGATGGCGCTGTCGGCCGGAGACACGGTGCTCATCGAGAACCTGGAGGAGGCGGTGGACCCCGTGCTGGGGCCGCTGATCGGCAGAGAAACCATCAAGAAGGGCAGGTGCGTTGTTGACTACCTCGCCTCGTGTGCGGGCGGTTGTGGGTTCCATCCCGCGGCCTATGGCTCGTGGCCCTAATCCTTACTTCAGCTTGAGCCATTTGTGTTTTTGGAAGAGAATGGCTCGTCCTGCGTTCAACTTGTGTGAACTTCCCCCTGGATATCTCTGCACAATGTAAGTTACTTGAAGTCTCCACTGGAGGGAGGGCTGGTACTGTTTGTGTCTAGGTCGTGTGCATCGTTATCTTTGTGTTGCTCTTAACAGTCACGCTCATTGCTGTGTGTGTTGCGGTGGGGGACGGTGGCGCAGCAGTTAGTGTGCTGAGCTACAAATCCGCTCATGGCCACCGACAGTGACGGTTATCTGAAACCAGGTCCTGGGCCTTCCCCTAGGCTGACTCAGCCTTAAAATGAATACCTGGTGTGTAAACATCAGGTGTGGTGCTGCATACATAGCTCCAGTGGCTTACCAATATCGAAAGGAAGAGCGTTCCAGACGGCCGCCGAAGTCCACCTCAAAGCGCGCGACGTGGCGACCGTCTTTGTTCGACAACTTCAGCCAAAAGCCGCCGCCACTGCTGCTGCTGCTGCTGCTGCGAGGGTGAGCGCACGGGTGACTGAAACCCGGCTCTGAACTCACATCGTCATTGGTGCCAGCTCAAGTTGCTCCACGATGATGAGTTTCCCTCCTCGGTCATCGGTGACCGTCATCCCGGTTCGCCTGACGGCGGCGGGGCGTCAATCGCGGGGCCTCCGAGTGACGTCGGCTTTCGAACGGCGGGGTTTTCTCAGCGCGGCGCCGGCCACCGGCGGTTGCTCACCCCCGTGCACCTCACGTCCGCTCGCAGGTACATAAAGATCGGCGACAAGGAGTGCGAGTACAACGCCGGCTTCCGGCTCATCCTGCACACGAAGCTGGCCAACCCGCACTACCAGCCCGAGATGCAGGCGCAGTGCACGCTCATCAACTTCACGGTGACGCGCGACGGCCTCGAGGACCAGCTGCTGGCCGCCGTCGTCAGCATGGAGCGGCCCGACCTGGAGGAGCTGAAGGTGAGGCCGGCGGCGTCATGACGAAGGACAGTTGACGACGGCGGTGGCGGCGGTGATGACGGTGACGGTGATCGGGGAATGGGGGTGGGGATGGGCGGCTGTCGGTACGGATGCTGCTGCAACAACTCTGCTCCCCTCTTCCCCTCCCCCGCGCCTTCGCCAACCCGCACTGACCATCGTTGCGAAAGTGCAGTATCGGAATATTAATTTTATAAAGCTCTATTACGCAGATGGGAGGAATCCGATGAGCTACAAAGGTCTACTTCACAGATGCCCAGTAGGGGGGCGCACGAGGGGGGGGGGGTCAGAACGTTACAACAACAAACACAATATAAAAGCACGAAAGGAGTGCAAAGGTACGGGAAAGGCAAGCCGTGCCAAACCGTGGACGGACGAAACTCTGTACCCATGCGGTTAGCAAATCGTCGTGCCGAGGGAAAACCGTGGACACATAAATACGGCAGATGCGAAAAACGCGGTTAGTGAGAGATTGCTGTATATTGAAACAACCTCCGTATTAAATTTTGATTTAAAGCTTTCGTGACTGCAGTAATTCATATTCTTAGTTTTTTCGGTAAAGTCACGTTGAAGAGAAACAACAAAATAATAAAATATATATAAAACAATAAAAAATTCTCACGACGTTTCGACCATAACTCAAACGGTCATCTTCAGGTGTGTTGGTTTGCATAAATTTATTTTTAAACGGCGCATTTATTTATTTATAAAAAACGTTAGCGCCACGCGCAACGATTTGGCAGTTTGCCCAGGACTAGTCCATCTATATTTTGAAAAGAGGAGGGGGGAGACGAAATTTTTTTTTATAATGTATGCTGTCTGAAAGCCACTGTAAGCGTGAACAATCAATTAAGAACTGAAATGGTGTATCAAATCTTTCCAATGATTGCTAAGATAGAATCCATCTTCTCGGTTGAAATTGTCTCTGTGCTTGTATATGTGGATAGCCTCATGAACGAATCTCTCATGGAAGCCAGATGGCTTACAAAGAACCTCTGTCTTGGAAAAGTCAATGGCATGTGAGCCTACTGAATTAGAACAATGATCTGCCACGGCCGAGGTGTTGGTCCTACCGTGTTTAAGGTCAGCTGACAAAGGCAATGCTACTGTCATCATGGATAAAATAGAATACAACAACAAAATTAAAGAATTACTCGACGATGGTAGTTATACAAAAATAAAAAGAGATCCCACCAACAGCCTCGTCACACAAACCAACAAAATAATTTCTGATTCAACCGCATTAATTGATCAATCTAAACAGTTTTCGTTGAAACCTTCTGCTGCCAGGCCACCAAGATTATACGGCTTACCAAAAATACATAAAGTTGATACACCTCTTCGTCCCATAGTCTCTACTATCAGCTCCCCCACCTACAAACTAGTTCGTTTTTTGTCTGAAATCCTGCGTCCTTTCACTGGAAAGACCACCTCTGCGGTACAAAATTCTACTCACCTGGTATCGACAATCAAGGGTATTTCCCTGTCCCCAGACGACCTGCTTGTCAGTTTTGATGTAGTTTCCTTATTCACCAAGGTTCCTGTACCTGACACCATTGCAATCATTGAAGACTTGGTTCATCAAGGACTAAACACTGAGGTACCCCCCCTGGTGAGACACTGTTTAACCAATACATACTTCACTTGGAATGGAACTTTCTACAAACAAACTGAGGGCACCCCAATGGGCTCCCCCCTTTCTCCAGTTATAGCTAACATTTTCATGGAGAAATTTGAGACTGACGCCATCCAGACTGCCACTCTGCGCCCAACCTTATGGAAGAGGTACGTGGATGACACTTTTGTCATCTAGCCACATGGCCGGCCTGCTCTAGACCAATTCTTCGACCACATCAATTCCATACACCCAGCCATCAGATTTACCATGGAAGTCGAAATAGATGGCAAGATACCTTTTTTGGATGTCCTAATTAAAAAGAGACCTGATGGTTCAATGAGCCACTCTGTCTACAGGAAAGCTACCCATACAGATGCTTATCTGAAACCGGATTCCCACCACCATCCATCACAGAAGAATTCTCTCATCAAGACTCTGTATCATAGAGCCCAATGCATATCCGACCAGGAACACATAAGCAGTGAACTCAAGCACGTACACCAAGCTCTTAGGGCTAATGGTTACTCCGACTATACAATCCGCAAAGCTATCACTCAAACCATGAAGAAGAACCCTCTTGAGGAGCCTTTCAAAACCATCACTTTACCTTACATTGCTGGGATCACAAAAAAGATCTCCAAAATCTTGAATAAACACAAGATCCAGGTCCGTTTCAACACATTACATAAAATCCGTGATCTGGTTCCGTCTGTAAAAGATGTGATTCCGGACATACAATACCCTGGTGTCTACAAACTAAGTTGCCTTTGTGGTAGTAGTTACATTGGAGAAACCAAACGCCATGTCTCGGACCGCATTCGTGAACATAAAGCTGACCTTAAACACGGTAGGACCAACACCTCGGCCGTAGCAGATCATTGTTCTAATTCAGTAGGCTCACATGCCATTGACTTTTCCAAGACAGAGGTTCTTTGTAAGCCATCTGGCTTCCATGAGAGATTCGTTCATGAGGCTATCCACATATACAAGCACAGAGACAATTTCAACCGAGAAGATGGATTCTATCTTAGCAATCATTGGAAAGATTTGATAAACCATTTCAGTTCTTAATTGATTGTTCACGCTTACAGTGGCTTTCAGACAGCATACATTATAAAAAAAAAATTTCGTCTCCCCCCTCCTCTTTTCAAAATATAGATGGACTAGTCCTGGGCAAACTGCCAAATCGCTGCGCGTGACGCTAACGTTTTTTATAAATAAATAAATGCGCCGTTTAAAAATAAATGTATGCAAACCAACACACCTGAAGATGACCGTTTGAGTTATGGTCGAAACGTCGTGAGAATTTTTTTATTGTTTTATATATATTTTATTATTTTGTTGTTTCTCTTCAACGTGACTTTACCGAAAAAACTAAGAATATAATAATAACCTCCGTATTGTTTTTATTTGTCCTGATTTCTCTTTGCTTCATTGCTGTGCTTTATATATTTTCATTTTTGTCACCTTGGTATAACCCTGGCTCAGAGTCACGCAAATGTGACTCCTCTCCTGGTCCCTTGAGACTCCCTCACTTTTCTGACCCCGTGCCCCTACTGGATATCTGTGAGAAGAGCTTCATAGCTTGTCGGATTCCTCCAGGATAAATAAAGATTGTGATTCTGGTTGTACGTGTGTATGTACGTATGTTGAACTTCTTTCGCACCATACGTAGCTTATCTGAGGTGCGGGGGAAGGACAACAGCGGTTGTAAGAAATGAGTTTTTCGATCCAGGATAAAGATTCTCATTCTGGTTTAACTAAACCAACCTGGTGCTGGACCGACAAGCGCGGCGGTCGATTGACGTGTGGGCGCGCGCCGTCTCTCTCCTCCCCGCAGTCGAACCTGACCAAGCAGCAGAACGACTTCAAGATCACCCTGAAGAACCTGGAGGACAACCTCCTGTCGCGCCTGTCGGCCGCCTCGGGCAACTTCCTGGGCGACACGGCGCTCGTGGAGAACCTGGAGACTACCAAGCGCACGGCGGCCGAGATCGAGGAGAAGGCACGGCCTCGCCGGCGGCGCCGCCGCGGTGCACCGCGATCGATGTAGCGCGACGTCTGCGCTTGGCAGCGTACTCGAGATGGTCGCGCGGCCGGCGGGCCCCCGTTAGGAGCCTACGGAGGCAGCACAGGAGGAGGAGGGGACGGTTGCGTAGCAGCGTACTGATGACGCTGTTAGGCAGACAGCGGCCTTGCTTTGCAGTCTACGGAGGCAGTCGTAGGAACAGGAGGAGGGGACGGTCGAGAGCCCGGGCGCAAATGGGGGCACGGACGGCCGGGGGGAAGACACGATAGACATGAGGGAGATTAATTGGATTGTCACCGTCGAGATTTATATCGTGACGTTTATGAAGATGCGAATTTGAGCCGATGTTTGATGCAGCCCGATTTATTTTCGGGAACCAAGGGAGCACCTCGAGCTGCTTTTGGGGCCGTGAACTATTGCTTTGCTTTGCTCATACCGAGCTGTACTCCCCCCGCCCCTCTCTCCTCCACATCTCTTCATCATCATCATCATTGTGATGATCATCGCGATCGACGTAACAGGTCAAGGAGGCCAAGGTGACGGAATTGAAGATCAACGAAGCGCGAGAGCACTACCGCCCGGCAGCGGCGCGGGCCTCCCTCCTCTACTTCATCATGAACGACCTCAACAAGATCCACCCCATGTACCAGTTCTCGCTCAAGGTGAGTTCCTTCTCACTCACTCGCTCACTCGCTCATTCGAGGTGAGTTCCGTCTCACTCACTCGAGGTGAGGTCTCACTCACTCCAGGTGAGGTCTCACTCACTCCAGGTGAGGTCTCACTCAATCCAGGTGAGGTCTCACTCACTCAAGGTGAGGTCTCACTCACTCCAGGTGAGGTCTCACTCACTCCAGGTGAGGTCTCACTCGATCCAGGTGAGGTCTCACTCACTCAAGGTGAGGTCTAACTCCAGGTGAGGTCTGATTCACTCAAGGTGAGGTCTCACTCAAGGTGAGGTCTCACTCACTCCAGGTGAGGTCTCACTCACTCAAGGTGAGGTCTCACTCAAGGTGAGGCCTCACTCACTCCAGGTGAGGTCTCACTCAATCCAGGTGAGGTCTCACTCACTCCAGGTGAGGTCTCACTCAAGGTGAGGTCTCACTCAAGGTGAGGTCTCACTCACTCAAGGTGAGGTCTCACTCACTCAAGGTGAGTTCTCACTCCAGGTGAGGTCTCACTCACTCCAGGTGAGGTCTCACTCACGGTGAGGTCTCACTCACTCAAGGTGAGGTCTCACTCAAGGTGAGGTCTCACTCGAGGTCGCTCACTCAAAATGAAGTTTCACTCAATTTCCTTCCTAACTTACACTTGGTTTAAGGCTACGATTTTGGCATAGATTTTGTGTACTGTGAAATGGACTTTGAAGTGTCATACCCTGGCTCACCAGGAGAAGGCAGTATGGGACAGACTGTTTCCCCTTCGCATGCAGGGGCGATTTCTCCGGGCGCTCCGGTTGCCTCCACGTATAAGCACTCATTAATTGGCCTATATCACCTTACTATATAGGGGACTGCAGGAGCTTGGGCAATTATTGGCGCTGGCTCAGTGTCTTCGAGAGCGAGCGAATGCCGTGCAACGCAAGAAGTTGACATTATGATAATGACATTTAACCCTTTCCCGTCCCGTTCCCCGCTGAATCTGGGAACGCGCGAGCGGTTCAGCGTTTATTTTATTTAGAGAGGCGTAGTAGTGCCGTTGTTTTTAAAGATGTTACCGCAGAGAACCGTAGCGACACAACCGTACTCTACGACAGCTGGCGTATGTGTACACCAGCGGAACGGAATCGAAGGAAAAACCGATGACGTACGTACACGTACGTCATCGGAATGGGAAAGGGTTTACATGACGTTGGTGGCGATGACAATGATGATGATGACGACTCTCTGTACGGGGAAAGCCTCGCCGAGTCTCAACGAGACGGACGGCGAGCACAGGAGAGAGAGGAGCCGATGGCGACCCACCGATGGTGATGCTTTTGATCGAAACGATCGTAAGCCTTGGGCGACGGCTCGTCACGCGGGCCTAACGTCGTACCGCGTGCGTGCGTGCACCCCGGAGCAGGCGTTCAGCGTGGTGTTCCAGATGGCGGTGCAGCGGGCGGCGCCGGACGAGACGCTGAAGCAGCGCGTGGCCAACCTCATGGACAGCATCACCTTCTCCATTTTCCAATACACGACTCGGGGGCTCTTCGAGTGCGACAAGCTGACCTTCACGGCGCAGGTCGCCTTCCAGGTGAGGACCCCCAGGCGCGTCGGCGAGACGTTAACTACCTCGCCCGGTATGCAGGAGCTTGTGTGTTCGATCCCAACCCTGGCGAGATGTTAACTACCTCGCCTAGTATGCAGGAGGTCGTGGGTTCGATCCCAACCCTGGCGAGATGTTAACTACCTCGCCCGGTATGCAGGAGGTTGTGTGTTCGATCCCAACCCTGGCGAGATGTTAACTACCTCGCCCGGTATGCAGGAGGTCGTGGGTTCGATCCCAACCCTGGCGAGATGTTAACTACCTCGCCCGGTATGCAGGAGGTCGTGGGTTCGATCCCAACCCTGGCGAGACGTTAACTACCTCGCCCGGTATGCAGGAGGTTGTGTGTTCGATCCCAAGCCTGGCGACGCCTGTTGTATTTTTGGAGTTTGTGTGTCACTCTCCCTCTCTCCCCCGTGGTTGTGTGGATTTTTCTCTGGGCACTCTGGTTTTCCCCTCCACGTTTAGAATCAGCATCATACATTCATGCCAGTAGCACCCCTATAAAGCTGTACGTTAATTCTATTTGAAGGACCAAATTCCACATACGGCCACCACCAAGCAAACGAAAACTTTACTACTACCACCACTACCACCAAGCAAAATCAAAAATGAATAAGCAAATTGAAGGAATGGATGTTTCCGCGTGGGTTTCCTCCATCGTAACCGTGATTCCTCTCTTCCCGTAGCTATGATGTCACCGGTTTTAGCACAAAGCATCCCAATGCTTGAAAATAAATGCTGCAAATTACTCAATTGGGACTACGCGTGGCAACATCATCCCCTCTCTGCGAAAGCTTGGCGGGACCCTCCCGAAAAAGGAGTCTTGAGAATCGGCGAGGCTTTGGCCTACTCTTCCACACCGGCCAGATTCCTTGGACGAGGCTGGAGTGCCCACACTTTACTCCGCCACCCTGATTTTTTCCATCGTTGTTCGCCCACAGGTGCTGCTCATGAACCGTGAGATCATCCCGCAGGAGCTTGACTTCCTCCTGAGATTCCCAGCTCAGCCGGGAGTGACCAGTCCCGTGGACTTCCTGTCAAACCAGTCGTGGGGCGGAATCAAGGTTCGTGTGCGCACTCCGTACTGAAAGGCGGCTTAGCGCTGGGGCACAGAACATTTGTACTGTCGGGTATCCGCCCGCGACTAATCCGGGTTCTAAGAGTCGGCGGTCTTCGGCCCAGTAAAACCCAATGACTGCACAAAAAGAACGGTCACGTTACATTTGCCTTTTGACTTGTACGTTGACGTGGATTGCGATGCGGGTATTGCGTCGACCGCACGGCATGCCCAGCCACCGCGACGCCAAAGTCCCCCCGGATGAACGGGTGACGGTCCCGAACTGGCCGGCCGTCGAGCCCCTGCCCACGGGAGACGACGCTCTGCGGTTAGGGGTCGCGAGAGCGAACGTTCTAATCGACCAAACTCTCGCCGGCTCGCGGTCGGAAAATTGGGACCATGCTGTCATCGTCGTCGTCATCATCGTCAGGAATAATTTACGTAAAAAAACCCCAAGTGAGTTCGTTGAGGCGAATGCCATATTTGCATGAGCCACACGACTCAAAGTATAATCAGAAAATGGTCATTATCCTGGAGGAATCCGATGAGCTATGAAGCCCTTTTTCACGGATGTCCTATAAACTTCCGTCGAGGAGCATAGACGCAGTGCAGGATAACAGTGAATTCGGAGGCGCCTCGCTGTGCCTGCAACGTAGCTCGGAACCGTTCGGCTGCACGTGACGAAGCGGCGTGCGCACCGCCCGCCTGCCCTGGCGATGTCCAGGTTCTCCCGAGATGGGGCGCGTTGCGGCTGATGTGGTCAAATGCGTGGGCATTAGCCACGATCGTTTCCGTGACGTAATTATCTGTTTAATTGAATATTACCACGTTATTTAGATGGAATAATTTGTATAAATAAAAGGCATTGATTCTTATACGCGCGATTCAGTGCACGTACTTTTTTCCTTCAGAGGCAATGTTGGTAATTTAGATGTGTCGGTACGTCCATAAATTAGGGGGCACCGGTCAACGCATTGGCACGCGCGCTTGCGCCTGTGTGAGTGTGTGTGTATGCGGGTGTGTGGGGGGCGGTAGTGTAGCGGTTAGCGCGCTGCGCTACGAACTTGGCGACCCGGGTTCGATTCCCGCTCACGGCCAACACCCAGTGACGATTATCTGTACCAGTCCTGGGCCTCCCCTAGGTCGACTCAGCCTCACAATGAGTACCTGGTGCGGTGTGTAAACATCACCACTGGGGAGACAAAGTCGGTCGGGCGTGGTGCTGGCCACCCACCCCCTCGTGTACTGTTACGGCCTTCATAGGTGCTCGCTAACAGCACTTGCCCCTACAGTCTGTGAAGGCTATACGGGGGATCTTTGTCTTTGTGGGGGACGGTGGTGTAGTGGTTTGTGCTCTTCGTTACGAACCGAATGCTTTAACTGGTTCCTAGGCCTCCCCTAGTTCGACTTAGCCTAAATGAAGTACGTGGTGCATTGTGTAAACATCAGCACTGGGGAGACAAAGGCGGCCGGGCGTGGCGTTGACTACACCACGCCTTCGTGCGCCGTACCTGATCTCGTCAAGGAACATGAATCATCATGTGGATTTTTGGCGAGCCATCGAACGAAGACGGTCACTGCATTTGCGTGCGATCAGATGTGCTTCTGCGGCCGTCTGGAACACTCTTCCTTCCGATATTAGGAAGCCACTGGAGCGATGCACTTTTAAATCACCTCGATTGTAAACTCATTTTTTTTTTTAACTACTTTTTGTGTTTAGCTTGTTTTCCTTTCCCCACACCTCCGATTAGCACGGTTGGCTACATGCGGTGTGTAATAAGTTCAACATGCATACACACCTGCCTTCACAGGCACTGGTCACGAGCAGCACTCGTCCCAACGTGGGCAATATTTACGCGCTGTCCGTGCGCGCGCGCGCGCTCAGGCCCTGTCAAACATGGAGGCGTTCCAGAACCTGGACCGGGACATCGAGGGATCGGCCAAGCGCTGGAAGAAGTTCGTGGAGTCGGAGGCCCCCGAGAAGGAGAAGTTCCCGCAGGAGTGGAAGAACAAGACGGCGCTGCAGCGGCTGTGCATGATGCGCGCACTGCGCCCCGACCGCATGACCTACGCCGTGCGGTGAGGACGCCGCCACCGGGAACCCCCCCCCCCCGCCACCTCCCCCCACCACTCCGGGTGTTATGCGCGCAGGCGGTGAAGCTGCGCCGGGGATGACCGAGTAGGCCCGAGGGGTTGTGCCAGGTCCGCAGGGCTACGGCGAGGAGGAGTGGGACCTGTAGACTTGTATAGACACCCGCAGGTTGCATAGAGACCCATAGATTTACAGAGACTCATAGACGTGCATGGAGAGCCGTAGACTTAAATGAAGACCCGTAGGCTTACGTAGAGACCCATGGCACTTTCAGTCTGTCGAGGCTAACGCGGGGGGAACCCTCTGTCTACTCGCTACCCGTGGCAGGGACTTTGTGGAGGAGAAACTGGGCAACAAGTACGTGGCCGGGCGCTCGCTGGACTTTGCCGTCTCCTTCGAGGAGTCCGGTCCGGCCATCCCCATGTTCTTCATCCTGTCGCCGGGCGTGGACCCGCTCAAGGACGTGGAGCGGCACGGTGGGTGCGCACGTGACTTGATCGGCGGGGTGGCACGGCGGTGCCGCTCGTGGCCCCCCTTGCGAGATTCCCTACTCGCGCGCCTCCCTGTGCGGAGTTTGTGCGTTTCTGTCTTCGCACTGTTGTGCGTGGGTTTCCTCCGGGTTCTCCCGTCTCCTCCCGCGGCTAAATACACGAACACCGTGGTGACTGATTCATAATAGGGTGCGGTACGGTGGCTAGGAGATGTTAACTCCCTCGCCCGGTATGCAGGAGGTCGTGGGTTCGATACCGACCCTGACGCCTGTATAAAGTATAGGAAAGGTAAGACAATAACTTTAAAAAAGAGAACTAAACTATTTTTTTTAGTTTGCCCGGTAAAGCCCACTGAGCTATGTAGCTATTTTTCAGAAGCGGCCCGGCTGTCCCACATGACAGCCCAACGAAGTGGGCTTATCATCGCGTGGACATTTAAAGCAGTCAAATACTCGAAACGCGTTCTGATGTCGATTGTAAATGTCGAGTGAAAAACCGGAGGACCCGGATTAAAATCTACGCGACCACAGAGAGAGAGGGAGAGACACACAAACTCCAAATATACAGCAGGCGTCAGGGTCTGGAAAGAACCCACGACCTCCTACATACTAGGCGAGGTAATTAACATCGCGTGGAAATCTATAGTCGCAGCCAATTAATCTAAATAACCTCAACTTGTCAGGAACCTCCTGAAGAGGAGTCTTGAGGCGACAGCGTGGCTCATCTCGCAGTCTGGACATCTGTGAGAAAGAGCTTTATAGCTCATCGGATTCCTCCCCCAGCACAAATAAACGTTCTGATTCTGAGAATCGGCACCTCGGCGCTCCGTGCTCGTCGTCCACACGTGGCAGCGGTGCTCTGCCGCGTCCGTCTTCGTGCGCGCGTGCAGGGAAGAAGTTGGGGATCACGTTTGACCAGGGCAACTTCCACAACGTCTCCCTGGGCCAGGGCCAGGAGGTGGTGGCCGAACAGGCGCTGGACTTGGCCGCCAGGGAAGGCCACTGGGTCATCCTGCAGGTGAGGGCATGTGCGTGGACGGGCTGGGAGGGCTCGTGGTTGCGTGTTATTCGAGGTGGCCGGGTGGCTCGGAGGTCGGGCGGCTGAGCCAGAACTTCTGAGGTCCCGGGTTTGAATCTGGGTCTTGGCCACCTTTGGGGTGCCATGGTGGCTAGGAGATGTTAACTACCTCGCCTGGTATACAGGAGGTCGTGGGTTCGATCTCGACCCTGACGATGCCTACTGTAAATGTGAAGTTTGCGTGTCTCTCTCTCACTCAATCATCATTACGGTGGCTAGGAGATGTTAACTACCTCGCCTGGTATGCAGGAGGTCGTGGGTTCGATCCCGACCCTGATGCCTGCTGCTGTATATTTGGAGTTTGCGTCTCTTTCTCTCTCCCCATGGTCACGTGCATTTCCATTCAGGTCTTCCGGTTTTTCCCTCCACATTTAGAATCAGGCGTTTAGAGTGTTTGGCTGCTATACATGTCCACATGACGAGCCACTTCGTTGAGCTATCATCTGTGGCCAGGTCGCTTCTGAAAAAGAGCTATATAGCTCAGTGGGCCTTACTTGGTAAAATAATAAAATAAAAACAAACAAACAAACAGGGTTTTAAAGTGGAGTGTGTTGATTGTCTCAGCCCCAGTCGCAATTGTAGGTACATGTGTTGAACTTCTTTCGCACCCTTCTTTGCCAACCGTGCTAACCGTAGGTGTGCGGAAATGTATGAATGTATATTAAAAAAAATTACGAAATATTTGAGGTGATTTGGCCAAATTCTGCAGCTCGGAGAATGAAACACCAGTTTGATTGTCACGCGTTGCTCTCACATGGCGGAGCGGGGCTTGACGGTGCTGCCCTCTGCCGTGCGTCAACCGCGGGGAAAACTCCGCGGTTGAGTTGGAGGAGCGTGCGGGTGGGGTGGGTGGGTGAGTGGGTGGGGTGGGTTTGGAAAAACTCTGCGTGACAAAAAAAACAATTCCCTTCCGCATCCCCAAATTCTCCATCGTGGCGCGTCCACCCACCCCCCCCCCTCTCCCCGTTCCGCCCCGTTCTCCCGGCGACAGAACATCCACCTGGTGGCTAAGTGGCTGGGCACGCTGGAGAAGAAGCTGGAGCAGCTGGGAGGCGAGTCGAGCTCGCCCCTCTTCCGCGTCTTCGTGAGTGCCGAGCCGGCCTCCTCGGCCGACTCGCACATCATCCCTCAGGGCATCCTGGAGACCTCCATCAAGATCACCAACGAGCCACCCTCGGGCATGCACGCTAACCTGCACAAGGCCCTGGACAACTTCAACCAGGTGACCGTGGCTCGAATGGCATGGCGGGATCTTTAACGATGGATGCCGCATTTTACAGTCGGTTCGCCACCCCCGCGGGTGTTAACTAGGGTGGCCCGCCGGGCTTCAACCGTGTACCCGTGCGACGAGCGGGAAAAAAAACGCACGAACTGCCCCGACCACGCCGAACGCCCGCGTGGTGCCGCCGATCCGATGAATTCTAGATTGAAAACTAATTTCTTTAGAACTGATTTATTGTGTTTAGTTTGTTGTCCTTCCCACGCACACGGCCGATTAGCGTGGTTGGCTACGTACGGTGCGGAAGAAGTTCAACATACATGCATACATATGATTGCCTCCATCCGGTGCTGCGGTTTAATTTAAAGCGCCAGCCAGTTTGTCATCGGGGGTGCCTTGCCTCGGGCTCGGCGTCACACGGAAGCGGTGGCGCCAACCGATAACCTCCGGTTGGCGCACTTCAGTTGACGGTCGACGCGGGCTGTGACCCCCCCCCTCAATGGCGCCGCCCTCCCCGTGGTCGACCCCCGCCTCCCCGCCCCCCCCCCCCATGGTCCGTGGATCAAACAAATCACGGCAGCCAAGAGCGGCTCACGCAAACGCTGTCGCGAGAGGCCACGCGTTCCGGCGCGCGCGTTCGTTCGTTCGTTCGCACGAACGCCCGTCGCTGGCGCAGAATCGCGAGCGGCCGGGCGCTAACCGCGTGCGGGCGGCGCCGTCGTTTCCGGCGCTTCCCTCTCGCAGGACACCCTGGAGATGTGCGCGCGGGAAAACGAGTTCAAGAGCATCCTGTTTGCGCTGTGCTACTTCCACGCGGTGGTGGCGGAGCGGCGCAAGTTCGGCGCGCAGGGCTGGAACCGCAGCTACCCGTTCAACACGGGCGACCTCACCATCTCCGTCAATGTCCTCTACAACTACCTGGAGGCCAACGCCAAGGTGGGTGTTTGTCGCACGGTGCGCTTTTCGTTCCAGGCTCTCCTTTTTGTCCAGGAGGGGTCCTGCCAGGTTTTCCGCAGTAGGGGTGGGGGGGGGGTGGGAGCGATGTTGCCGCTGCGTGCGATTCCAATTGAGTCATTTGAAGGTTTGTTTGTTCTAAGAAAAAGATTTTACCAGGGATGGCCCCACTGAGCTATGTAGCTCTTTTTCAGAAGCGACACGGCCACCGAAGGGGCTTATCATCGCCACGTGGGAATTTCTCCGGGTCCCTCCGGTTTTTGCCCTCCACATTTGGAATCAACGTCACGCGTTCAGAGTAATTGGCCGCTATAAATTTCCACGTGGCCATAAGCCACTTTGTTGAGCTGTCACCCCCCCCCCCCCGCCAGTATTTGATTTGCGCAATTTGCAGAAGCCAAACGTCGCTTCTGAAAAGGAGCCGTACAGCTCAGCGGGCCCTTGGTAAAATAATATATATTTTTTTACAATTTATCAGTCGTGAGACGAGGAAGCGCCCTCGCGCCGGGCAACATTACGTAGATCCCACGCCTGAGCCCGATTCATTTCTTCCCCGTGCCGCTTGTTTCCTCCCGCCACCGCCCCGTCGCAGGTGCCCTGGGATGACCTGCGCTACCTGTTTGGGGAGATCATGTACGGCGGCCACATCACCGACGACTGGGACCGGCGGCTGTGCCGCACCTACCTGGAGGAGTACATCCAGCCCGGCATGCTGGACGGCGAGCTGTACCTGGCCCCCGGCTTCCCCATCCCGCCCAACTCCGACTACAATGCCTACCACCAGGTGCGCCGCCCGCCCGCCCGCTCGCTCGTCCGCCCGCCCGCCCGCCTGCCTCACTCCGCCCCCCCCTGTCCACCAGCCGGCTACCCGCTAGGTCTTGTCAATCTGATTGGTCACCCACTTTCCTGTCTGATGAACCTCACGTGTATGTGTACGTATGTCTGCGCGTTGAACTTCTTCCGCACCGTGCTTAGCGCAACCGTGCTCATCGGTGGTGCGATCGGTTCTATAAAGTGTGATGCGAATCGTAATTCACAGAGAGAGTAAGAATTTCTTCAGGGTAATTTTCCATCCCCCAATGTTGTCCGCTGTTCGTGTCACGAGACGGAGCGTTTGCGCGGATCTCTCGCGGAGCGGGAGCAACTTTTCCCGTCAGAAAACGGCCCACGGAAGCGGCTAATGCAGAGCCACCTCTGAGATCCCTCGAAGTGTCGTCTACTCTACACGCAACACTTGCCGTTCGCTCTGCGGCGCAGAGTGCAGTTCGCCGTACGGCGGTCACATGGGATCTTGTGTTACGTGCAGAATCTTTTTTCGTTTGTTATTATCGGAATCAGAATATTTACTTATACCGCAGGACGGAATCTGGTGAGCTATGAAGCTCTTTTGCGGCAGATGCCCAGTCGGGGCACGGGGGGGTCTGAAAGTTACAACAACAAGAAATATAAAAACACGACAGGAATGCAAAGTATAGAAAAGGTAAGCAATTAATAAATAAAGAGAAAAATAAACTATTGTTATATTGCCAGGTAAGGCTCACCACTGAGCGATTCGCTTATTTTTCAGGAGCGACCTGGCCACAAATGAGTGCTCAGCGAAGTGGTTTATCACGTGCAAATTTATAGCGAGCCAAATAATATAAACGCACGTTGATGATAAATGTTGAGGGAAAAAACTGGAGGACCCGGAGAAAAAAATTCCACGCGACCACGGGGGAGAGAGAGACACGCAAACTCCAAATATTATACAGCAGACTTCAGGGGCGGGATCGAACCCCAGAACTCCTGCATACCAGGCAAGGGAGATGACATCTCCTAGCCACCGTGGATTCCTCCTTCACGAATGAATCCTTCCGCTGCTGCTGTCGCCCCAATCCCCAGCATACCGGGCGAGGGAGATGACATCTCCGAGCCACCGTGGATTCCTCCTTCACGAATGAATCCTTCCGCTGCTTCTGTTCCCCCGACCCCCTCCCTGCTCCGTGCACACCGCCGCCCCCTCCTCAGTACATTGACGACACCCTGCCGCCCGAGTCCCCCTACCTCTACGGGCTGCACCCCAACGCCGAGTTCGGCTTCCTGACGCAGACGTCGGAGAAGCTCTTCAAGACGGTGCTCGAGATGCAGCCCAGGGACAGCAGCGGCGCCGAGGGGGGTGGCTCCACCCGCGAGGAGAAGGTACGCACGGCAAACACGGCACACACGGCACTCACACACACACACGGTACACACGGCACACACGGCACACACACACACACGACACACACGGCACACACGGCACACACACACACACGACACACACGGCACACACACACACACACGGCGCACACACACACGGCACACACACACACACGGCACACACGGCACTCACACACACACAGCACACACACACACACGGCACACACACACACGGCACACACGGCACACACACACACGGCGCACACACACACACACGGCACACACACACGGCACACACGGCACACACACACACGGCACACACACACACACACGGCACACACACACACACGGCACACACACGGCACACACGGCACTCACACACACACACGGCACACACACGGCACACACACACACACGGCACACAAGCACGGCACACACACGGCACACACACACACGGAACACACACACGCATGGCACACACACACACACACGGCACACATATGGCACACACAGACGCACGAGACGAAGGTCCCTCTGATAGCCTTACGCACCGTTGGGGCGAGTGATGCTCCCGAGCAGTGCCTATGACGGCCATCACGGCACACACGGAGGCGGGTGGCCAGCATCACGCCCGGCGGCCTTTGTCTCACCAGTGGCGATATTTACACACCCACACCAGGCACTTGCTTAAGGCTGAGTCGACCGAGGGGAGGCCCAGGCCCGGTTCAGATAGCCCAGTTCAGATATGTAAGCCATGAGCGGGAATTGAACTCGGATCATCGGGTTTGTAACACGGTGCGCTAACCAATGCGCCACCGCTCCCTACATTCACACATATACACACACACACACACGTGTACAAAGATAAAGATCCCCCAGTATAGCCTCAACAGATTATTGGGGCAAGTGCTATTAGCGGGCACCTATGAAGGCCGAAACGACACGTGAAGGTGTGGGTGGTCAGAACTATGCCCGGCCACCTTTGTCTCCCTTGTGCAGATGTTTACACACCGCACCAGGTACTAATTTAAGAGTCCGAGTCGACCTAGGGGAGGCCCAGGACCGGTTCAGATATTCGTCACCGGTGTTGGCCGTGAGCGGGAATCATGGAACTCGGGTTGCCGGGTTCTCAGCGCAGCGTAGCGCTGTAACCGCGACGCCACCGTGCAGTGCCCGCGTCCACAGAGTTCCCCAAAGCAGGCAGCGAGGGTTGACCCGGCGCAGCGGGAGAGAATTAGAAAGAACGATACAAATATATAAAAATATACAAGCGAGCAGAGGAGGGGTGGGGGGGGAGTAAACTGGCACTCGTGCACGCACTACCCCCGTGACACTCGTCTCATGCGCGTGTGTGTGTGTGCCATGTGTGTGTGTGCCGTGTGTGTGTGTGTGTGTTCCGTGTGTGTGTGTGTGTGTACCATGTGTGTGTGTGTGCCGTGTGTGTGTTCCGTGTGTGTGTGTACCATGTGTGTGTGTGTGTGTTCCGTGTGTGTGTGTGCCATGTGTGTGTGCCGTGTGTGTGTGTGCCGTGTGTGTGTGTTCCGTGTGTGTGTGTGTGTTCCGTGTGTATGTGTGCCGTGTGAATCTGTGCAATGTGTGTATGCGCCGTGTGTGTTTGTGCGCCGTGTGTGTGTGTGTGTGTTCCGTGTGTGTGTGTGTGTTCCGTGTGTGTGTGTGTGCAGGTGAAGGCCGTGCTGGACGAGATCCTGGAGCGCATGCCGGAAGAGTTCGGCATGGCGGAGCTGCTGGCGCGTGCCGAGGACCGCACGCCGTACGTGGTGGTGGCGCTGCAGGAGTGCGAGCGCATGAACCTGCTGACGCGCGAGATCCGCCGCTCGCTGCGCGAGCTCGACCTGGGCCTCAAGGTGAAGGGAGGGGTGGGGGGGGGGGCCGAGGGGGGGTTTGTAGCCTGCCGCCTTCGCCGGGTCAGAGGTCGTTGGAGACCCAGCATGATTCTCGCTTGCAAGGGGTGACCCCGTTGTATTTAAACAAACAAAAAACTAGGTTGAAAACTCATTTATTTTTAAACTGCTTTTTGTGCGTTTAATTATTTTGTCCTTCACCCCCCCCCACCGCACCTCCAGTTAGCACGGTTGGCTACGTACACGTACGGCGCGAAAGAAGTTCAACGTACACACATACATTCTAGAGATCCCAAACTATGGACCATTTCATTAGAGCTGCATTTTGCATTTAGTTTGTTGCTGTTCCCCCCGCCGTGATTGAGAGTTACGACCTCACCCCCCCACCCCACCCCTCTCCCATTAACTTAAGACTAACCATCCATTCACGATCGTGCCGCAATCAGAGCCCCCGTCAGATTTGCCATAAATTTCGAGAATCATTTTCTGTCCTCGGAGCTCCAGGATCTCCGCGGTGCCGGCCCAGCGCTCCCGGCTGGCCCGCCCCACAACGAGTCGCGCATTGGGTTTGACTCGTTCCCGTGTCCCCCCCCCCTCGCCTCCCCCCCCCCCCCCCCTCCCCCTCCCCCGCTCGTGCGTACGCGCTCACGCGTCTTCCGTCCGTCCCGCAGGGCGAGCTGACGATGACGGGCGACATGGAGGCGCTGCTGACGTCGCTCTTCTTCGACCAAGTGCCCGAGGGGTGGACCCGGCGCGCCTACCCGTCCATGCTGGGCCTGGCGGCGTGGTTCATCGACATGCTGCAGCGCGCGCGCGAGCTCGAGGCGTGGACGAGCGACTTCGCCCTGCCGCCGGCCGTGTGGCTCACGGGGTTCTTCAACCCCCAGTCGTTCCTCACGGCCATCATGCAGTCGGCGGCGCGGCGCAACGAGTGGCCGCTGGACCGCATGGCGCTGAGCTGCGACGTCACGAAGAAGGCGAGGGAGGAGCTGGGCGGCCCGCCGCGCGAGGGCGCCTACATCCACGGCCTCTTCATGGAGGGCGCTCGCTGGGACACGCAGGTGGGTGCGGAGCGTGGAGCGCGTGCGGAGTGCGTGCGTGCGTGTGTGCGTGCGTCCGGAGCGTAGCGCTACGAACCCGGCGACCCGGGTTCGAATCCCGCTCACGGCCACCAGCGCCGGTGACGATTTTCTGAACCGGTCCTCGGCCTCCCCTAGGTCGACTCAGCCTCAAATGAGTACCTTGGTGCGGTGTCTAAACATCGCCACGAGGGAGACAAAGGCGGCCGGGCGTGGTGCTGGCCACCCACCCCCTCGTGTGCCGTATCGGTCTTCATAGGTGCTCGCTAACAGCACTTGGCCCAACAGTCCGTTGAGGCTATACGGGGGATCTTTGTCTCGTCTGAAGTGTGGGGAATCCCTCCTGAAGGGACATCTTGACCAGAATCCGAATCGTAATATTTATGTATACTGGAGGAATCCGATGAGCTTTCAAGCTCTTTTTCACAGATGTCCAGCTGGGGCACGGGGTCAGATCGTGCTTCCTTCAGTGGCGAATCATAATATTGGTCGCGAAAGTCTCCTGTTCGTTAAACGTAGCTGATATTGGCCGGACGTTCCAATCGCGAAAAAATTGCTTGCAATTGGCGCAAGTCGCGAACGTCCGATGCTGACGCGAGTCGCTGGGCTCATTGCGCCGCTCACCCTCCCCTCTCTCCCCCCGTTACCCGTCCTGTGCCCTCCGACCTCCCCCGAACCTTCCGCCGTCCCTGCGACCTCCACCGCGCGCAGACGGGGATGATAGCGGACGCGCGTCTCAAGGAGCTGCTGCCGCCGCTGCCCGTGGTGTTCCTGCGCGCGGTGCCGAGCGACAAGCAGGACACGCGCAGCGCGTACGCGTGCCCCGTGTACAAGACGCGCCAGCGCGGCCCCACCTTCGTCTGGACCTTCCACCTCAAGACCAGGGACAGCCCCGCCAAGTGGACTTTGGCTGGAGTGGCCCTGCTGCTGCAGTCTTAGCTCGGGAGCTCGGCTTCCCGGCTAATAGAGATCCCACCCGCCCAAACAGCACCTTACCCACCGACCCACCCACCCGACCCAATCACCCACCCACCCAATCACCCACCCAATTACCCACCCACCCACCGACCCACCCACCGACCCACCCACCCAATTACCCACCCGACCCAGTCACCCACCTGACCCAATCACCCACCCACCCAATCACCCACCCACCCAATCACCCACCTACCCACCGATCCACCCACCAACCCACCCACCCAATTACCCACCCAATCGCCCACCCACCCACCAATCGAACCACCCACCAAATCACCCAACAACCCACCCACCCAACCACCAAATCAGCCACCCACCAACCCAACCACCCACCCAATTATATACCGACCCACCAACCCAATCACCCACCCACTCTTCGCCCATGATTGGCAGCGGCACACAAGCAAGTATGAAAAATAAGCCTGGGGTTGCCCCAACGTGTTACGTTCAAAAATTTCAGTTGCCGTTGCGATTGGCAGTGGGGAGGGGGCGGGGGGGCTTTTGGCGTAAGCAAGATAAGCAAAAGTTTTGGGGGGGCCCCACGCAGCTCACGAAGGGGCGGGCGGGTAGGGGTGGGGTGGGCTGTGCCAAAACCAGCTAAAATTCAGATCCTTGTGAAAAAAAATGAAAAAATTATCGCAGCCCCAACAGTGCTCTTTGAGCAAATGTCTTTGTGAGAAGTTCATTAACTTCACTGCTCGACGACGAAGGCCGTGGCTGGAGTTCGCCGGTGGCGGCGCGGCGTCCACCGCGCAACGTCTGGCGCCGTCACCCTGACGGTCCGGCAGCCGTGGTCGCAACGTGGCGACATCCCCCCCCCCACTGAGGAATTCGTTTAAATGACGGCGAAAGTCTCGTAAAATCCTCCGCCTGTGTCCACCCAGCAGCGTGGATGAACACGCCACCGCCGCCGCCGCCGCCGCGATGGTTAGTCGATCCGGCCAGCGTAGAACAGCTGTGGGGAGGGAGGGGTCGCTCTTCTCGCCTCCTCATTATTCGCGATTTGGGGTTGCGGTACGATTCACGTTTTTGCGTTGTTGTTGTTGTGAATCTAGCACGGGCCATGTGTGCCTTGCAACGTATCGGATGACCATTCGCGGGCGTTTGTCACGCCACTGCTGGACGAAGAAGGCCTCCTCCCTCTGCCGTGTCGGTCTTGGCGGTCGTTTGACCGTACTTCACCACGCTGGTCAGCGCGCGTTGGTGTATGGGAGGGGTGCCCAGGACCGGATGAGATATTGCTCACCCCTGACGCGGTGGGGCCCGTGGTCGGGAATTGAACTCAGGTTTGCTGGGTTCATGGCGCTAATTACTTAGCCACCACTCCCGCTCCCTCTACCACTTGCATGCAACACGAATGAAAACTTTAGTTACTTTTTTACTCACTCGATTCGGTGAATGTATCTCGAGAATAACAATCATCGACTGCGATCGATGGAGCTAAAAAAAAAGGAGCGCAGTGTAACGGGTATTGGCAAACATCTAAAAATGCTGAAACATTAACACTGAAAAATTACTCAATTGGGATCAAAGATAAAGATCCCCCCCCCCCTCCCCCGTGAGGCCTGTAACAGGCTGTTGGCGCAGTTGCTTGTTAGTGAGCACCTATGAAGGCCGGCACGGCACACGATGGGGTGGGTGGTGATGTTTTACAGCATCGCACCAGGTATTCATTTGAGGCGGAGTCGACCTAGGGGAGGCCCAGGACTGGTGCAAATAATCGTCACCGGTGTTGGCCGTGAGCGGGAATTATTGAACGCGTAGCGCTGCGCTACCGCCGCTCCCCACAATTTGAGAACACCACACGGCAAAAAATTACTCAGTTGGGATCACACAGCAGCAAAATCGCTCCCTATTGCGAAAAACCTGGCAGGACCCTCCTGCAACAAAAAAAAGAGTCTTGAGACTCAATTTGGCTTTCCTGGGTAAAAAAAAAACCCCAGCATGGTGGTGTAATCATGGATCATTTACAAAAAAAGGTCGATGTCTCGTCGTGAGGTCCGCATGGCCGTGGGACGTACCACTGTGTACCGAGGGAGAAAGGGGGGTGTTTTTGGTGGGGTAGCTTTTTTTTGTTGGCTCAAGCCGCGTTGTGTGTACGTCGCATTAGACAGAAGTTGTTTTTGCTGCGTTTGTATTCCAGCCGGAGGTGGTCTGCGCAACGCGTTGCCACGTCCAGCGTGTGTCTGCGAAATAAAACGTAATATATTTGACCGTTCAGTGTCGTTCATTTTATGCGTCCCCGCTGCACTTAGCGGACTCGAATTTCAATCCAGAGAGGTCACTGGTTCGGTTCGGAAGTTAAAACTATGATGCATGTTTCTCAAATCACCTCCTGCCCCCCCCCCCCCCTAAATGGTTACACCGCAGTTGAGTTGATGGGCACGTCGTAAGGAAGGCCCCACTGAACTATCGGCTTCTTTTTCAGAAGCGACCTGGCTATCACAAATGATAGCTCAACGAAGGACAACTATCATCACGTGGAAACTCACAGCAGCCAAATATTTCTGAACGCGTGGTAATGTTGATTCTAAATGTGGAGGGGGAAAAACCGGAGCACCCGGAGAAAAGAAATTCCACGGCGATCATGGGAAGAGAGACACGCAAACCACCAAATATACAACAGGCGTCAAGGCCGGGATCGAAACCCACGACCTCCTGTACCCCAGGCGAGGTCGTTAACATCTCCTAGCCACCGTGGCGCCGCTGACGCTACTCGCCCCTGAAGCATCGTTCATCCTGAAGCTACTCTCGCTTAAAATGGCAGCAGCAGCTCTGTGGTTCAGGAGCTCGATGCCAATGTGGAGGTCTCCTGCTGCTGCTGCTGTTGCTGGCCACGACGAGAGAGGGCTTCAGCAGAGACAGAGAGTTCGTGTCGTGTCGCTGTTCCTCCTCCGTTGCAGGAGCACGCGGATCACTGTGGGGTTACCATATTGTTTAAAGGTTTCGGTTGCATGGCCCACAATTGCACAACTTTGGCTTGTCTCCATTTGAATCTATGGTGTCTCTATGAGTCTCTATCGCTGTGCGTCTCAATGGGTTTAGTATATGGTCTGTAGCTTGGGTTGCATGGCCCACAATCGCGCCACTCTGGCTTGTGCCCATTGGTCTCTATGGTATCTCTATGGGTCTCTGTATATCTCAATGGGTTTAGTATATATGGACCTCAATTTGGCTTGCGTGGCCACAAACGCCACAATCACACCACCTGTGGCCTTTAGTTTTCTACGAATGAACGAGGTTGTGCACATGGGCCTGTTGATGCTCTGATGCTATTTTATTTTACCAGGTAAGGCTCCCCGCTGCGCTGTGTAGATCTTTTTCAGAAGCGACTCTGACCATCACAAGTTATAGCCCAACCGAGTGGCTTGTAGCGTGGACATTTATAGCGGCAACAAAATTCTTCAAACGCACGGTGACGTCGATCCTAGACGGTGGAGGCAAAAAAAACCGGAGGACCCGGAGAAAAATCGACGCGACCCCCTGGGAGAGAGAGAGAGAGAACACGCAAACTCCACCAAGACAACAGGCGTTAGGGTCCGGGATCGAACCCACGAACCTCCTGCATACAATGGGAGCGAGTAAACATTTAACCACCGGTGCCTTCACGGATGAATGTCATAGCCAGGAGGTGTATGAGGCGTGCGATTATCGGTCCGCGTTACGAAGCCGGCGAACCGAGTTCGTTTTACCGCTCACGGCCACCAACACCACGGTGACGATTATCTGAACCGGTCCCGGGCCTCCCCTAGGTCGACTCAGCCTCAAATGAGTACCTGGTGCGGTGTGTAAACATCGCCACTGGGGAGACAAAGGCGGCCGGGCGTGGTGCTGGCCACCCACCCCCTCGTGTGCCGTTCCGAAAGGTGCAACTCGCCAACAAGCAGTTGCCCCAATAGTCTGTTGAGGCTCTAACCTCCCCCTTATGGGGAGCGGTGGTGGAGCGGTTATTGGGCTTCACTATGATACCCGGCGACCCGAGTTCGAATCCTCCTGCCTGCCCCACCCCCACCACCTTCGTTACGCCGCTGATTGGTGGGGGGGATGGGGGGGGGGCTTAAACAATCGTCAGAGAAATATTCTCAGCGGGGCGGCGTTCCGATCGATGTCTCTGGCAGAAGACGGTTCCACTCGCTCTGGGGATTATTTGACGCTTTGTAAACGCTCATTTGGGGGGTCATTTGGGGTGGGGGGCCGTTTGGCCACACTAAACCACGTGGCTCGGTGGCTGGGAGATGTTAACTACCTCGCCTGGTATGCAGGAGGTCGCGAGTTCGATCCCGACCCTGGCGCCTGCTGCTGTATATTTGGAGTTTGCGTCTCTCTCCGTGGTGATATGTTAACTACCTCGCCTGGTGTACAGGATGGCCGCGGGTTCGATCCCGACCCTGGCGCAATTGTCAGATAAATATTGTCAGCGGGGCGGCGTTCCGATCGATGTCTCTGGCAGCAGACGGTGCCACTCGCTGGCGGGGGGGGGGGGGGGGGGGGGGGGGCGTGCGGGCGAGGCCGCGTGGCCCGGCACCGTGTCTCTCTCCACAACTTTCCTCCCCAACGCGAGCCCTCTCCACTTCTGAACGCCTCCGTCATTTATCGATTTCTATCGCCAACTTTGTCGAGACGCTGGTGCGGCAGTGGGGGTTGAGGTGGTGCGGGTCCGGTCGGGGCGGGAAGGAGAGAAGGAATGCAGTTGTCCCCTTCGGGATGTTGGCTTCTCTCTCTTTCTCTCTAGGGGCCGTCCATAAATGACGTCACGCGATTTTGGACGATTTTGACCCCCCCCCCCCTCCTCGTAACACGGCGTCACAAAAAGTCAGACCCCCCCCTCAAATATGACGTCACAAAGCTCTGCCCCCCCCCCCCAAAAAAAATAAAACATGCTTCAAATCGCTTTAAACTATTGTCATTGTAGTGCGTATTTAATGTGCCGCTGCACTCTGATGTTGTAGGAGAACACATTTATCAAAACGTCTATTTAATTAAGTAGAACGAGTTGTCTATATTTATTTAAAAGTTGCGCATTTTGATGTGACGTCACATTTCTCAACCCCCCCCCCCCTCGT